CCGAGTTGGCGCCGTTCTGGATGAACCACTCCCCGCTGCCGACCTCGAGGGGACGCATGCCCAGCCCCGCCTTGACGCCGGCGTTGGGGCCGTAGTGGCGCAGGATGCGGTACGCCGTGCACGGGTTGACGCTGACGGTGGCGACCTGCAGCGGGGAGAGGCCGGCCTTGTCGACCTTGATGAACTTTGAGGCTTCTGCCACCGCGTGCGTCCTCCAGGTGCCGAACTGGGAGATGGCGGGGATGACCCAGTCGCCCTTGGCGAAGTCGGGCGAGGAGGACGAGAGGACCTCGAAGACGCCCTCGTTTCCGGGGGTGGCCGATGGTTCGGGAGTTCCAATGAGGGAGGTGAAGGGTGGTTTGGCACCGTAGGTGCCCTGGACGGTGTTGATATCTGCCGGGTTGATGGGGGCGGCGAGGGAGCGGACGAGGACTGAGGAAGACGGGAGGCTGGGCGAGATGGAGTGAGAGTGAAGGCTACAGATGGGTCAGCATTGGATGGCCAGGAAAATGCGAGCGTCTATTAGATATCCCGGTCCTTACCTCAGGACATCGGCGGGCTCGCCTGGCTTGGAGAAAACCAAGGCCTTGGCCTGGGTGTAGCCGTAGGGACCAGATTTGCGCCGAACGGCGAGGGATGGGACACGCAACGCCCTTGCGGCGGGGCGGCCGAGGCCGGCAGCTAGAAGTCTCTGTGAGCTCGCCATGGTGAAATTGGCGAAACCGTAGAGCAATTGAACTTGGCGGGGAGGAAGGAAAAGTAGACGGGGTTGGCTTGCGGTGAGGTCTCAAGCTCGGCTCGGCAGCACGGGTGTTATCGCGGGGCGTGGGGCTCTATCTGCCGCCCACAAAGCAGCTAAAGCAGGTGGTAGCTCATCATGACGTGCACAACCGCCCACACTGATTTTCAATGGTTTGCTCTCTATTTGGAACCATGGCGTCATTGGCCTCGATCAAGCCTTTATCGATTCCTACGTGATCGAAGCCGAGTCTGCTTGCCCCAGGCGACGCTTATCTATTGTGTACACAGTTGATAGGTGCTTGAAGGTACTCCGACCGTGTAGATTGTTGCTCCCACCCAATCCGCAACCACTTGTGGCTCTATCAAGGTGTCACTGCTTGAGGGCATGGAGATATGCAGCCACATGCGCCGCAAAGATGCCATCGGCTACCAGCTGGTCCGCAGATTCGACTATCCATGTCTGGCAGTCTCTCTGTATAATAGCCTTCCCCGGCTGGACCTTCGTAGAATAATTAGCCCAACGATCTTGAGAGTAGGGAAGGAAAGACTCTTACAACATCGTCAATTGTGTTCATTGATTTCCTGGGAGCTGGGATCTTGTATACGCTATCCTCGAAGCCACATACGGGTTTGCTTTCTATCACCGGTACGCCGCCGTTGAACATTTTGCGTGAATCGAAATACTTGCCATCAACCCATTGGAGGGGGATTCTTTTTGATGGTATGTCGACAGTGTCACGCAAATCATGGCTACGCTTCGACTCGAGCTGGAACCCATTTCTCACATCACCCGTTGCGTGAATCTTGACACCAATTTCAGGATCAGTATGCGAGCGCACAAAGTACGCCCAGTGGTCTTTGAATGGATAGCCATTGTATACGGCTAGCTCGATCAAATAGGCACCGTCCGGCCCGGATTGGGGAACTGGTGGTGGCTTCGGCAGCCGGATGTGGAGCTGATTGAAGGCGGGTGGAGGAGGAACTGGAGGAGGTGCAGGGAAATGAGACATGGCGGGGGAGGTAAGAAGACGGGTGGCGCTGAAAATAGGTTCCGGTGTTTCAATATCATCAAGAGGAAGACAAGCTTGGCTGGAAAACGCGCGTTTGCGGAAGATTAGGACCAACATCTGAGGTAGTCCTGGTTGTCCAAGGAGTGGGCTTCGGGCAACTACCGCTCAGCATTCACAGCCAGAGGAGATTCCCGGTTAAGAGTCAAGATGCTGTGCCGCAGGATCGTCAGGTACTTGCCCCGCGGTCTTGGTTTGCTGCCTCTGCTCCTATTTTAGCACAAGTCACATTGCATAACATATCGTTCCTTTTTCCAGCCAGAGCCCGGATGAGACAGATGATCGATAATGGCACATGGATCTCGCTCTTTTAGCGACCAAATATCTTCACAGGTGTTACCTAGGCTCAGACTATTTCTGCTCCGTGCGTGCTGAAGAGTTGTTGGCAGGATACTCTGCAGATGGAAATTAAAGAGTCCTACGTTAGGTGCTATCTATTGGTGACCCCACAGCTTCTGTGCTAATTATGGGCATAATGGAGTTCGGCACTGAATGCAATGGCATGCCGTGTTGGGCGGTGCGGTGCAAATATTGCAACTCCAAGGCTTGAAGAGGGAAGAGGATGTGCACAGCCACGACAATGCAGCGATGTCTCGTCTCGTTGGCGCGACACTTCTTAGCAGTAATAAAACGAACTAGGATGTTATTTGCGGCTCCCAAACCCAGTGCGCTATGGATTTGAGTTCATGTACCTGTCGCGAAATGCACACGGGTCGATGGAGCATAGAGGTCTTACTAAGATGCTGCATACGAGACTGGAGACCAAAGCTTGGGACCGGACTACTCGGCCCGGGCAAGTAACACGCGGCTTGTCAGAGCCAAGGCCAATGAGCGTCCCGTGCCTTGTTCCAGCTCCAAGAAGCTGTAACCCGTCGACTTCAGGTTGCGCATGTCACAGCGCGCATTCTCAGGTCTCGGGGAGAACCTGCCACATCCATGGAAGGATGGCTGCCCGAGCAGATGCTGGCAGGTGCACACCAGGCTGGACCTGCTGCTTGCTTATTATTAGTGCAGGCAGGTGGGCATGGACACAACGTGTGTGGTGGCTCCCGGCTGGACCCTGAAATGCCCATGTACTAATTCGTACTGTCCACGTACTAATTCGTGCTAGGTACGAGCCTTTACAGCCCAACTCAGGGGGAACCTTGTCTCGGCCCTTTCAAGCCCAAACCCCGTCTCCACAGCCAGTTTGTTGTTTCTCTCCAACCTCAGAAGACAAATGCACCAGGCTCTTCATCTTGGAATGAATTGAGATACCATCGCAGCGTCATTGATTCTGGTATGACATGAGCCGCCGCCCCTCACCTCCCCCCAATCATACACTTCCATCATCGTCCCATTGGAGACATCCGTCCTCCAGCCTGCCACCGCCCTCACGCACGCGCAGCACAAATTATTAATCCTTCTGCAGAGGCTGAGCTTTGGCCCCTTCTCCTCCGCGCGGCAGCCGTGCTACCATATCCCGACCTGCCAAGGCGTGCCATTGGTCATCACCCCAGTCTAGCATTCAACCAGGATCATTCATAATCATATCCATCAAAGAATCACCAACGCTCAAAAGCAAAACACCCCCGAGTACCTAAAGAGGTACTACCTGGCGAGCCTACTCCCCTAAGAATACGCACCAGTTTACTTTAGGCTGCCTGCCTCCACGCCACCACCATCCCTGGCTGCGACCTACTGGGCCCTCCCGCAAGCCATTCAACCGTTGTATTCAGGTCCAAGCTCCAATTTTCCATTGTCTGGCCATTATCCATTCTCCTTTCCCTCCGCACTCCATGCTCTTTTCTACCCTGGCGGGGAGATTCAATATCATCAGCATTGAACGCGTCTGAACATTGCCAACGCGAAATTGGATTCTCAATCCGTTACCTTCACTCTACCGGAACCTGTGGAACCCCTGAATGAAGCCAAGACCGCGCTGTTCCCCTGACGATAACTCTTCAACTCTCCATATTCTTGGACTTTTTGCGCAATCCAGACAATCACCATGCCGTCAACTGTTGCCACCAATGCGACGAGTGGCTCGCGCTTTGAGCTGCCTGCGCTGAACCTCAACTTTGGTAGTATCACCGACGGAACCGATATTCCACCACCCCCCGACTCCCCTGTCGAGAAAGAGAAGCCAGTCCTGCCCGAGACACCGAAAAAGAAAGCTGTTCCTGAGTCCGGCGCCAAAACCGAGGAGGACAAGACGGTAAAGAAGCCAGAGGAAACACCCAAGGCAACAAATGGTAATTCTGCCGGAATCAAGAGACCCGCAGATGCACCCCCAAGCCCGTCGTCGGCCTCTTACCGCGCGGGCAGCATCCGTCGGATGTTTAGTAGGACAAAGTTGAATAACAGTTATGCAGAGGGTCACTTGGCGTCCAACGGCGGTGTTGCTGCTTCTATCGACGGCAGCCGGCCGGCAAGCCGAAGTGGTAATTCTATCCTTGACGAACGAAAGTCGAAGCGCGCCAGCGGATGGTTCAAGAGACTGAGGGGAGGAGAATCCAAGAGAAGCAGCTTGGTCTTGTCTCAAGAACCAACGGCGTCTACGACAACAATCCCGTCTACGAACAAGCCATCAGGTCCACCCCCGCCCATGATTCCTGAACTTAAAGAGTTCAATAAGGACGAGGGTAGCCTCGGCAACGACCTATTCAAGAACATCAAATAATACCGCGAGACCGAGCGAAGCTTTTTCTGTTTTCTTTTCACACGCACCGACTAAATACGAGACGGACGACTCCTGTATATTCAAGAATCCCGCCCAGCTTTTCTTTGCTTGCCCTTTTTTTTTTATGTTTGAATGAGCGATGAAGAGGTTATTACCACTGAACTGCGATCGGGGTTGACACACCCTCTTTATTAGTATTATCAACTCAATTGTTTTTTTTTGTTCGAAGGAACGTACCTGAACGACGTCTTATATGTCATTGGCGAGTCCTATATAAGGAGAAGGCGAGGGATAAAAGGGGAAGGGAGGGCTGGAGGGGCAAGACCGAGATACCCAGCCCCGTTCAGGCTTCAATTATCTGGCATATGATATATGCCTTCAGCTCTTGCGGCAGCGTGTTTGGATAATATCGACAGCACCAGTCCTTTGTCAGCATTTGCTTTTTGGAATAATCACTCAATAGTATTCTTACAGCCCAAAAATGGGAGTGTGCCGGGTTTGTAAGGGGGCACAGGAAGGATTGGCATCATATCGAGAATATCATTAATTTCACGCTTTTCGCGCATCCTTCCTTACCTGTCCATTTAAACGAACTTCCAAGTGAGATACCTAATTTCATCACCAGGGAAGTTGTTGAAGTGGCGAAAGAGTGATAGTCGTTTCGGTCAGAGCCGGTTTTCGACAAGTATAGATTAGCTTCTCAACTTGACTCTGGGCAGGAATAGAAATGGCTTATTTCCTAAGGATAAGCATCGACACTATTCCCGAGAGGAGCTTTATATATCAAACTTGCAGGCCGTTGTCCCTTAGATCATTCACTAACTTCTTCCCAGCCTCAACATAGCCGGCAAGAGAGGCCCCTGAGCCGGCCGGAGGCTCCATAAAGAACTCGGGAATCACTCGAGTTACGCCCCCTTTTGTGCATTCAAGAATAGTGCCATTCCCGAATTCCTCCTTAACGACCAACTGGTACATAACCTCGGCAATCTCTCGAGGCTCAGCCATCTCATCAACTTGGCCCCTCATGCCAGACTTGGTCGGGTCTTCCATCAGCAGAGGTGTCTGTATCGAAACTCAATCAGCACAAAAAGGGGGCTTTCCGGAGAACGGACTTTCGGCAAAACTTACCCGGACAGCACCAGGAGCAACACAGCCGGTGCGGATACCAACACTGTCTCTCAGGGCTCCGAGAGAGCGGACAAATCCGTGCAGGCCGTGCTTCGTGGCAAAGTAGAGGGGGGTGTTGATGCCGGATGTGTAGCCCGCGATGCTGCCGATGAAAACGATGCTGCCCCTCAGCTTGTTCCGGGTCCAGTGGCCGATGGCGAGCTGGCTCAGCCGCGCTGGGTGAGTCAAGTTCACGTCGATGATGGCATAGTGGCCCGGGGCGCCGTCGGCGGCGTCTCGAGACTGGGAGTTGGGGTTGGTGGCCGTCTTGGGCGGCTCCCAGAAGCTGGCCCACTTGGGCTCGAAGAGGCCGGCTCCCGGGACGACGATGTCGACGGAGGGGAAGCTCTCGACGGCCTTGGCCCAGAGGGCGCTCAGGTCGACCCACGAGGTGACGTCGGTCCTCTGGAAAATTAGAGATGGCTTGCCCGCTGTAGGTGGGTGAGGGAACCGTGTGAGGAGGGGCTCGACTTCGGGTCGGTATTGGAGATCACCAACTATCACAGAGTAGCCCTTGTCTAGGAGAATGCGAACAAACTCCAGGTTGATCCCTGTATGAAAGAGGTGTCAGCATTTTCAATTTCATTTCACTTCAGTTGTTGAAAATGGTTGCGAAGCCTACCTGAGCCACCCCCAGTGACCAGAGCAGCCTTTCCAGATCCCTCAGCCATTTCTTTCCAAGTGATCTCCTTGCTTGAACAACGAACCTAATTAGTTAGGTAATTACTAAGAAATAGTAACCAAGTAGACGAAGAGCGATGTCAATTGCGGAAGAGGGTGGGCACTGGAGGCCGAAGGGAGGAGCCCCGGATATATAAACTCCATAATAGACGGAGCTGGGAATCGGTGTTGGAAAACGGCCTCCATGGGGCAGCCAGAGGGAAAACGCTGGCCGTGGTCTATCCTACCGGATCTGGATCAGCGAGCTTGACTCACGTTGTCAAGGCGGGGTACGATTCTCGGCGTTTATGGACATGCGCATAACGTCGACCGATGGATGTTAGCCTATACGGAATAAGGAAGCAGAAGCGCGAATTGGCTCATCTAGGCTCGAGGGGCACCTCTCAGGTTCACCGGACGCGGGCCCGGTTAGCACACGGCCGCATCCGCGATGGCCATACCTATCTGGGAGAAATTACGAAAGTCCATACTGGGAGTCGTCGTAGGCGCACGTTCGACGTATCTTGGTCGTCCTGCACCTCATACTGAAGCGGGTTGGCCTCGTCTCCATGGATCGACATCCCACCGTCGACTTAAATCCTAAGCTAGGCGAGCAAAAGGGCCTCTCAGAGATCAAGCCTATCATAGAGAGTATCTTTCAAGCTGAGCGATATTGCCTGCTCGCAGCAGGCCCCGTAGTCTATATATGCCCCATGTTGCATCTTCCTACGGGATACAGGGGTCGGTGGAGGAAGGGAACCCTGTCCAGCACGCATGAGACCGCCCATCTGCGAGATAGATCACATTGTATCATACCTACATGAGGATATCGGATTGAAGTGGAGCTGCAGATCAATGCACCTGCAACCTGTGGAAGCAAACCCCTGTGTCCGAATTGCATAGTTCCGGAATTGGAACAGAGCCCTGTATCAAGGGTTTAGCTCCCCTTGCGTCTTAGAAGCTTCTTTTCACCAGATAAAATCAGGAACTTGTTCTCTTCGAGAGAAGACGAGCTCGGCGACGGTAGGAGACCTATCGCAAGGGATTAATAGCATGAGTCTACAAGGGTGATATCCGCCTCATCTTCTGTCGTCGAGTAGTTGGCGAAAATGCTCCTCACACCACGCCTTGAAAGCGAAAAACAACAACTTCAGACAGCATAAGAATAGAACCTAAATTACATGGAATCCGTTCCTCGTCAAGTTGGTCGCGAGGTGCTCAGAGGTGAATGGATGGTTTACCGTATGAGAAAATTGGTAAGGGCAAATGGCGGTGACACACTATTGCAACGGTCAACTGGGATATAACAAGAGGGCTCCCCCTCTTTCCCTTACGCAATATTTCAAACAGTCATACTGCACTACTTCGTTGATTTTCGTTGCCTCTTTCATAGAGGATAGCGTGCCAACAGCAAAACAAGTACCACATCATGCGAATGCAGTTCAAGAAGGTAAGAGGATTCCAATTGCCGAACGGTGTGAGGAACAATTTCAACCCAAATTTTCTAGCCCACGTTCAGCGTAAGTTACAAATTTCAAATTTTACAGATCTTTAAATTCCAGCTACTGATTAGCAGTTCGAAGATTGGCTAAATTAAATCTTTCTATAGCCATTTCTACACATCATCAGGACCACTTGTCAAGTATCGCCTAAAAATATGCCCATGTGCGGAGTTATTACTGGAAATTGGAAGAGTGCCGCCGTATCATCTTCCTCAAAAGTCACATAGCCAGTACATGATTCAGCTTGGAGCTTTATGAGTCCGAAAACCGCAGAAAAGAAGCTCAGCCCTAGATAATGACGTCACCACGGCTCGGAGAGCAAATAAGCTTATCGGCTTATCAGCACGTGCCAGCGTGGGGTTTCGGACTATCGAATTTCTGACAACGCGATCTTTTTCGAAGGCGGGATTAGTGCAGCAACCGACTCCCACTCCCAAAAACCATGAACCAATATTAATTACATGGGAAGCTCGATTCCATTGTACCAAACCAGTACAATGATCACATGTCGATCAATGCGGTGATTTCTTTTCTCACCTCCCCGACACTCATGCCGTGGCCACTACAATGGCACGCTTCATCCCGCGCGATGCCTTCGGAATCCCCAACTCGATCCCCAAAACCTATTTTCTTGGCCACCACCAGGCCGGCGCGAACAAGATAAAGACGGTCCTCCCGACAATCTCCCTCGTCCTCGAATGCCGCGACTTCCGACTCCCTCTCTCCACGCACAACCCGTACCTCGAGCGCTCCCTCGCCGGCCGTGAGCGCCTGGTCATCTACACCAAGTCCGACCTCGGGAGCGACAGCCGGGGCGCCAAGAATGCCCTGAAGAGGGTGTACGGCGACAAGGCCGTCTTCTGGGACAAGAACAAGAAGTCCACCACGGACGCCCTCATCCGACGGCTCAAGGAGTCCGCGCAGGCCGCCGACTCGCTCACGGGCCTGCGCGCCCTCGTCGTCGGCATGCCCAACGTCGGTAAGAGCACGCTCCTCAACACGCTGCGCAGCGCGGGAACGCAGGGGAGGAAGGCCAAGGCGTCCAAGACGGGTGACCAGGCCGGCGTGACGCGCAAGGTGGGCACGGCGGTGCGCATCATCGAGTCAGAAGACAAGCCCGGCGGCGTGGCCTCGGGCGTCTTCGTCGTCGACACGCCGGGAATCTTTCAGCCGTACGTCGACGACGGGGAGACAATGATGAAGGTGGCCCTGGCGCACGGCATCAAGAAGGGGCTGATCCAGGACGAGATTCTCGTGGACTACCTGCTCTATCGCATGAATCTGTTTGATCCCGAGATGTACGGACGATACTGTGAGCCGACCAATGATGTCAATGATTTCCTTGCTGCCGTCGCGACTAAGGAGGGACGTCTCCGACCGGGTGGGATACCCAACATACCCGAGGCGGCAGCCAGGGTTCTGTCTCAATGGAGAGATGGCAGGATGGGGAAGTTTGTGTTGGACGATCTCTCAGAGGATGCCATCCGTGCCCATGAAATAATGCTTGCAGAGCCACGACTGAGTATAAACCAAGCAAAAAAGTTGCAGAAGGAAGAGCGCAAGAAAGAAAAATCTAGCGAATAGCAGGCCACTGGATCCTGCTGTATTATATATCCCCCATGTATCTGTGGGTAACCTGTATAATATAATTAACCAAAGCATCCATCTTATGACATAGTAAACTTTGCTTGATTCATCAGCTAGTTCCTGCGCTATATATCATGCTGAATATGTGGATGGATTCTTCGGTGACCAACTTGTTGTGGCTGCAAGTTATTTGGCTGGGAATAGTCTCTACCTGCCGTGGATTAGAACAACAAAAGGAAAAAAAAAGAAAGTCAAATAACACCGGTAGAATTGCGAGAGGAAAAAAAGAATATTTTCCTCGGTGGTTAACCATGGAACGCCTCATGCGCCAAATCCTCTTCGACGGCCAGTCATGGGCCGTTTTGGTATCATACATCCTGGAGCATTTTTTAATCATATAACCGTCCCCGGGCTGAGCTACCCTCCAAATTTCTGACAACAACGTATTGTTTTATGTATACTGGTTTTGCCATTTGACCATATCTCGTGTCAAGACATCCATCATCTCAACACAATTCAAGTCTCTGAACTCTTGGTCCGAGGTTATCAATGCACTGCGATCGACGGTAATGCCTGACCTGTCTGTATCGCCATTTGTCTGTGACTTTTCAGGAGATCTGTCGCCACTGCTAGAATTGCTGCTGGAGCCAAGACTGCCTTCCGCAGCAAGATCTACCTGTGTTCTTGAGATGAAGTCCAAGATGGCCGCAACGCGACGTTTCATATCAGGCATGCTCATTTTGTTCGCCATGGCTGATTTATGTTTCGAGGCTTTACTTTCATGCGTATTAGCTTTGGTGGCCTGGCTCGGTGTCTCGTCGGTAATCTTTTGAATATCACGCGACATTGACCGTGCTGGAGAGTCGTCACGATCTCCATCCCGGTCTTTGGTATATTGATTTTTCCCTTTGCCCTTTTTGTGGTTATTTCTCGCTCCCCGCTTATGCGAGCTTCCAACCGTCGCATGGCTCGGTGGTGGTGTGCCAGGGGTGGGCTGCGGTGCTGGGGGTGTTTCCTCAACCACTGGGATTTCTTCTTCTTTCTTCGGTTGAACTTTTGAGGTGGTTATTGTTACTGGAATATCGTCGGATGGTTCTGAATCTTCTGAGTTTGTTAGTCTTTTTCGTCTTTCATTGATGGTGTCCTTTTGCAAATCTTTACCTTCGGCACGTCGTCGCTCAGCGCGTCCTTTTCGTTTGCTAGCTGCCTCGAGACGCTGTCGTTCTTTTTCATCTTTATCCGACCGCTCCTTCTGGTTTCTTACAACTCTAGACTTTTTCGATCCATTTCGTAACTGTCCCTCATCGTCCGAAGGTTCGATGGTAGGTTCCTCGGCGGGCTCTGGTATGGGAGACTCCGATTTAGAGCCTGTTCGTTGTCGCTTTACGCTTGGGGCGTGCCTAAAGGCGCGTTAGCATCTGCAGACGTAAATTTTTTTGGACTGAAAACTTACTCTTCGCTATCGCTACGGCCCCTCTTCGTTCGTCGTAATGAAGCATCTTCGCTGTCAAGAGGATTCTCCTCCTTGCTCGCCTCAATCGCCCGGCGCAGTTGCTCATCGTCATAGGCAGCATCGCGACTGTTCATTGTGGACCTGCGCTTTGAAGTCTGCGACGCGGAATTGGGACGTAAAGTTTTGGTCCCGTTCTTTGGGGATCGTAGAGGGTCTTTTGTCACCGACGCTGCTCGTGAGCTCGGCCGCGATTGTCTATATAGTGGTAGGTATTTTGAGTATTTTTGTCTAGGAATACGAAACCCATTAGCATTCAATTCCACGAGCGGCACGAGGTGAACCGGAAGAAGGGGCGTGGTCCTGCAGAACTCGGTGGGCTCAAAGAGCACCAGGATGCCAACCTACCCATTGTTTGCAATGTAAATTTTGTGAAGATCTTTGCGGCATTGCTCGCAAAAGTATTCATCAGGGGAGCTCTCGGCGCTGAATATGCCGACGCAGGCGCCGTGCTGCCAAACTTTGCAAATGTCGCACTGAACGAAGAAGCCTGTAACATCTTCGGTGAATTCAATAGCGTCAAAGAATTCGGCGTCCGGGCTATCCACAAGTGGACGTCCCGGATATTCTTCAGAGCCACAAGGGCATCTGACGGCCTCGTCCTCTTCGTCGAGGATGCCGTCACTCCCATTCGCCATGTCTAGAGTGTCTGGGCCGACGGGCTTATCTGGATCGTCTTCTTGGCCTCGCTTACGTCGTCGTCCGAGGAGGGTATCTTCGGGATCGTCGAGAGGTTCTGAGGATAGCGAAGCACTTGGTGTCGATTTTGTGGAGGGGGTCTTGTTCAGCGACCTGGCATTTCGCTCGGCGCGACCAGACGCGGATGAAGAAGACGACGAATGATGTGACTGGGAAGTGGTCGCGCGAGCTCTAGACGAACGTCGGGGAGATGGCGGAGCCATTGAGGCCAACGTTGGAGACGAAGGGAAGCGTGTGGAGGCGGGAGAAGTCTGCGCGAGAGACCAAAGGCAGTGGCGTCTAGTGTGGAGAGTCGAGGGTAATTGGGGTTCACGATTGAATTGATAACGAGAGTGTGACCGGAGCCAAGTAATGGGAAGTTCTGGCAGCGACGGCTCGAAGAAGACCACGTCGAATCGCCAGACCGGTGGTGATTGCAGGAAAAGCAGACGGGTAGCAGGAGGCGAGGCGGACGCTACAGCGACATCCGGGAAAAGCAGTCGATTCGAAGGCTGGGTTGGCGATTACTCATGCTGGGAAGAGAAATTGGACGAGACTGGCGCATGACAGTTCGAATCTGGATTTCAGAAGTCGGCACTCGCGAATAGAGGAAGAAGGTGAGAGGGGGTGGTAGGTAAGGTGGTGGCCCGTGGAGGAGATGAGGGCTGCTGCTGGGCTGGAGCGGACGGCAATGACCAAGTTCTGCTTGGCCCACTGTCTACCTCTGGTCGGCGGCAGTAAGTTTGGCTGACTGAAGGAAATGCGCCCACTGTGCGCGCTGTTGGCGGCGTGCGACGCACTGACCAGGACCGCTACGCTGAAAGGTAGGTACTTGCCGCGCCAGGGTCTTAGCTGTCCCTGGTCCGGGAAAGTATGGCTGGGTTAGTGCTCGCGTAGGTACCTGCCTTGCCTGCCTCCGGCTGTTGCAGTGCCCGCGCAGCGCAGTCAGCCAGCGTGGCTCCACTGATGCACAAAATCCGGCGTGAGACTGCCAATCCCGCCTTTCTGAAATCCGGACCCGCATGGTCGATGGCATCCCATGCGATTTCTAGCTGCTCGTCGTTGGCTGCGGGGCATCCAAACGACTCACCACTTCCGTCGATGTGCATGAGACAGAGGCTGCGAGGAGAGGGTTTGTTGCAGCCATACTTGCTCTGCGCGCATGGCATATGAAGGTGCCATGGCCTTGTGTGACAAGCACGTTCAGCTTCAGAGCCTAAAATTACAACTCGCAGCTGGCAAGTGCGTTGCGCGTGCCCCTCAAACCTCAACCTTCCCCCATGCTGTAACACAATACTTTCTCGAGGGTTAGATTCGAAAAAAGTGGTGATACTAAGCGGGCGAATAACTGTACATGATCAGGCTGTTCTTGAGCCTAAGAGTTTGGCCTTTTGCAGCTTCAACAGTAGTCGAGGGCCAGTTTCGCCTGCTGTCAGTGAGGAAATCGTGCGGGCCGTCCTCTAGATTGCGTCTCATAAGCTCAAGAAAGAGAGCAATATACACATTTATATACAAGGCTTAGACACACGTTTCAACAAGAAGGCCCGCCATCCATGTCCCAGACGGCTCTGCAAGGTGTGGTGGCTTGTGACCTCATGTAGGCGGGCGCTGTCGAATTAGTCAGTCGGTATTAGTACCCGCCCAAGTGGAACATTGGCACACCAAATCGAGGGCTCTCCATTTATCATCGAAGGAACACCTATATGAGTACAGCTTCATAATTGCCATGTTGCCTCTATATTTGAGTATTCTCCAAGCTAGTTCCGTAGACAATAACCGCCAAGGAATCACCGCAAGGCAGACAGTGCCCTGATGTCTCAATCTTGGGTTGCCGTTGGCCAGGTTTCTCGAGCATTACTCAAAATTCTGCTTACCTAATACAGGCCCTGGTCTGTGACGCCCACCAGCACCTCCTAAGCGCACAGCACCTAAGCCATCACTATCAAATGCTGGCGGCTGCCGTTTTCAATTTGAGATCAAATATCTTGTTCTTCTGTCCTTCGATCAAGCGACATCAAAATTGCGTTTCTGTCCTTTGCGAGAGTCCGAATTGGCAGCCAACATTCCCTTTTGCCACCAGGTCTCCAACTTGTGGAAAACACCTTCACGGCTGGACCGAGGTGTCCCTCATTGCTGGGTGTTTGGCCGTCGATTTGGTAAGGCCCACAACCAATGCATATGCCACCCAAGCCAGTTGTTGGCGGTCATCATCTAAAGGAACGACCTCTCTCCCTTTCTTTCACCCTCATTTGTTTCCTCTTCCGGCTCTACATATTGCGTTGAGACGTGTCGAGGCTGCCCTGTGCTGACCGAATACCTACATAGAATGACTTGGAGCCTGACCGAACCATCGCCCCCCAGAACCCCCACTCGAGCTCGAAATCCGCCGCGAAATATATTCTTGTATCATATGGTTTGGCTTGGATCTTAGGAAATTCGGCTGCTTGATGGTTAGGACTCAAATCAGCTTTCTTTCATTTCGCGCTTGCCTCCGGAATCAAGTATCCAAGCCGTCGGGTCACTACCTGTACAATGTACGATGGGTACGAGTTTGATTTCCTTTCCCTTTCCAGATTCCCCCCTCCAAGGATCGACCCGATTCTTCGAATTGACCAGTCGACTTTTTGAATTTCCAACCGTCTCTCCACGGTGTCATGCTCCCTCTCGGCGTCAACGATTTGTCCATCATGTTGCCCGAGTCCTGAAGTGGAAGGCTGTCGTTGTAATGCTTGCGTAACATGGTAATAATTAATGTACAGGCTAACAGGGTGTGCTTCTCCTCACGGATCAGATCATAATTCGACGATGTCATCAGATACTATGCCCAATCTTTTCCCGGACCGGCCTATTAGGCCGCTGCCGAAACGGAGACTTCGAGAACGACTATCCCCTCAGGTTGCAGAGTCGATAAAATACCCACCTTCGATGCTCAACTCGATTCCCCTTTTTCAGTATCCCTGCTCATCAAAAGAAGAGGAAACCCATTCAAATATCGGATTTACGGGTTCATCTGGGGGGCTGCAACAAGTTGAGTCGGCAAAAAGTCTTCCAGGCCGCCGAAATGGAGGGGTCAATGGAACAGATGGAATAGAGACAGCAAGGAGTGCGCTCGTTACAAGATCTTCGCCCGAGCTTCTGAATCGGACGGTGCCTGTCTCTTCAAGACCAGAGCAATCACGCTCAAGAATGCAACCCGCTCCATCGACTCCCTCATCGGTCGATGGTTATGATTCATTTGAGAATACGAACAATAAGAAGAAACGAAAGATCCCCTCAGCCGGCGATTCGGTACTCAACTCGGCTCACGGGCTTAATATCGATATGAGCTCACATCCGACATCTGCTGGCGCAGGCTCTCCCTCTGGTGAAGTCAATGGTGATCATTCGCTTTACAGTTCGGCGGGGTATACCACGACAGGAAGCTTCGGTTCAAATGGCCAGGGTATGTCAGGGTCTGGGAGAGGCAGGCTTGGCAGGTCAAGGAATTGCAGGAGTCCTTTACGAGCCCTCTCTGATGGCAACAACTTGTCAGCTTCCCGCACCTCGAAAAGCGCATCGCAATGGTCTTCTGGTATGTGCAAATTTCATTTCTCTTTGTCCTCTTCTGTTTTCTCGCCTTCGAATCGTATCCTGGTTCTCTCTAGTATGTCTTTGTAATTTTTACAAAAAGACGAGTGGTGGGTGACTCAACCTCTGCTCCGCAGCAAGTGAGTTTCGCTCAACCAACTCAATGTCTGAACATCTGCCCCCTAAAACGCACCTGACTCTTGGTTGCTGGTTGTAGCTTCCTCAACTCGGCCATGTTTTCGGTTTTGACTTTGGCTGATTTGTCCTGTTTTCCTTCTTTTCTTCGCCCTCTTGGTGGATTCTCCGAAATCGTTTATTACCTACTCGCTCTTCACATTTCTACCCCTGAGAATCAAACCATCTCCTCCTTCTCAAAGCCTGAATTTTATGCTTAGGAACATGATGATGGACGACTAACAGCATTAATAGAGCACGAAGGATCCAGCGGTATTATTAGAAACGCGATAGCCAATGCGGGAAAATTACCTCCCCAGGGAGAAGAGAACGTGAGCCTCTTGCAACAGCACTCTGCTAAGAGCAAAGGCACACCCTCCTCATCCCAGTTCACTTTCACCTGCGACTCGCAAGTCACCGGCACATTGCATTGGCCCGGTCGGTACCATCATCCAGAATTTAATGCGTCTTGTTACTAACTTGTCGCAGCCAACTCGTCCAGGCATAACATGGGCCAACAGTCAAGCTTCATAAACGGAGCTCCAGCAGCTCACCATGAGGACCTTACCAAGGCCGCCAATCGCGAACGAAGAAAGACTCGCCGGCAAATTGAAAAAGAACTAGTCAGAGCAGCAGAGGATCGTCGGCAGGCAGCTGCTAGACGATATTATCAGAACCCCCCCAAACCAGAAGACTTTTGGATTTGCGAGTTTTGTGAATATGAAGCTATTTTTGGAGAGCCTCCGCGGGCCCTCATTCGGCAATACGAGCTCAAAGACTACAAGAAGAGGCAAGAAGAAGCCGACAGGAAACGGCTCCTGGAGAAGGCGAAACAAAAAGGCCGAAAGGGCAAAAAGAATGGGAAACCATCTTCTAGGGGAAGCATGGCAAATCAACATGATTCAGCTGGCACATATGAAACAAACGTGCCTCCACGCAATCAATCTGGCAATAGCCAGTCAACGCAGTCAGAGGACGATGAGGACGAACAAACCGCCGAGTCAGAGCAGACATACCACACCCCTCAGCCAAGTAGGAGGCCAGGAAATGAAGAAGATCGAGGAGGAGGCCCGAGTCGGAGAAGAGGACAAAGCGTTGACAGTGGGGGGGCCGGCATACCTCGGGCTCCGACAATTGAACTTGCAGTACCATAGTAGGAATCTGACTGAAAGTGTGCTCCGAAGTATCGGGCTCGCTCTCATCCGGAACAGTATGCTTGCTCACTTACGCTTGGTAACCCCCTAGCGTTGCTGGAAAATTTGTTTATTCATGTATTGAGGACATCTTGGATGTGAGAGGCAAAGAGACCAAGGAATCTCCTACAAGGCTAACAAGTCCTTGATGTACAACTATTCCCCAGGACTTTTTATGTAGCGTCTATAGCCTTCACGGCTGTTTGTTGAATTGAGCGGCTCTGTTTACTACGTGCGTATCACACTCATAGTTCTGGTCTCAGCTAGTGCTATTTGGCGTCTTGTCCCTTTTGCAGTTCGAATGCAATGATCTACTCCAACCTCGGCCCGCCCACTGCATCCGACTCCAAACCAATAGGGGGTCAATTTCCACCACACCTTAGGCTCTGATCGGGCAAGTTGTCCATAAACCCCGGGCCGTCTCGTCAACCGTCTGTCTACCCGCATATCTCTTCCAGGTACGCAACGAGTCCGTCCAACGCGCAAGATTTTGTTTTGATTGCAAACCGAACCCAGAACAGTTACCCTACCCTTGACGACGATAGCCACGAGAGCAAACGATGGGCGTTGCCGACCCACATTGGTATTGCTCCTCAACATCCCAGCGCGAAAGATCTCGGGATGCCGTCATGCCCACCGGCGCAGAGACAGGCAGGGATCGGCAGCCAGTGCCTGGTGTCAAGAGCGTCATTCTTGGGTGGTGTTTTAGCCGTCCTGCGCTGTGGTGGGGGGAATGCTAAGGTGGTGTTAGTGAGGCCTAAGGATGGGGCTCTGTCGTCATAGACTGCAGTTGACGCTCCCTGTCGCCAATGAGGGAGACGCATTGAGGTACGTACACCGGTGCTAATTTGCTGTGTCTTCCCAAACACGCTCAGCTTCAGCCCAGCTCCCCTGTCAGCACGCTGGACCTATCCGAATCGATCACCAAAGCCCTAACTGCCTGCGCTTCTGCTGTCCATCTGGTGTGGGCCGAGCTTCCATGGTCGGTGGTGACGGCGGTTGCTGTGGTTCATACGTGGTGCGACTGGGTTGCGCTTGTCGAGTGTCGAGTGCCGGCCCATCTCATTATTCCCTGCGGATCCATCCCGTCTGGACACTGCCCGCCCGTTTCGTTTCACCCTGATTACTACTAGTACCTGCTATTCCTGGCCCCGATCGAACCCACCTCTTCCGCGAACCTGCAAGTCTCCGTCATTTCAACTTCTTAATTATCCATTATCCATTTAATCCTTCATTCAGTCAATTATTCAATTCTTCTGCCTCCTTGCCTACTTAATCCCATGACATAACCCGCCTTTGGCAATTGCCGGCACAGCGAGCCATCATCAAGTCACCATGTTTGGTGGTTCCCGCAGGCGTCGTCCTCCTGTTCAGGTATGTTTCGGAAATCACCCGCTGTTCGCTTGAAGCATTAGAGTTCGCGCCGGCCAGCGCTTGACCACGGGACCCATCGCTCGAGTGTGCGCCCAGCTGCTTGCTTAATTATGCCTGGACATCGTCATCGAACCCTCACAATTTCTTGTCGCTGGTCGTCTGTGGCTCCTGTCGCAACGTCCGTTGTCTCGCCCTGGTCACCCTCCACCTCACCTTCTCTTGAAGCCACTAGCCCTCGCTCAGCACCGCCTTCCAAAACATTGATATCGATCCTTGCGCTGACATGCCTCTGTTAAAGCCTCTGACGAGTGAGACTGCAAATCCAAACGCGGCAACAGCCGCGGCCTCGGCTTTCATGCGCAGCGAGCCCTCGAATTCATTATCATCCGCCGCCGCAGCCGCCGCACTCAAAGCACGTCCTACCACCCCGACCAATGTCGCCGAAGTTCAGTCAAAGCGCGCTCTGCGGAGGAGTGCCTCTCTCACGAGGAGCCCGGACCGATCGCGCCATGGGAAACAGCTCCAGAGGTCGCCCAGCGCCAGCTCTATGACCGAGCGCACCTTCAGGTCACCCTCGCCTGGCCGCAACCCGGCACCAGTACCACACGATGCCCCTCCTGTTCCCAGCTTACCGAAAACCGAGCCTCAGAAACAGTCGTTCCGAACTACGAACCAGAGGACCAAGCATGGCAGTGGCAACATCAGCATTAGGACGACAGATCTTGTGTCGCGAACCTCCACCGACGCCAACGATGCCAGACCTGGAAGCATCAGCCCCTCGATCAACTTCTCGTATCCCAGGGCGACGATAGAGTCACCTACACTATCCGCACCGTCTGGTTCAGAGGTTACAATGGTCTATGACCCCAACTCTAGGAGAATGGTTCCTAAAGTGGAAGTCTCAGACAAGCAACACGTTCGGCGGACACCAGAAAAGCCGGCGAAGAAGAAGAAGCAAGCATCACTGCCAGTTGGTAGTCATGTTGAAGTGGCGAAAGCTCTGGTTGCAGAATCTCTAGGCCGTGAACAGACTCGCCCAGCAGAGACATCAAAAACGCAGCGACCAGCAGTAACGGAAGGCCGCTCGGCACAGACAGCCAAGTCAGCGCAACCAGTAGAAGTCAAACACCAAGTAGTACCAGCCATGGAGTCAAATGCGGGCAACGCAGAGCCTCCCCCACGTAACATCACCAACTCTGAGGTTGAGGTCCCGAATCCTGCACCCAGTTCGCCCCGCTCCTTTCCTCTAAAGGTCAATAAGTCGCCTTTAAAAACGGATGGGGAGGATGGCGCAAGCAACACTGTTGACTCTGGCAGCGCTCAGGAAACAGATCACGTCGCTCCTACAGTCTCTGCCTCTACTTCTGACGCACAAATACAAACGACATCGAGCGAAGATAGGTCCCAGTCTCAAGAACCAGTTGCAACTCCGATTCCTGAACCACGTGGACAAGCAAGGGAAATCCGAAGAACTCGGGTCGAGTCACAGAGCCCTTCGCATTCGCCCGCACGATCTGCGCACTTTGCGCCGACGACGGCCCAACTCTTAGTTCGCCATGAGCCCCCTCCCAGATCAATTTCCCCTCGAAAATCGGCTTTGAAGCAGTCTAATAGCGTCCGAGGCAGTGGCCCATCTGATGATAGCTCTGAGGCCTCGGGGTCAGTGAGTGGGCAGTATTCCAGAGACAGCTCCGTCCAAGCCACCAAGAAAGCTTTTCGCGTTAGTTTCACGGATGAGAATACAGTGGTCGTTGGAGATTCAGCCGAACCGCGAGAACCGAGCCCTCCAGCATTACCAAGCCCACAAGCTAAGAAGCCATGGCATAATGTCATCACGCGCCATCAGAAAAAGGACAAGCCTCTCGTGGATGAAGATGAAACCATGTCCCCCAGGCCTGCTTTACCATTGTTTGGTAGCGTGCGAGACAAGAAACCACGAGAGCCCGATAACGAGCGTCCCCTTGTTCGCCCTTCAGAGAAGATTTGGTCCCCGGGCCCGGGACCAGAAGCGTCTAGATTGTCAAACGATTCCCCGGTTGGATCTCTTTCGGCACAAGAGAATGCATCCCGGAATGCAGCCAATATATCGAAAGCACGAGAGCCACTCCCGCCAGTTGTCCAGTCTGTTGACATGATAGACTATTTGAGCAATAGTCCGTCGAGTTCAGATGATGAATTGGACGATTCAGACACTGCTCGGTCCACTCAACTCACAGAGCAACACTTTGATTCCCAGTCGAAAGAGAATCTGGATCAGCCACCTAGGCCAGAGGTTTCTTCCGACCAGAAATCATCACTTATTACTGCAGATCCAAAGTCTGCGGACGGGGATGGACATGCACAGGATGATTCACCAGTTACGAACCAAACGCTGCTCAGGCGGCCAGAAGATGTTCCAATGATTTCCATCACCAACCCCAGCCCTTTATTGAAAGACGTGGATGACAGCTCACCCGCTAGTGACTACTTCGATGTCCCGGGTGGCTTTCCTGAGGACGGCTCTTCTAAACCTATTGTCGTTGGAAACGATACACCTTCTCTCGAGATAATCACCCAGCCTTCACAAGCACCAGCACTGGCCGAAGTTGAAGAGGTGCCTGTCCCTGGCTCGCCCATGGGAGATATCAAGGAGGAGGAGGAATCCACAGATGGGAGTAGCATCTACAGTGACGCCTATGAAGACCTCTCAGATATAGAGGGCGATGGTTTCATGTCGTTGGATGCCGTTCTCGAATCTCCCACAAGCGGGAAAATGGCCAAAATCTACGAGAAGGCTCTGTCCCAGGCCAAGGAAAACGAAACAGCTACAACATCGGTCTCCGATAGTGGGGTTCCCGAGGTGTCACCCAAAACTTCACAGGACTGGGAGAATGCAAAGGCATATTGGCGTAGTCTCTCCTCTGATAAGCGCCGCCAGCTTGAGATCGAAGCGATGGAGGAAGCAGCAGAGGAAGCTGATCAAGAGGCGCCATCTAAAGTAAAGAAAACTAAGAAGAAGAGGCGCTCGGCAGATCAGCAGGCGCTGACCGCCAGCGCCACCGAGAACTCGCAGACAGTCGATGGATCACACAGAGGGCCAAAGGTATCTACAAGGGAGGAGGTACCCGTGAAGTCCTTTCGCAAATCGATGCGAGGGAACCGGCCGCAAGAAACGGGAGAACCTCAACAACCAAGCGGTACTATGCGCAAAAGTTTACGTTCTAACGGGGATGCTGGGGATTCTCACACATCCCGTCCATCATCATACCACCCAGGTTCTACAACTGAACCATCAAATGACACGAAACGATCGATGATACTCAATGGGCGTCCAGCATCGTCGGGAGGTATAGGCGGTGCAAGCGGGAAGCCTACATTGAGAAGGCGTGGGTCTGACTCGAGTGAGAGCAGCTTCAAACGCTCACGGAGAGGTCATACAGAGGGATTTGGCTTCCGGAGATCAATGAGGGAGTCAGAGCCGCAACATTCTTCCAAGGGCAGTGGACGCTTTAGTCTTCGTTCCCTCTCGCCACCAGGATCACCTTTCCGCCGTCCAAGCTTTCAAGCAGCAGCATCTACAGATACTGGCGGGCGAGGCATGAAGCAGTCGTTGCGAAGCGATTCAACAGACACCAAACATAAACGTTTCTCTTCTTTTGGGCGATCCTCGGGCAAGAAAGCAAAGCAGGGCAAGCTGGGAAGCCGCTTTGCAGACTCAAGCGATGAGGAAGATGCGCGCCCGTCGATATTCAGGAGCCGCTTTGCCGATTCCAGTGATGAGGATGAAAGGCCCTTGTCCTCTCACAAACAACGTGGTTTTGCCAAGACAATGAGGACGAGTCAAGGTGCCAGCTCGGCAGCCGCTGCAGCCTTGGGTGTCCCTCCCGCCCAGCCCAGGGCAGACTCGTCTGATCTTCCGGATAGTGACGATGAAATTGTCCAACCAAAGCGTGGCTCCTCCGCGGCTGGAAACGGGCGTCCTCCTGTGCAACGGAATCGGTCCGGGCGTGGTGAGCTGGCCTCTAATGCTGGCCTCATTGGAACTGACGACCTGGGAGATCGGCCCTCTCATACTCGCAGAAACAGTTTCATGTCCAGCATACTCCGCAGAAAGAAATCGCCTGGGAACAAGATAACGCGGGAAATCAACGAGAGTGCTGCCCGCCGCGACACAAGACTTGAACGAAGTACCGAAGAGCTTGCCATGATCCGGAGCAACAGTGGCAGCCGTCTCCCAACCCAGAAGCGCGGTCCGAACTGGCCTCTACCGGACGGAGGCGAGGAAGGGCCCCAAAGCGGCTCCAAAGCAACCGCCGAAGCCCCTATCCCACGCCCTGCAACCAGTTCTGGTGCTGCTCCCTCTGCCTCCTCGCGGGGCTTCCTCAAGCGCCGAAGCCTATCCCATCAAGAGGCGCCTCCTTACGTTCCGCCATATGCTGGTCAAGAACAGGAAGAAACACCCTCGGAGGTTATGAGCAAGAAGAAGAAATTTGGCACGCTGCGCAAAATGTTCGGTCTCAATGATTAGGAGATTGGTACTGAATCACCAAGCTTCCTGAGATGCTGTTAGCAGAAACACTGCCCTAACCTAGCCCTTCTTTGGATATGATTTTTTTTTTTTTTTTTTTGGATAATGGTTCTCAAAAAGCTATCCTTATTATAATGACTTCAGCCGCGGCCACCCGCGGCTTTCACCCTCTTCATTCATTGTCCTATAGCTTTGCCTTCATTATCATTATTTATTACTCTTATTGGTAGTATTATTACTACCCATCACCATTTTCATTATTATTAGTTGTTATTACTTGTTGGTCACGGTTGATGTTCCTTATCTGGGTGCATGTTAGACACGGGGAACAAGCATTGGGGTTTATGGGTATTCTGTCAAAAGGAAACAAGTAAAATCAAGGCGGGATGCTTGCTGCACTCATTAGTATTTAGATTATTCCAGCGGGAAATGAGTCTGGGACATAAATACATAATACCACCGCAACGGCTCCTCGCACTCTGCGATGAAGCCATATGTTTATTTCTTTCTACAAGCATGGCCGTGAGACGGAACGAGTGAGAGTCTCGTAATAGATTTAACCAGCTATGCAATACACTTAGACATATAGACGAGGAAGTGTTCGTTGGGTAGACTGGGTGAGTGCATAGAAAAGCAAGCATCACCCAAGCAACAGCAGGCGTTGTGATGATAGATCACCACAATGGTTACGGGAGGGGATGTGCACAGGGTAGCTAAAATACCGAGAGAGCTAGCATGGTATAATTAACCTTACTGTTAACTCCTCTGAATCATAGTAAAAGTCCACATCGCTTTGATGTATGTTGAGTCTATAGAGTTTTTGTTGAAAGCACGGTTCCCGAATTAACTTTTTTTTCTCTATTCCAGAGTATCTAATCCTTGTTGCGTCGAAATTCCATATTCACTCCTTAGCGAGGACTAACAGCTGTGTGTGCAAGTTCAATGACAATGAGCACAAATTGTGCCCGATAAAGGTGATCGCCATTCGTAAGGTAGGTACATATATTCAAGGCAGTCACGAATTGGACGTTTCAAGGCAGTCATGCTCTGCGGACAGGGTAATCGTTTCCTTGTGCCTTCTAGGAAATCCTAGATTCATGGCTCGACCTCTGGTCGAGTGGACGCTCATAGAGCAAGACGAGCCCGCCAACCAATACTCGTATCAGACCTTTGCCTACCCTGTTCATCGGCGTGTGATCATCGCTATTGGATTGGGAACCTCTTGCCATCATCTTTAGTGTTATGGCTGCAGTTCTTCACGTTGGCTTTGCCGCCCTTTTTAACATGGACATTGGAAGCTACTTTCCGAAACGGTGCTAATGTGGACATGTCCGTTCATATTGTTCTCCTGATGGCAAGTGTACAAGATCTAGGCCAGCCACACATTAAGAATTAAATTATTGTCTATCTACGCAGGAAATTCGCAATGCGACTAGACTTGTGTCTTGTTTTAATTGAGAATGGATCTTACTAGTTGCGCGCTCGAACGCAATAGATTGATTAATCTTGCTTGGTCTGTCCGCTTGGATGCTATTGTGAATGAAACCTGCACGCAGAGCACTGTCGCGACATTATACGAATGCTTATTACATGTCATCCCTTTGCGGTTTAACGTGAGTCTTATACAAACCTATAGTACAAACGTATATGCTGGCAAATAGAAACCCATGCACCACCATAACATGGGAAGTATGCCAAATAAGGCCAGTTAGACGGAATTCAGCACTAAGAGCACCGAATTCTCGACAAATTAGCCGGCTAGCTCCTAGACCGGGGCTTGTTGCCTGCCCTAGCTTTCTCCCTCTCCAGAAGAAGAGTCAATTGGCTCTTGGTTCTGCCAAGCGGAACACTGGCCGAGGTACTTGGCTGGGTTGGCGTGAGATGTGAATCTAGTAAAGAGGAAGTTGGTGAAACGTCCTCGTCGAATCGATGTCCAAAATGATGGGTGATTGGGAGCGATCCAACACTCCCGGCCTGGTCGATGATGGTTCCTTGTGCAGCTATGTTCGTCGTCGAAGCAGTCGCACCGGTAAACAACTTTGGATTTGGCGCTTTTATATGAATGCCTTCTCTAGGACGAATAAACCCAGAGTGGGACTGGGATCGAAGCATCGGCGCAGGAGGATTCGGTGGACTTAATACTTCGGGTGCATCAATCTCTTTGTGAAATGGACTGTGATTGTCCTGGACACCCTCTGAGAGTTTCGCAAGCGATTTTCTAGTTGATATCAAGTCGTGGTGCGAAGATTGCCGGGTCATGTAGGGTGCCTGTGGCCTTGATGTTCTCGTCATCTTGTCAGTAGTGGCGCTGCTCACGACGGCTGGTCTCTTTCCAGCTGCCTTTTCGCTTAGTTGTTGCGATCTGTTGGAGCCAACTGAACTCGTGTTATGAGTTGGTTTCGAGCTTTCGTGACTTGATGGGCCAGAAACATCAGGTGCTACAGGAGTCTTAGGTGAAAGGATCTCCTGGGGGCTTTGTGAGATTGGAGCTGCCGCGGCAGCATCTTTGCTTGTCAGTTTCGGCACCCCGGAGGACTGGGAGCTGGACTTTCTGCGTATCACTGGCCGTCTCTTCGAATGTCCAGCAGAGGCGACAAACTTTTTGGCCTGCACTGGTGCTTTCTTCTTGGGTGGTGAAGGGTTGGGCGTTCGCATTTCTAATCCCGGGGTGACTGTGCTTCCCGAGGATGGTATGTCGCCTTCTATATATTGTTCTTCCTCGGACTCATGGGGCGAGATAAACCGTGCCGTAGGGCGAGGCCCTGTTGTCGATGGACCTCTGGGCTTCTTCAAGATGGGATGAGCTGGAGGGGGTCTGGAAGCGCTAGATAGAACTAAGTCAGACTTGCTGGGTCCTTTGCCATCAGCCAGCATTTCACCCTGCTGGCTGGTCCCGGCAAGCTGCACCGTTGGCCTGCTTGGAGTAGAACTCTAAGTATAGTCAGATGAGATCAAATTCGTCTAGCGGCCAGATGATTGGGGAGGAGGGAGAGGGCGAGCTTACATCTGGTCCTTCCCATCGGTTTGGCGGTCCTCTCAACGGCACAAAGGTCGGTCCCAAAGAGATATGCTCGTATATCGAGGCCAAAACATTGCCACTTAGGAGACGCCGATCACTCCCCAGTACATGCCACCAAAAGTTCTCGAGCCGCCGAGCGATAGGATCTTGAAGCTTTTTGTTTGTAGTTGTATACACTTAAACAGGAAGTTGTAGTTAGTAAGTAGATTCAGTAAAGGTAGAGCTGAGCAACGGGATGCCCAAGCATACCTTTCCAGTACTTCCACACCTGATCAGGAGGCACCTGAGGAAAGTTCGCAACCTCTTGATAGATAGTACTCGTGTTTACAACGATGCCTTTCGGCAGCGCAACATGATCCGCGTTGTCCATTGTTGCGGCTCGTTTGCCAGTTGGCTCGAAGAAAACGAGCTTGAGCTGGCTCTCGCGGTCGGCTCGACTGAAATATTCACAAGCTGGATAAGCTTATTATTAATGGATCCTCAGGTGGCCAACTGTGCACACAATTTCTGAGCACAAGTAGGATCCAGTGAGATCACCGAGCCCGAGTCATGGCAACAATCATAGTCTCTGTCATCAATCGACCTTGAGCTGTGGATTGTCTTTGGTTAACCTGACGTTATGAGGACCGGGCAGATCGAAGATGAGAAGACGGTGAGGAAAAGAAAGGAAACGAATGACGATAAAAGCTTAGTTGCGAGGAAACCTCCTTTTCCTTTCCTGGGGAGCGGCCTGAATCAACAAGGGGTTGCCTTGGTCGTGGCGGTGATCCGGGGCAAGTGTCTTTGAGTCGGTGAGCGAACCTGACTCGAGTAGCTGCAAAGGAATGTCACGCAAAACCGCAGTTTTCCAGGAATTGGCAGCCACTGTTCTAGAAGGAATTTGTGGATAATTGATAAGGATCGCGATGGTTGCCGTAATAAAGGAACGCTTCACCAGACGGGTTGACAAAAAGATGGACGTTGGGTGTGTGCACTGGGCCTCTGGGTGCTGAGAGAGGGGGGGCCGAGTCCCATGTGAACAAGCCGGAGGCTGATGAATAAAAGCTTTTTCTCTTTTTTCTCTCTTCTGATTGTCAGGGCGAAGAGAAGGTTGTCGGCTACTAGCAGTCTAGGGTGGTTGAGGGCTGCATGCAGGAGCATGCAGGTAGTGCGCGCTGTGACTACATGTGCCTCGTGACAAGGGTGCAGTTGGGACAATGCGCCAGTCCAGAAGCCTTATTATGCGATCGCGCACGCGGTAGAGCAGCAGGTGATCAGAAGGGGCCGGTCCGAAGGCCGTCCTGTCTCCGTATGGAATCGATTTGCAGAGCCGTGTGGGGGGAGGCAAGGGGGCGGGCTCCCTGGGAAGAAGAAACAATATGACGTCGCAAACCTGAACAATCAATGCAATGGATGGGCGGTGCGAGGACGAGAGCGACGAGCGTGGGAAGACGAAGAGGCAGCGAAGGCCGTACTAATAGCAACGGGCAATCAGTCAATTGCCTGCCTCCGCGAAGGTATGGGCAAGGAAGGATTTTCAGGCCCAAGGAAAAAGGAAAGTGAGAGAAGAGGTACCTGTGACAGCTCGGAGTGGCCTGAAGGGGGAAATCCAGCTCGTCGGTCTCGAACAACCGAAAGTCGCAGTCGCAGTCGCAGTCGTGGTGGAAAGGGCGACCCAAGGGCCCGAGGGGGGCTGGCACAGGCACAGCCAAAGAGTCTCGACGAGAAGAGCGAGCTCTACGGGACAATGGCTATCGTGTCTGCCCCCTCGCGCGTACGGACATGAATTCAAGAGGCAATAAATAATAATGAGAGGTGGATAGTCCGGGTTTATGTTCTGTTTTGGATCCCGACGCCTTCCACTGTCCAGGATCATCCGCTAACCGGCCAGTTTCTAGGTACCGCCTCGTTGCAATTAGCGGCAGCACGGGGCCACGCCGCAGCGCAATAGCCTGCATACCCAACCTGTTCCTGGGCACGAGCCTTTGCCAAGGGAGAGTCTGTGGTGCTTGAGCACACCAGAGCTCTGGCCAGAGACGACATATCATATGAGGAAAATTCAAACACGCAAGTCGCATTGGGGCTGGGGCCAGGACGCCAGCTCCGGCCGAAGATCCATATTTCTCTTCTGTGCAATTTAGAGGCTTGAAAGGAGGCAGAACAGGCCAAGACGACAGGAGGTGCAGTGCCGTAGTGCTATCCGCTGCTATCTCCTCCTAAATGCGACTACAGGCGACTAAACTGAGAGTCATCTCCCCCAACTGCCTACCTTAGCAATGGCTTCAGGACGAGACGGTGGGAGTACTGGCCACACCAAATCATTGACCATTGCTTGAATATTCAAGTAAAACAATCATGGCAGCGCAATTTTGTTATCCATGCTGAGAAGAAGAAATTCCCATTACGTAGCATGGCCGTGTTATGCTTGCTCGGGCCGGGCCCGCTCATGGGAACTTTCAGAGTCCGAGTTCAAGGGGCTCAAGGGGTCCAGGGACGAGGCCCACAGGGCTTGGGCAGCAATGGCTCTCACTATCTCACATACGCGGAGCATGGATCAAAAAAAGAGCTATCTGCCAGAGCCAACAATTCTACGATACGGGTCGTTCATAAAGGCAACTCTAAGCGTAGCCCTGATACCGTCCACCCCAATCTCTCTTGGGCTGGCCGCTAATACAAGCCATTTCCGGGAGCCGCGACCATGTATTGACCATTCAATATCATCCAACATATCCATATCCAGGACGCAAGGCCTCAGTACAACCCCTTCAGCCCAAGACAACAGAGGTGCGCCTCGGTTCCTTGTCAAATGGCTAAGCTCGGCCAGCTTCGGAACGATATCCCCAGTCCAGCATCAGGGCCTACGGTGACAGTCAGCCGTTTCACAACCCCAAACCCGGTCTGCTTTCCCATGATACCATAGCCATCTACCTTCTTTATCTCTCGGAGTGTTCTCTCAGTGTATCTAGTTTGTCATCACGATAACACCAGTAACATCATCCCGCTGACCGGCCCCCCTTGACAACGCCTCGACGTCTTGGCCGAATCCTATGGGACAGTAAATAGCTCACCGGCCCTCACCGATGGCAGGGCTCAAACTAAGACAAGAAGCAAACCCCGTCAGCTTTGGGCGTAAATTCAGGAGCACCGAGCGTTTGCTCCTTGCCGCCACGCTTCTGGCATGCCTCAGTGGAAGTTGGCCCAACTCTCACTCCCTCCCCGGGACAGGGATATTGGGATCCGCGACCAGGGACCGGGGAGTTGCAGCATGAACCAGGAAACTGGGCCAAAACTAGTCAAGCCAAGGTTGCCCGCCGCTGGCCCTCACCGTCTCAGCGTGGAGGAACGAGTGGCTAATGAAGCCCTCGAAAGATACGCAAGGAAGCCGCAAAATTGCGTGAGCAGAGGGCAGTTGATAGTCTAAGGGTGTCACGATTAGCAATGGGAAAAGGGAAAGGCAGCCAGAAAGATAGACCCGCGCCGAGGCACCTAACCGTTTGAGTAGTTTGGCCCTTTCCGTTAGGTTATCGACCTGTCACCGGGCAAAAACCCCCACGTTTTGGTGCAAGGGGAGAGCTCTTGGCCTGCCTGGAGGGTTGCCAGCCGGACCTGGGCGTCGCCCTGGGAAGGGGGATTGATTGTGGTGGAGCAAAGTTCTAGAACAAATCTTCGGATTCCTCGCCTAAAACACAAGAGCCTCCATTCCTGCATCCGGCGAGCTCCCCCAATGGTTAATAATACAGAGTCGGGCTCTCCCTTGTTCTGGCACTGTCTGCTTCCCAGACGCGCCCGGTGCTAGCCGGCCACGTCCGCACCTCCAGATCACCTGGGCTCGTGCCCGCGATCATTGGGTATCAAACGGCAGGCCCCCGTGCTATTCTCGTTCTGCATCTGTTTGCATCCTGGCACGACACCCCCGTGGATGGATATTAAAAAAAAAATGGTGTCCCTTGGGGATGCCGGGTCAGCTGAGGAGACATGGCTCAAGAGAGAAGGACAGCCATTGATCTCAGCACGCAATTGCCCGTTCCAGTAACACGAGGGAAAGTCTTTTTGGGGGGGCGCATGGCTGATCAATCAATCAAGCAATCAATCCTTGTTTCCTTCGGCAAACCGCATCCCCTCGAAGAAAACCTAGGAGGCAACCCAGGTGAGGAGAACAGGAATCCTCACATGGCCTTGTCTCAGATCCCCATATCCAACGATCGTTATTGGCCCGTCAATGCATATCAATTGGCGGAGGTGGCCGAAGTCAGATGACCTTGTTGAGCTGGCTCCCGCTTGGGGCCGATTATGGTCCTTTTGACAGCAGAAAAGTATGTTGGGAGAAGGGAGGTCAACAGGATAAGAGATAGATTACACGTTTTTACATGTGAATCGATTACCCAACTAATTTAAACTTTCGGCTCTGTCTTATCACAGAATGCCTGTAGTGAGTATCCCGATAGTCAATAGGACACGAATGCCCAAGAGCCAGTCCCCTCGGCATTCCTAATCGAATGTCAACCGGCACTCCTGTTGTGATCATGTTACACATAACTCTTGGTGGTGTGGCACTGGCAAGTCGCTCAGTCCCCTCATGTTCAGAGCATACATCCTTCTCACCCGAGCACACCACTTCCAAGCAAGAAGATGCGCTCCTGCGGCTGACAGTGCAATCCGTAAGCCACATCTTTAACATAGCTACTATATCGGATCATAGCTGTTTGGGCTGATCCGGCCTTTTTCTTTCATCAACTTGCATATCGAATCATATCACTAATGGAATGAGATGCTATGACTGGGTGGCTGCAGATGCGGAGAAATATCACATCACGCGCTTTGGGGAACTCCACAGCCAATAACCTCCTACGCCAGACTTTGCAGACCATGAGGATGCTGACATGCTTGACGCAGAGTGCATATGCAAATCAAAACGCAGTCACCCAACCTCTGCAGTTCATTGGTCCCCATACCCCTCTCATGCCGCTCGTTTTGGATTGCACCCGTGATAGAAGACAAGCCGCGCTACTGGTTCCGCTATAGCCCACTTCTTACACTTCTCCATGTTTGGTTTGGAGAACTTGGCTTCATGGTGATCAAAGCATGTGGGTGACATTGAAATTGAGACACTTAAACCTTAAGTTGCTTATTTTCGAGTCTGCGACCGGTATTATGAGACTATTAATTGTTATTAATACATACCTCAGGGATAATATAGCCGATATGATTACTTTGTTTCATTTTATATGCACTACTGAATTCCTCTATTTACTGTAGAAAGTACTAGTAGTCTGTTTATAACCAACTCTTCCACTAGGTGTCTCATTTCTCCTGTCACCCATTTGCGGCGTTGGTCCTGCGTTGATAAACATATGTAGGGGTCAAGTCCACTGGCTACGTTGGCCTGGCCGAGGAGATGATAAGTGCCATGCAGATAAGTGTCATGCATGGAGAAAACGAGACCTTGAGAGGCTTAATGTTACCAAGCTCGCTTGCTTTTGAGGCTTATGAATATGGCAAAGAAGAGTGCATGAACTAAATCATAAACCAAATTGCTTTCATTACTACTTTTGATATATCTTCGATGTTCCTGTGCAGTCGCTTAATCATTAATGTGAGCACCAAGGAACATCATCTAAATTATGATGCCCATTTCAAAACGGCGAAGCCCATGTGCTTCCAACCAAACTTCAGCATTACCAAGTACAATATTACCGTGTATCTCATGTTTCTTGGATATTGATGTGCACTTCTTATGTAAGGGTGTATCCGCCATCAACACGAATGTCGGCACCTGTAACATAACCGCTCGCACTAGACAGCAGGAAGGTGACGGGACCCATGAGATCCTTGGGCTGGCCCATCTTTCCCTGGGGCGTGAGAGAAACCCACTTCTCCTTCAGCCCCTTGTTCTCATCGAGGATCTTCTCGGTGAGGGGGGTGAGCATGTATCCGGGGGAGATGCAGTTGACACGGATTCCCGCGTGCGCCCACTCGACGGCGAGAGACGCGGCCATGTGGCGGACGGCGGCCTTGGACATGTTGTAAGGGGTCTGGGGCTGGGGGACGTTGACGATAGCTCCCGACATGCTTCCAATCAGGACGATGCTTCCAGGAGACTCACGCTCCATCAGGTGGCGCGCAACCGCGGTAGCGAAGAAGTAGGTGCCGTCAACATTGACACCCCAGAGGCGGCGCATGCGGTCAACGGGGTACTTGGCAGCCTCGAAGTTCTCAGCAAACCCGGCAGAGGTGACGAGGTTGTCAATCTTGCCATGCTCCTTGAGAATCTCATCAATGCAGGCAGCCACGGAATCCGGGTCGCTCACATCCGCGTAATGCGCAGTGACCTTGGGAATGCTGGACAGGATGTCGAATTAGTTGCTGTTCAAAGACGCCACTTGTTTTTTTTTTGCCTCCAGAAGAGATGCTTTTACTCACTGCTCAGCATTTGGGTTCTCTCTAGTAAAGGCGTCACGCAGCTGCTGGATCTGTTTCTCGCCCTCCTCCTCTGACATTCGTTAGCGAGCTGCCACCTGGGCGACCTGAGCAGACAGGAACATACTGTTTAAATCAACAATAGCCAGGTTAGAACCGGAGTATACCATGCCCTGACCGATGACGAGGCCCAGCCCGCGGGCCCCGCCAGTGACGATACCGACATTGCCTTCCAATGTGAAGGAGCCCAAGGTCGGCTTGACATATTGTCCGGGAATCCCTCGGACGGGTGCACTGGGAGGAAGCTCATGCTCCTTGGGATATTCGACCTCGATCTTATCGTCAGTCCGGGAATAGCTTCCTGGCTTGCCCTGGCGAGGAGGGCCGTTATGCAGACAACGGGCAACGGGGACTGTGGAGCGAATGAGATGGCGATGAGTGAAGGCCGCGCGGCGGGCTGTCTGCCGCAGAATTGGGGCGAATGCTGAAGACATTATCGTGGTGAACTTTCAGGCGAAGGTAGTATTAAATTAAAGAATGAAAAATTGGTGGGCAGGGAAGCGATTCCGGGCGTAAGACGAGATGGAGGAGAAGGAATTGAGTTGATAGACTTTTGCCACCAGCACAAGGAAGGAGATGATCAGAAGGAGATGATGTAGACAATCTGACGATCGTGGAGTGCAGCGACTTGAGCACCTTCGGAATGCAAGGCAGAGGTCAAAAAAACCCCGAAGTCGGCGACAATTGTTAGGGCTGGGACGCAACCGATGATCATTCAACGCTGACAATATGCAAGAACGCAACTTGCTCAGAGGAGGGGGCTCTTGGGGCGTAAGAAGGGAGATGAAAGAGACACCAATCCAGTGTACAGAGAGGGTGATTGACACGATGATCGCTCAGATGAGCTTGGGGCAAGAAAGGATCAAGGTACGGTATAGAGAATCAATACAAACGCCACCGGCTCCAGCACACTCACGAGGAGGCCCCAGCCTTCTTATAAACCGTCTCCAGAATAGGAGGAATCGGGAGTACCGAGATACGTGTACATATTACCTCTCGCCTCCGGGCCACCCTTCTCAAGCAACGCCTCCATGACCAAGGCCATTGTCACGATACCTCTCTCCAAGCCGGTCGAAAACTTGGGCCAAAGAAAACTAAGTGTCAATTACAGACAGGGAGGGGGTATGCGCAGCGCAGAGTGGCAGCGGCAGTGGGGAGCTCTACAGTGGGGGAGAGAAGGGGAAGGGGGACCGATCAAGCTTCCCATCGTCGGGACCCATCCAGCACAGGCACCAAGCCGAGATAAAGCCTGTAATGGGGACCCATCGGGGCTCGTGCGCCAGCTAAGGGCCCTAGATCGGGGGTTGCTCGAAGCGGGGCTCCACTAGCTTGCCCGCCTGTCACCTGGGATGGCGCTGGAACATCATTGAAGGTGCGTGCAGTCCCCAGCAGCAACACACGGGAGGTATGTGACATACCCATAAGATTCATGAGTGCAGCACTCGCTGTAATTACAGCACCTGATGCTTCTTCGTCTGGAATCTGACTGCAGCACACTTCCCCACATCGAACCCAAACACTGGGATGGGATGGCGAATGGTCGGTCTTGGCCAGCATGAGGGAGGTGGTCTGCTGGTGGGCTAGACTTTGGGCTGTGCCTGAATGAGGCCATGCGACCGTGACACAGCAGCACGAGATGCGAATATGGCCAATCACCACCCCATCCAGATGCGCCGGACAGAGGTAGAGGGTGTAGAGGGAAAGGAGATCCAAAGATCACACGAAACAAAGTCCCAGCGAGCCACGGGAGAAGAGCAAGGCTCCCTGCTGATCACGAGGACGCTTCTGCCCCATCGAACGATGCCGGAGCTTGGGTAGGACACGCAGGGGGAGGCGAGACGAGGAGCGTATTTTTGGACAATCGCCCAGACAGTACTCAAGACGGGTAAATGTAGCAATAAGAATTAGTAGCTTTACCCGCTTTGGCGAATACGGTTTGCCCATAACTGGCCAGGTTTCCGAACTAGGAGGACTATCTCCTACCTATCGTCCTGCCCTCGTCATGAACAGCCCCCCACACCAACAACTTGCTTGGTTTCCAGCCAAGCCTTGACTGGCGATTGATTAGGAGCGCTAAAATGAATAGTATGTGAAGCCGGACAGAAAACAATGACAAAACTCTCCCGTTCGATAAAAAATGGCAAAGGGCTCTCGCAACCATTCGGTCAGGCCGCAGCTCTGCTTGACTGGTCTAGGCTCGTTTTCTCCCCCTCCCCAACCCAAGGAGCAAGCCAACATAACATACTCTATGCAAGCACACACTCTCTAAAGGGCGTCTCGTTAGAAATCCTTTGGCGGAGATATTTCCCCTGTCCCTGGTATGTACATTTTCTCCTCAATTTTTCACTCCGACCGGCTTGCTACTCTCGTCAGTGGCTGGTACTTACCCATCCTGCCCACCCAGTATGGCGTTTGCAAGTATAGGCCCGGGTCATATCTCACTCGTCTCGGGAGCAGGGTTCCGGGACACCTACATACATAAGACATGCATTGCGACAGGGAAGCGATGTACGTCGCAGATGCGGGCTGTAGTTTAGTTTAGTTTTTTTTTTTTCCTCCGGCCTCGTGATCTGAACAATTTTCACTCCTTTTTGCTGTTGCCTGATGCTCGGAACTTCCTCAACACCATGACCCAGTCCATTTTTGGCTTCACGATAATCCACGCAACGCCCCTCCGAGATGGCCAATTTTGTCCCTCTTTTTCTTTTTAAAAGCCTCAAAAGAGTTCCACTGGGTGGCGATGAGAAAAGTGGTCGCGATTATTGATGACATGTTATGCATCTGCTCAGTCGTAACTCCTGCACGCTCATTTGTAGTGTACAAATCTAGTAGAAACATCAAACCGGCCACGATGATCGTTACTAACCCCCGTCACACCGCCCATACCTCCTTGGATATGTCGTGACCAGGCAACCTGTATAATCTCCCCTCCGCTAGCTCGCGTCCCGAGTCATGTGGATACACGCCCATCAACGCCCATTCCTCAACAATCCCCTTTTCAGCCATTGTATAATGCCGTTCTCTTCAAGCGTTGGCATACTCCTTATTGAACGCCCGCCCAATCACCATCCTCCGAATCTCCGATGTTCCTGCCCCAATCTCATAGAGTTTCGCGCTAAAGAAAAAGACGAGGTTAGCCACTTTCATTATCTTCTCTCGCAAGAGCGCAATGTCTCAAAGTCGCGGACCCGGCCGGCAATCCCGGGGTCCGGGTGATCTGGAGGTCAAGACTCAGACTGGGGGCGGTTGTACTTACTCCCGAAGCAGCCGCGATGCCGGCATCTCCTCCATGTATCCCATCCCCCCCAGCAGCTGGATCGCGTCCAGCGTGCACTCCGTCGCCCGCTCGGCCGCGTACAGGATGGCGCCCGCGCAGTCCTGCGTGCGGATCAGCCCCTGCTCGTCCACCGCCTTGGCCGTCGTGTACGTGTAGGACCGCGAGGCCTGCAGCTTGGTGTACATGTCCGCCAGCCGGCCCTGAACGAGCTGGTTGTGCGCGATCGGCTGGTTGAACTGCCTGCGCTGGTGCGTGAAGGGGAGGGCGACGTCCAGGGCCGCCTGCATGATGCCCAGAGGACCCGAGCTCAGCACGAGGCGCTCCAGGTCCAGCCCTTCCATGAGGACCTTCACCCCGCCGTTGACGTCGCCCATGACGTTCTCGTCCGGGACGAAGACGGAGTCGAACATGAGCTCCCCCGTGTTGCTGCCCCGCATGCCCATCTTGTCCAGCTTCCGGGCGCAACTGAAGCCCTTGTAGTCCGTCTGGACGAGGAACGCCGTGATGCCCCTGGAGCCCTTGTCGGGCTCCGTCTTCGCGTAGACGACGATGAGGTTGGCGTCAGGCCCATTAGTGATCCACATCTTGCTGCCGTTGAGGACGTAGCCGCCGTCGACCTTCTTGGCCGTGGTGCGCATACTCACCACGTCGCTGCCCGCCCCAGACTCGGACATGGCCAGCGCGCCCACCAGGTCGCCCGAGATGAGCCCGGGGAGGTACTTGCGCTTCTGCTCCGGCGACCCGTTGAGCTGGATCTGGTTGACGCACAGCTGCGAGTGGGCCGCGTAGCTCAGTCCTATGCTTCCGGACGCCCGGGAGATCTCCTCCATGACCGTGCAGTGCGCCTGGTATCCCATGCCGAGCCCGCCAACCTCCTCGTCGGCGGTGATGCCCAGCAGACCCGCGTCTCCCATCTTCTTCCACATCTCGTTGGGGAACGCATTGGTCTTGTCTGTGTGAGCCGCCAACTCCTCGGGGATCTCGCGGCGGGTGAAATCCTGCACACGTTCTCGCAGCTCAGAAAGATCCTCGGACGTCGGAGGCTCAAAGCCCGCAGGGTGCTTGGAGGAGTGATGTCTTGAGTGGAGGCTGATGGCGGGGATTGAAACTGTGGCGCGGTTGCAGCATCTCGTCGCCGGGCGAGCGAGGACTCTAAAGGTCCTCAGACTTGTAGCCATGGTAGGAGAGGCTCGTGTGTAGATCTGTGGGCGGTGGCAGAAATAGTGATCAATCACTTCTGCGTGGGGAGTTGCGTATGTGGCAACTGTTAATTCGATAAGGGTGTCTCCAGGTGCGTGTTGAGTGTGGGCGTCATAAATCAAGGAATAAATAAGGGATGAGAAGGAAGAGGTTTAGTTGAATAGCCTGGAAATTTAAGAATGGAACAACAAAAGTCAAAAAAATCCCGACCGACAGGGACCCAATTGACGGCGGCAAGTTACGCTGCTGGCAGTTGAGGGCCTCGGCATAAATGCAGTCTTCGTCGGTCCACGACGGCCAGGAAAGGCTGAAGATAACAGTCCAGAACTGGGCCATTACGTAGCTGAAGGCCTCGGCTCTTCACGGCTTGCGCCGGCGCGGCAACCCCAGGTTTTAGGTGCCTTTAGCTCAGAACTGGGGTCTTCTCGGCCTAAACCATCCACTGCACCTACAGTCGGAGTCGCCTACTCCAAGGTTTGCTACTTACACCTGCTGTCCGCTCGCATTCCAGCCGCAGCCTCTTCTTCCTCGTCTCTTCGGCCCCGGCAGTGTAACACAGTCCAGACCATACCATCGCCATCGCCATGTCGCTGCCCAGGTCGTCACGCACGGCACTGCGCCTGCGCTGCCAATTCGCATCCCACCACCAGCTGCAGCTCCAGCCTCGGCAGCCACGATTCCAGCAGCTTGCCGGCAGTCGTCGCACTGTCGCCAACCTCACGCACACCCACCAGGCAGCTGCAATTACGCGCATACAGACCAATGTCGACCCCACGTCGGAGGAGTTCAAGGAGAACGAGAAGAGCATGGCTGCCGTCATGGCGAGGATCGAGACTCTCTCCCAGCAGATCCAGAAGGGCGGGCCCGAGAAGGCCAGGCAGAAGCATCTCCAGCGCAAGAAGATGCTCCCTCGTGACAGAGTCACGGCCCTGATCGACCCTGGCACGACTTTCCTCGAGCTGGCTCCCATGGCTGGCTATGAGCTCTACCCAGAGGCAGAGGTACCGGCCGGTGGCATCATCGCCGGAGTCGGTGTCGTGGAGGGCGTCTCCTGCATGATTGTCGCCAACGACAGCACTGTCAAGGGAGGAACATACTACCCCATTACTGTCAAGAAGCATCTTCGAGCACAGACAGTCGCTCAGGAGAACAACCTCCCGTACGTCATCTCCTCCACCAACTAGGTCCTTTCCGAAGCATTGGACGCTGAAGCTAACATCAATTGACAAACAGCTGCATCTACCTCGTTGACAGCGGAGGTGCCAACCTCCCTCACCAAGCCGATGTCTTCCCCGACCGCGACCACTTCGGCCGCATCTTCTACAACCAGGCCCGCATGTCCGCCCAGGGTATCCCCCAGATCTCCGTCGTCATGGGCCCCTGCACCGCCGGCGGCGCGTACGTCCCCGCCATGAGCGACGAGAGCATCATCGTGGGCGAGCAGGGCCACATCTTCCTCGCCGGCCCGCCCCTCGTCAAGGCCGCCACGGGAGAGGAGATCAGCGCCGAGGACCTGGGCGGCGGCAAGATGCACTCCTCCGTGTCCGGCGTCACCGACTACCTCGCCGTCGACGACGCCCACGCCATCACCCTCGCCCGCCGCTCCGTCAGCAACCTCAACTGGCCCAAGGCGACCTCCTTCTCCTCCTCCTCAGCCGCGTCAACCCCTGGTCCCAGCCCAACCTTCTCCGAGCCCCTCTTCGACCCGGAGGAACTCCTCGGCATCGCCACGACCAACCTCCGCAAGCCCATGCCCATCCGCGAGGTCATCGCCCGCGTCGTCGACGGCTCCCACTTCTCCGAGTTCAAGCGCGACTTTGGCACCACCCTCGTCACCGGCTTCGCCTCCATCTACGGCCACAAGGTCGGCATCGTCGCCAACGACGGCATCCTCTTCCCCTCCTCCGCCCAAAAGGGCGCCCACTTCATCGAGCTCTGCGCCCAGCGCGCCATCCCCCTCGTCTTCCTTCAGAACATCTCCGGCTTCATGGTCGGCTCCGCCGCCGAGCGCGAGGGCATCGCCAAGCACGGCGCCAAGCTCGTCACCGCCGTCGCCTGCGCCGACGTCCCCAAGTTCACCGTCGTCGTCGGCGGCTCCTACGGGGCCGGCAACTACGGCATGTGCGGCCGCGCCTATAGCCCCCGATTCCTCTGGATGTGGCCCAACGCCCGCATCGGCGTCATGGGCGGCGAGCAGCTCGCCGCCGTCATGGAGACGGTGGGCAAGAAGGCCGACCCCGAGCTGAGGGACCGCATCGACCGCGAGAGCGATGCCACTTTCTCGTCTGCTCGCTTATGGGTAAGTACTCTGTCTCTCCCCAGCTCTTCCGCTTTAGACACACAAGGGTGATTGTAATATACTAACCGCTCACTCTAGGATGATGGAATTATTCCTCCTCAACATACAAGAAAGTATCTTGGTTTAGGCTTACAAGCCGCGCTAGGTGGTCGTAACGAAGTGAAACCGGGTCAAACAAAATTCGGTGTTTTTAGAATGTAATGTAAAAGATATAATGGATGAATTGAACAAGGCGTTCGGAAAGTTGCTTCCGGTTCCCTTTCTGCACTAGATATGATCGCAGAGTCAACCATTCGCTTTCTAATGTGCATGCCCATCTCCAGCTCCTTTATGTTGTTCTTGGCACATAGTGTGTTTGTATGTTCTTCATTATTACTCAGTCCTATCGTACAACTCGCCAAGGAGCTGTGCATATGTAACTAAAGACGTTTTGTCTAAATGTATATACAAGATTCTGTATCTGCCCTGCCATAAGAAAAATAAACACAACATGCTTCTTGGTCAAGTATATTGGCCCCAAGAAATATTCTCATGTCGTCTTGTCATTAAGGGGAATATGGACCCATCCCATTAATCCATGGGGTCGGCCCTTCACCCGTTCATAATCCCAACACAAATAAACTCATTTCCCAAGGTCCTCAGTTTCCAACAGACCCCTTTCCAAGGTTCAATCGAAAGTCCACCAAGTTAATTGTGCTATTTGCCCCTATGTCCACCTTTCGAGCTTCAGACTGAGTAGCATAACTGACACTGATCTCAGTACTGCTTGCTCTTGTGAAGAAGCGCTGAAGATATGACTGCGCATTGACAGCCGTGGTCGCGTTCTGTTCCTGCAGAACATAGAGAACCGCGACACGGGCAAAATCGAGAGTTTCCTCAGTCAAGTTGAACAAATCACTCTTGAGAGTCGGCTGAATGCTGGCAGTTTTAGTGGGTATAGGAATCGAGGCCGTGACGACGAGTGAGTTCCCAGCTCGAGCGGTTGTGGTCACTGTTGCTGTTGCTGTTTCAGACTCCTCGCGGCGCTCGTTCGAGTTCGTGTCGGCGCTGATATTTGTGATTGACACCGAGTCGTCGCCCGTGCGGGTTGATCGTCCTTGGAAGGTGACTAATGCGTTCTGGGTCCTGCAGGACAAGTCTCCCGAGTTGATTTTAGCAAGAATTGACGTTCCAGACAGAGGGATCGAAAAATTCTTATTAGAATCAAGAATCAGACGTGGGATTGCAATACCGAGAGTCACATTTTCTATTGTTGACGACGATGACGATGATACGAGGTTGGTCGTTGTGCAGCCTTCGGATCCTACGGTCGAGCAGTTGTGGCCTGTGTAACCATTTGTGCAAAGACAAGAGCACACGTTATCATTGAACACATTAGTACCCCCATTTTGACAGGGAAGCTCTGATCGGCACTTGTCCAAGCTCGACTCGGGTGTTTGGTGGTTACCCAAATTCTTGAAGACAAAAAACTCCAATGGGATAATTATGGCCACGGCCACAACGGCAATGAGAAGCACCACAACAAGCACAAACAGCCATGGAGGCATGCCACAGCAACGCCTGGCTGCTGTTCTGGGTGGCACCTTTTCAGAGTGCTCGCCCTTGCCTGTCTGATCATTCGCATCATGTGTTTGACCTTGGGTTTCGACCTTGGGCCATGCTGTATGCCGAAACCAAGAACCACGGCTTTGCCCGCCCGTCGGAGTAGGCTGGGCAGGTGGTGGAAAGGCTGCGAGCATATCTGAGAGACCCGACTGTACACGGCCATTACCTAAGTCCCGACATTAGTATCATCATTGGAAAGTCAGCCGAAGGGATTGGACAAGCTTACCTGATCCGCTTGGCCCGTCTGAGACAGAATAGTCATGTAAGTCAAACCGGCTTGCAGGACGCTTCCCTTTATCAATCATCGCAGCCAGCCTTGTAGCTCTCTGAATTAGATCGGGCAAGCTCGTTAGACTGCCTCGAGCTTCCATATCTCGTACTGCATCGATATCGAGTCTTGGCGGTCGCCTCATACCGGGAAGACGTCCTGACGCAGCAGGTTGGCCTGGAATCGCCATCCTCGGCGATGGCATATGGCCGGTGGGGACATCCGGTCTGGATTCTGGAGGACCAGCCTTTCCCGCAGCCTTATGTACCTCAGGATTGGATGCCAGCACCTTCTTAAGGTGAAGTGTATTGTCCGATGAGCTTGTAGAAGTATCCACATAACCAGTGCCTTCACCAAACGGCATTTGTACAGGTGTTGGCGATGGACGAGCAATCAGAATTGATCCAACCGAGGCCGAGCGAACTGATGGCGTGCGCTTGTTGTCCACCAAGGAGGCTTTCCCCTTTTTCCCTATACTTGCACTGCGGACTAATTTGCTTTCGTCGCTCAATTCATCCAGTCCCGAATCCCTGCTCTTCACAGATGCCTCATAGAATCCGTTGCCATCCCCTTCTATCGGGCTGCTGAGAGGTGAGATAGACCCCCAAGAATCATGTCTCGGGATTGCTGCACTTGATGCATATGATCCGGCTGACCGAGGGTTCTCTTCTGGGATAGGCGAGACGAATGAGTTATGTGAATAATACGAAGATGCCCCTCGTCGGCTTGAAGGGGGAGGGCCGAGATTTAAGCTGCGCTTGGGAGGAACTGGTGGTACCGTGGAACTTGTTGAGGGCTCTGGAAATTGAGGTATCGACCCGGCTGACGGGGATTTGTGTCGGCCTGAAGGATTAGCGGAGCTCGGGGGCTGAGAGTCGTCAGCCGATCCTTTTTGGCCTTCTTCGCCATCCTGAAGTTTCAAGAAAACAGGAATTTGCTCCTGATCATCAGGCGTTTCTGAGCTAGGCGGTGATCGCCTCGGTTTCTGCCGACCCGAGGCAGGGTTCTGGATGCGATGTGCCGTAGGTGAGATTTCCGCAGCCAGGGGGGAATTGGGCGATAGCGGCCATTGAGGAGATTGTGATGGCCTGGGTACAGCACCTCGAGTCGTACTTTCTGAGCCACCTGCGCCGCGCTGCTGAGGACTACGAGGTGACTGGGGGTCGGGAGGAGGAGGCGGCGGTGGATTTGAAGGAAGTAAATGATGTCGGGGAGCAGGATTCAAGTTTCCGGCTGAATCATCCTCGCCAGCTATATTGTGGTGCGCCCGACGAGGCCCAGGCACCCGGCCGGATGCCTGTATTCTCTCGCGCGCGCGCTTAACAGATCCTGATGATCGGTCCATGTCTCGCCCATACTGCGGTTGGCTCATCCAAGAGTCGATATCAAAGTCGACGAACTTCTGTTTCGTTTCCTACCAAGAGGCTGACGTCTCCAAAATCTACTCCAAACACGGCGCTCACTGGCATGCAAGCTTTGCACTCCGTCGGTCGACAGCTCTGTGGGAGCGACCTTCAAGAACTGCAAAAGTGGCGGACCAAAATCAACAAGTCCAAAGGAAAAAGAAAGAAAGAGGAGAAAATGACAAGAAAGGACAAGATCCAAGGAGATTTGGGTAGAACTGGTCTTCCCTAGCTGTCTGAGATAACGTATATCGAATGATAATCGAGGAAAATATAAGATCCCTAGTCACTTGTCAGTTTTGGTGAGCTTGTCAGTTGAAATCGGGAGTGCATGCAAGGACAAATATAGAAAAGTAGTAAATAGGAATTAGAAAGAAAACCACTTGGTCAGATAGCGACGGTTTGCGAATCAATCAGTGTAACTTGGCAAGTAAAATTATACTGTCGGGCAAAAAGGTATACGAGCCATTATGCGAGATATCATTGGGGGCCAGAAATATTTGGATCACCTACAAGAGAAGAGTCTTTTCGAGACCGGGAAAGGCGGAAAGATGGAACACGGCGACTTCAGCAACTTCGAGACGGTTTTAGCTGGCGGCGAAGGCTGGGACGCTGAGTCGAGCGCATCGATGTCCTGGGTTTGGCTCCTATCTGCCGCTGATGAAATTATGTCGAGGTTCAACCACAATAAAGCAAGAAACGAATCACCCGTGAAGAGGTCGTTAAAGGAAAGAAAAAATACGGTGAGGGGCGACAACACGGGCCGTTTGGCGCGGAGGTGTGGTAGCCGTTGAGAATGCGACGACGTGTAACAGAGTGCTACGTCGATTTATGCTGTATGCGTTGTCCCACGGAGGGCCAGTTCAGGGCTGGCGCTTCACAATCGTTCGCGAAAGCGCATACAGACGGCAGAATTCCAGAGAGTCGAGAAAGACTGAGAGCTGGCTCAAAGTCAGAGTGGTGAGACGGATTGGGGGTGGCTTGTTGATTGGGCTATCCAGAGACCAAGAACTGGGGGCCGGGTTGCGAATTCACAGGATTGGGGGTCGCGGCTCAACCGCAAGGTCCAAATCGCAACCAGAAAGGCAGTCGTTCACCGAACGACTTGTTGAAAAGGGAAGAAATGGGCGAGGAAATCGAGACTGTCGAGAGAAAAAGAGGGTGTGAGGGGCCTTCCGTGAAGGGTAAGCAGCCAAGCAGGTAGCTGCAGGACTCGGGCGAGATGCTCTTTCGCGGGAAACGAAGGTCGGCCGGCGGCTTAGGTTAGGCACCGGGGCATTTACCAGGTAGGCGATAGTACTATTGGACCAAGGACGAGTTGAACAAAGGAAGTGGCGGTTGAAGCTAACTTCACGATGCAGGCCACACACAACCAGAGTAGTCGCCAGCGTAGCCCTCGGCACGGACAGAAAGGAAAAACGAATGACAGCGAGCGGAGTGAGGCTCAATGAGAAGCGAAAAGAGAGGAGGGAGAAAGAGAGAAAGAGAGAAGGAACCTGGCGATTGGGTTGAGCAGGAAGGGGATCGGAGGCTAGTACACGAGAAGAACATTGCTGGTCCTGGCCCAGGCAGGGAGTCCCGGTGTGGCACGAAGTACCTCTCAAGTAGAGGCGGTAGTCGGCGCCGAGGACAAAACAGGCCAGAGGTCCCTGGGGGATACTTAATTACGGGGAGCAATGCCAAACATGCAATAGTACCTTGCTAACGGAACAGCCTGGGCCAGCCCAGAATGGCGGGAGAGAGGGCTCCTTGGACCGAGTCGCACAGCAGCTCGAGCTGACTGGGGTCTGCCCGAAGGCCTGGGCGGGGACAGGGTTCGATGGAGGCAGAGACCAGGTAGGGTCGTGCGGGCACTACGGTGCATGTGCGGTGGATGAGCGAGGCGGGGGTGAGTAAAACGGCACGGCGGCCTGAGAGGCTCCATGGGCTGGGGATACCTGCTCTACGAGGGCTCTGGGCGAGGTTTGTTCAATCGCCCAGGTACCACCTCGTATGTCATACGTTGGAAGGTGCGACTCCGAGCGATGTACTGGCCCAGATTAGGGAGGTACCCAGGTCAGAGGATACTTGCTCAAGGTGAGATGCCACAGCGAGCCATCTGGGCCCAGGCAGGGTAGCCTGGTGCGTGCCGTGCTTGTCCATGGCTGTTTTCCTGGTATCGATCGTGGGCATTCGTCATTGTGCCTACATAATTTCCCTCAATTGGACGACAGCCCTTTCCCAGCAAGCCTCGAGGCAGCGAAGCCGTCCAATCACTGGCAGCTGTTCCGCCAGCTGAGCGCATTGACGCGAATGTCGCTGTGCGCTCAGACAGCCACTCATTGCAAGGACCTGCATCGATCGGCATGAGCTGCAGCACAAATTCATGTGCTGCTGGCAGCGCACACGTGTACCACCAGACAAGGCTGCCAGCCCGGCAACCCAAGGGCATCAATTGATGTGACAAGCCGCACGCGGATGGAGAGTTGATGCGAACGCGATTCAGAGCGGCGACAGAAATGGCACAGTGGCCACGGGGAAGTGAGGCACAGTACATCCAACGGTCTGTATCCGCACACATTCTACGAATAGACGATCCAAACTAGGCTCCATGCTAACAAGCATCACGCAACGACTTCGAAGAAGCTCATCCGATCCTAGCTCTGTTTCCAGTACATACCCTTGGCACTTAGCCCGCAACCAGAAACACTAGTGCAGAGCTCCTGCGTCAAATCACAGCCCACAAATGAGGGGTCCCTGGCTACAGGTTCGCCGTTTCACCATGAACCATGCCAGACGACCATTTAAAATGCCTGCGAGATCTGTGCCATTGTCACAAAATCCAGTGCCAGCATAACCGCACCCATCTGCTGCATAAAGCCTCTGCATGTTCCTTTGGGGGGCTCCTGTCAACTGTCGTTCTTTTACCCATCTCCGACTCAGCTTGCCCACTTGCCACAATAGCATGGAGAAATATTAATTAAGCTTCAGCCGTTACTCTCTATTAATAAACGGGTTTTGTTCCACGGGCTGAACAAGCTAAGGTTTAGATTTATGAACTTGAGGCGTGCTAACTGGACCCTTAATTTCGTCATGCTCCTTTGAACCTACGCCGCCGCAGGGGCATCACCTAAACACGAGAGGCCTTCTTTGAATGCATGCGGCCAATTCTACCGATAACGACGTGGTAATCAAGGGCAGGCGCATTGCCCCGGGTTGAGGGACATAGTTACTATCTCATCGTTGGCCAAATCATTCATCGCCATGTGGTGGTGGATGCAAGTTCAACTTTAGAAAGCATGCATCAACGTGACAACTTCGCATGAACCTTTTCCCCTCCACCTCACAAATCAGGGCAGGTGAGCTCACGACGCGGTTTTTCTCTTTCTTCTCCAGGTTAAGTTCTCGGTCTTTGTTTCACACCAAACCAATCAATTTCCATGCTCCCCAGTCTCCTCGCGAGGCGCCTAGAGTCACCAGCCTAGAAGCTTGGCTTAGGGGAGGTTACAGCTGCAAGAGGCATGAATTCTGGGACACCCTTATTGATGATCGGCATGAAGCTAGCAAAGTAGAGCCGCCTGCTACTGTGATGTAACAGGCTCCGCTTGCCAATACTATCCGCTGCTTGATTCAACTTCACATACAGCTATCACCCAGAATAGCCGCCGGTGGCTGAAAACTCAACTCAGAGCTAGGACTAGGTTGCTCAATTCGCCTAAACTGTGCTGGATTTTCCGATAACAAAAGCATTTAGAGATGAGCGTGATCATGTGACTGCTATCCAAAGCCAGCCAGGTAGGAAGGTGGCAACCCCATCTGCTCCCTGGCAAGCTTCGTCATCAATCCTTGTTTCGCACACTCAAGATAGTAATTGCCGGAATACCATCATTCCGGAATCGAACTTTGAAACGTGGTAGGTCAGGCGGTTATCGCACGTTTAGCCCCAAAGAGAGGTTTTTGCGCATGGCGGGGGAGGGCTTGCATTTGAAGGCTCTGCTTGGTGAGATGGTGAAAGAGCATTGTGGCGGAAGTGTTCATACTGCAGGACGACTCAGCACGTAGGTATGCATGACGGGAAATATGGCACTCGGAAGCCATCGTTCTCGCACGAGCAATTCCAGTTGGTCATCCCACCTTCCAGCCTTGATGCCACAATAGCCTGTTATTGGTCGGCAAGTAAGACGCCTGACAACATTTGAAGACAAAACCTCCCTTCGGCACTGCACTTGGCACGTGTTGGAGTTTCCGAGTTTGCGGATGCTCTGGAGCAAAGTGGATTCTCAGCTGTGGAGTCTATGGAGGTCTTTGGCCACGCGATAGAGGCCATGATCCAGGTTCGGACAAAACGTTAATTGCTCCTAGCAAACCGTTGAGAATGTGGTCTTGACGGCGGGGCAGCCCGTTTGATCTTTCGCAAATGCGAGGTAGATGGGATGAAAACCCCTTCTTCTATGACAATGGCAATAAGAAAAAGATAAATGAGTATATACATACCCTTGTTTTCTAACGGTGACCAATTGAGTACATAGATTCTTATTGTATACCGGCCCCGACTCCCTTCCCTAGGGTACCACACAAAACGTCGGCGAGGCTGAGACTTCAAGCGTTTGTCTGGAACCGATGAAAACATGACTTCCCCTTCAGTGCATTCTTTGCGCAGTATGTTCCAGGAGAAACCCGTTTGGTTAGCATCATCTGCCGACTAGGTCAGATGTGATCCTTGTCACCATAAGCAAGCCCCCAATGGGGTTGGTTGGATGCTGCCCTGGATGCCTGTTGCGGTGGGTTATCTACCGTCAACAGATTCCTTCACCAGGGGTCGGGGTTAAACATGGCATCGGTGCCATCAACGAGTCCTATTCTGGGGATATGGTACTCATTGTAGAAGCCTTGCTCACCGTTTCAGAGCCCGGCTATCATCGCGCGTTCGCCGGCATTTGGCTCCAAGGGATGATTGATGTCTTACTGAGGGGTGGTAGAGAGAAATACTTCTTGTATATAACAATAGGATGGGCTGCCGTGAAATTGATTATTGGTTCAGGTTGGCTTTTCAGGTTCATTCTATCACATTCCAGTCTTCAAAAAGAAATTGGCATATATCCTCGTCACTTCTTTGACACTCTTTGAACTCCATACCTGGTGTACTCTCTCGTCAAAATGCGTTTCCTCGCCTCAACTGCCACGCTTGCCAGCGTAGCTTCCATGGTTTCTGCCACTGGCCTTCTGCTTCCTCTTTACGTCTACCCTTCGGCTGAGTGGCAGGACGGAGCCGCCAACTGGAACCCAGTGTTCACTGCTGTCGGTGCCTACCCTAATCTCAAGTGGACGATTGTCGTCAACCCCGAGAACGGACCTGGTTCCACTGGACAGGCAGGCAACGGCGATGTCAACTACATCACCGGAATCTCGAAGCTCAACGCTTACGACAACGTGAACACCGTGGGCTACGTCCGAACCAACTATGCCGCCACCCCCCTCGAGACCGTCAAGGGCGACGTCACCACCTTCGCCGGCTGGACATCCTACACCGACTCGGACGTCTCCGTCCACGGCATCTTCTTCGACGAAGTGGCCGCCGACTTCGACTACATGAACAAGGTCATCACCCACACCCGCTCGGCCTTCAAGGGGGAGTCCATCACCACCATCTGCAACTTCGGAGTCGCGGCCTCGGAAGAGTTCTACACCATCTGCGACGTCGTCGTCGCCTTCGAGAGCTGCCTCAACTGCTCAACCGCGCCCCAGTACAAGGGCCAGACGACCATCGACGCCAACATCCCCAAGGGCTACGCCTCTCAGGCCTCCATCATCCTGAACAACTTCAGCGGCGCTGCCTACGACGGCTCGACTGCCAATGCGGCTCTCATCGACTCCTATGTCAGCACCATCGCCAGCAACGGTGTGGGGTGGTTCTACTTCACCTCAGCCGACTACAACGACATCACGACTGCCCCCGCTACTGTTGGCCAGAACGCCGACTCCTTGGCCAAGGCCATTCGTAAGCTGCGTGTATAGGACCGACAGTGCTGGTAGGAGACTTATATTGGTAGTGTATGTTGCCCATATTTTTAGATATGATTCCCACTAGTAATAGATTGAATAGCCTCTCAAAACCGCTTAGTTAATAGCAGAGTTCCTGTTGTCCAATAGAAATTGCCTTGGTGAGAGAATCTGTAGTAGCTGGTGAGCTAGGAATGCTAGGCGCGACGATCTATGCGGGTACACTGACGGGAGTAACTAGACATAAAAGTGTTAAACCTGAACTTGAAGATCAAGAGAGTGAATGAGAAGGGCTTGGCTTCTGGTGTCACCCTGGCTAGTCCTGTTCGTTGGATGGAAAACGCCATGCCTACCTTTTCAGGCTTTCTTTTCATGTCACGTTTTCCATCTTCCCTCGTCTTAAACGTTTATCCTGTCTGCCCTCATTCATTGTACTGGATGCTATCCTCAGCGGCCAGTGAAGCACAGCCCCCGTGAGATACAAAGGCAGGCAGGGGGAGATTCGGGATCCACCATACGCTCAGTTGCTTGACGCCTGTAGAGGGATCTGGACCAGTGATACCATGGCTTGAGATTGATTGGTACGTTCGGTCAATTTCAGACTGTACTCGGCGGCTCACAGGCCTCTGGGGGTTTCGATCGCTATTCTGGCTGTGTTGGTTTGTATTGTTGCGCCTTTTGGGGCGATGGTCACTTCAACACGCCCTGGGCACGGCTATTATTCGTGCTAGTGAGTACAGATCGGAATAAATATGATCTTTGTACCTTTGACCTAATTTTAGTATGGCTACTCATTCACGCAAACAAGGCTTGGCTGGAGACATGGTGACGTTGGTAAGATCGGTGAAAGAGACACAACTTCGACGAGAATGATGATGCCATTACCAATACCAACTATATTCTTCTACATTTAAGAAAACGATGACACTTTGATCGATTTCAACCTATGGTCCGTCGGGGGATCTCTTCCTTTTCCTTTTGCTGCGTCTGAGGGCCGCGGGAGGGTCTTCCTTTTGTTCTGCCTGTTGCTCGCGGGGGGTTTCTTCCTTTTGTTGTTTCTGCTGTTTCTGTTGCCTGTGAGCTCGGGCTAGTCGGGTCCTCCAAGGTATGTCGTTTTCATGGCCGCCCAAAGTATACTCCGACTCTACCTCGTCGTCGCGAAAAGCATACTCCGTGTTGTCTCCGCCAACGGTCAGACGAAGCCCATCATCAGCTGCCTTCCTTACCTCGAAGTAAAGCGCCCAGGACTCATCCATGAAGCGATCAGCTTCTTCTTCCGACAATTCGGTTGACCAGTCGCCCAGAACTGCGATCTTCACCCCGTTCCATTTCTCTCGAATCTGGTCGTTTGTCTTTTTAACATCCTCATCATAACGTTGTATCTCGGATCTCAACATGCTGGCGCCTGCCGGGATGTTGTGGTCTTTGATCTTAGCCCAGTCTGGATTTTTGTTTGCAACAGTGCGGTCGATTGCTGCGAGGGAAGCGAGGGCTCCTTGAATGTCGTCCAGGTGACCTTTCTTTTCGGCCACCAATTTCTCAATCTCCGTCTTGGCGGTGTTCAGTTCCGCCAGGCATGTATTGATCTCATCCATAGCTTCATCGTGCGTCATTATAGGGAAGTCCATGATTGTTTGTATCGACTGAGAAATATAGAATTCGAAGTGTGTCCTGGATGCTTGGAACCGTAATGCGAAGAAATTGTTCAGTGCTTATGTTGTCACAATGTTTTGATTGAACCAGTCCTCAACTCTAGGGCTATCAAGGCAATTATGCTGGAAGGTAGCCCTCGCATTCTCCGTAATGCCATTGTGCCTGCTTCGCGTTGATTCAAGTAACTTTGTGCGTGGCCGCAGTTGTCTAGTTGATGATGAATTCAGTTTGATTCACAGTTTTGCGGGGAAGCGGTTTCCCTAGAGTGATCATCACAACTTCAAATATATCATGTAATAAGTACCTAAGGTGTGCGTCTTGAGCATGGAGATTTGAAAAGGCATCAGCAATCCCGTTATCACGGCAGAGGTGATTACTGCGAATCATCGGGCAAGAGCCATAGATGTCTAATCCCAATCACATGTCACACATGCCTTGGTCTGTTCTTTCCCTTCAAATTTCTACTTAAGAAAGTAGATCAAAACAATTCCCCATGCGTGAAAGTCGATGTTGATTATAATGAGAATCTGTTGCGGTCCTCCTCGATGATACGCTGGTTACTGCGCTCCTTTGAGGGGACACTTTTTTGATTTCTTTCAACCGTTTTCTCAGAACCCTAGAGTTAAGCGAAGGCTTCATGTCTACGACATGACTCCAGCTCATTTGTCCAATTTGTCCTCTGCACTTTGACTGCAGCTGCGAAGTCAAGGTCTGGACGAGCCTTTAGTGGACCTTTGGGGCGACTCTTGTTTTATTTCCCCTTGGTTTTTCCCCACGTCTGTGCTAAGGTAGACAAAACGCTTCTTTACAGCTGGTTACATGTGATTTTCATTTCTTCCTCACGGATACTTTATTAGGAAATGACTCTATGCTGCTTCAGTGTTGTGCTATGGCATCAGCGATGGTTTATGAAATCCAAATTCATGATGTTCCCAAAGGATTAAGCTTGAACAAAGGCTATTTCAAGTACCCAACCCCAGGCCAATCATGGCTCAAATTAATGATTACTTGGGATTGTGTTTCGCAGGGTCATCAGCCTAGGAGGCCGGCGGGGTGGAGGGTCCCCACGCGGCGCAAAGGTGAAACCGTGCAAATACAGGGAATGGAGCTCTCTTTGCTTCTTCCCACACCAGCTCGATGTTGGGATTCGCTCCTTTCCGGGCCACCACAGCCCTGAGGAGGAATTTAGGCTCTGCCCATCCGTGTGGCTGTGGTCGGGCCTCCTTATCCCTGTTTCAACGCAGTCCAGCTCGCCAGAAACGGGGAAAGCGTGCCCACGGCAAAGGCCTTGATTCGCAATCGCCGGGTGCCTTCAGGAAGGGAACGTACTTTGGGAGGGCGGCCTCTCTGTTTCATGGCTGAACTATCGGCCTGTAGTTGGTCGGATGCCCGCCGTGCTGTCATCTGCCGTGCTGTGCCGTGCCGTGGTGGCTGTTGTTTTCTGCGTTTCTGATGCATCCAGTAAGCAGGAACCCGCCTATCAGATTGCGAGGGTCGTGTACGGACGGAGAAAATGGCTTGCACTTTCTTTCTTTTGTTGGTGATCAAGCGCTTACAATGCACAATAGCGGTTTCAAGGTCCGTCGGCTGCCCCTTGGTGTGTCCGTTTGATATACATCCCAGCTTCCAAACAAGGCAGTTGGCCCTGTCCTTGACACCGAGCCGTGTTGTCAGTGCTTTTACCAGTGCTTCATTTAAGCTTAGTTAGATATTACTTCATTTGCCAAGAAGCACGCTTGAGACTCGTGGCGTACAGCAACGTCTTCCCAAAGGCTTGAAGGAGTCCATGTATATAAGGCGGCCAAAATGACCTCCAGGTCATCTCGTCTTCTTTCTCCTCACCCTCATCACTTACCTTCTTTTCCACCTTGTGTGAAGCCATTCCTTACTTTTCAGGTATCGTCGATCGATCCAGTCCATCTTTTGCTTGCAAAACTCACTAGGAAGACATTCCATCTCTTCTCTGATACTCTGTTCATCTCAAGACCTACCGGTTAAGTCTTTACATCACTTCAACATGGCTACCAAGACCCTCATCGCCGCCCTCGCCTGCGCTGCCTCGGTCAGCGCCCACGGCTACATCGAGAAGATTGTTGCCGATGGCCAGTCTCACGTTGGCTACAACCCCAGCAACGCTCCGTGGCAGGAGGACCAGGGCAGTGTCGCCTGGACCTACTGGGCCACCGACCTGGGCTTCGTCTCCGCCAACGAGCTCCAGAGCAACGATATCAGCTGCCACCTCGGCGCTACCAGTGCCAAGAAGAGCGCCGCTGTCACTGCTGGCTCTAACATCGAATTGAAGTGGAACACATGGCCACAGAGCCATCACGGTCCCGTCATCAACTACCTCGCCAACTGCGGCGGCGACTGCGCCAACGCCGACAAGAACACCCTCAAGTGGTTCAAGATCCAGGAGAAGGGCCAGATTGAGCTCGGCTCGGGCGGCGGAAGCCCCGGCTTCTGGGCGGACGACGAGCTCTTCGAGAACAACCTGAGCACGAGCGTCAAGATCCCCTCCGACATCAAGCCCGGAAACTACGTCCTCCGCCACGAGATCATCGCCCTCCACGAGGGCCTCGAGCAGGGCGGCGCCCAGTTCTACCCCCAGTGCATCAACCTGAAGATCAGCGGCGGCGGCAGCAAGTCCCCGGAGGGCACCGTCGCCACTGAGCTCTACCAGAGCAACGACCCCGGCGTCCTGTACAACATCTACAACGATGAGAAGCACCCCACCTACACCATTCCTGGCCCCAAGCTCTATAATGCCTAAGTGAAGGAGTGTGACGAGGGGAAACCTTTGGTTTGCCAACACAGATATGTAGCATTTGAGCCCCGGCGGTGAAAAGGTATATCTATCACCTTCGATTCTTGGTTATGTATATAGTATTATAACACGATTGGCTTGAAATCAAACACCCAAAAGGTTGAGGAACGAATGTAGCCAATGCAAATAAAATACAAAGCAATATGTGAATCTTGGTGCAGTGATGAGGTCGAATCGACTTACCAGAAATGCCAACTCAGGCCCTGCATAACACCCTTGATGGCCCATGGATGCCAATGTTTTAAAAAAGGTGAAACATGGCTTGCAGAATCAGAGCTGCATTGAGTGCATCTGAGAAGATCTCAGTGGCATATCATTACAGGGGCTGCCCTATGCATTGAATCCAATAGAGAGGCTCTATACCCCCACCAAAGAGTCTCCTTCATAGAAAGTGATATCACCTTTCGCAAGAGCCCACAGGTAAAAGGGGGTTTTATCGGTACAACATAAAGAATAGAGCAAAATCATTTCCCGGGATTTCTTTCCACGTCTTCTTTAGCTTTCTGTATGTGCTAGACACCTGCCCAGCAAGGCAAAACACTGATTGATACCCTGCAAGGGCTGGTTGCGGCTGGTGGGGATTTCGGTTTCAGCGAGGATCAGCGCATCAATGTTCATCATTTCGCCCCTCCTGCAAGGAAACATCTCAGCAGATCATTGACTGGCATACGGTAGTGCATCTTGGCAACAGGATCAACAGGGCAATGCCCGAGCCCAAATCATTTCGAGCTCATATCTAGAGAACACATGCCTTTGACCTCTCCTTCCCGATTGCATTACAGTTCCGATTCAAGGCTGGTAAAACACCTCCTCGAGCGGTTTCCACCATCCCGGTTCAGAGTCCGAGCTCTTGGCCCCAGGGACCAGCGAGGTCTGGTATCCGTCCGTCATCTTCCACCATTCTCGCACCTTGGGATTGGCTGCCATGCGCGCCATGTCGCCCTCGTAGTCGTTTCCCACATATCGGAGTGTCGCGAAGAGGATGCCCGTGTTGTCGTCCCAGAAGATGCTGTCTGTAACGCCCGCCGAGCCAATTGTCAGCCATCATACACCCCAGACGCCAATAAAAACAAGCCAAGAATATGTAGTAAGCCATACAGTCCTCAATATTGCAGTCCTTGATCTGCTTCAATACCTCAGGCCAGACCTTGCTGTGGCACTCCTTGTACTCAGCTACATACTCGGGTTTGAGCCGCACGATCTGGGCTAACCGGCGCCCGGGGTACACACCCTGCTGAGTTGACGACATTTCCTCGAATTCCGGTGGTATTGGCTAGTTGCAGAGGGCCTGGAATTCAAGAAGGTATCGTTCTACGTTCTGCGTCCTTGAACCGGGGCTTGGGCTGGTTTTATCCCGGGACCTGGTTATCGCCAAACCATCTTCCCCTCTTCATCGGGGGAATGTGCAGCGAGGCAAGTCACTAAGCGCGGATAAACCCCCACAGTCCCACACAGTACTGCCTTATGATGGCCAACGTTGCATGGACCTGAAGAGATGGCCGAGATTCCCTGATCAAGCTTTACTTTCTCCCGCTATCCCCTTGCTTGCCCTGAGTTATCCCTAAAGTGTAAGATCTGAAGTTATACATGTCCCAATAGTAAGTGGACCCAGTCGGGACACACGACACCGACAAGCGAAATCACGAGAATGTAGTATAAATACCAATTTGTTTGGGATTTGTTTGATCAAGCTGCTAATGACGAAAACCTAGTTGGAAGGAATGTGGGTATAGTAAAATCAAAGCCATAAATAACCGAATTCAGCATGCAAAGGAGAGGATGAGGATGGAAGCTTATAGCACCAGAGATGGTCCATCAACCCAAAAGTAATATACACTGTCATCTCTCTGCAAATTCCAAAACGCCCGCCGACACAATGAGTTTGAGCACCGGAGGAGTGCAGTCTCCGGTGACGTAATTTTGGTGCTTGTCTCGTTCTTTTCCTGTGGGGAATTGAATCTCAGATGCGAGACTAATAATTGAAAGCATTTAGGCTTCTTCTTGAGTTACTTGAGCTTCCTGGGAAGGCTGGTCCTGGTATTGTGGGGGGGCCGCCTCAAGATCCTCATAATGCTCCATAAGACGAGCCTTCTCATCATCGGCCGAAGTAGGCTGGGGACGATGGGCGTGCTTGCTCCTGCGAGAGCAACGTCGGTGGCGTCTACGGCGAGAGGCAAAGACGACAGCGCCAACGCTGCAAAGACCCATGGCGAGACTACAACAGTGATGTTAGCATGATAACTTCAAATAGGTTCGGAATGGGTCATGTGTTGTCACTTACACTGCAACACCAACACCGGCGGTGACACCGGTCAAGACAGGAAGAAGAATGTTGGTGGTGATGTTCTTAAGAAGCTTGCGCCAGTCGCGACGGAAGCCATGGTGGCCATGGCGATGGTGGTCACCTCCGTGGCCTTGAACCTTGCCGTGGTGGTGCTCATGGTCCTTGTGGTCCTTGTGACCCTTGTGGCCTTTGTGGTCCTTATGTTCCATGCCCTTGTGGTGCATGTGCTTGTGATGCTTGCACTTTCCAAGGCTCTTGATCTTGCCCCAGAGGCTGGCAAACTTAGCCTTGAGACGGCTGGCGATAGAGTCCTCAACTTCTTCGACGACGTGTGCAATTTCAATGTTGTTCAGGAAGATTTCACCGCCCTGTCGCATCTTTAGGAGGTTGACTCTGACAGCGGGAACCTTCTCGACGAAAACTTCGCCGACTTCGATGATGCGAAGGTCGACAGTGATGAGCTCGAGAAATGGGTCCTCAACGCGAGGGGTGACAGCAAGTGCGTATCCCAGTGTCTGGTCCGCAGCCTTGCCATCATCGGCGACTTCACTGGCCACAAGGTCGTTGTGCCAAGGATCGGCGGTGGGATATAGTTCGTAGCCGTTGACTGTCAAGCGAGCAGCGTTCTCGACCTGGAAGTCCAGCTTAATGTGGGAGTCGGAGGATCCCTTACATTCGGCGCAGGGAACGCTGACGGTCTCGAACTGGGGAATCACGTATACGCCAGGCGCTTCGTCGGGTTTGGCGACAACGGGGAGGGTCTTGACTTCTTCATCTTGGCCAGCTTCCTTGCCGGGAAGATCGGGGACCACGAGGAAGGCCGCCGCGGAGGCCGCGAGAGCCAACTGCTTCAACAACATGATGGCGGGGACGACTGCTTGGTTTTGTGTTTGGTGAGTGTGTAGTACCTAAGCTTAGATACAAATGGAAAACAAAAGTTAGAGATGGGAAAAGAGAGGACGAATGATTAAATTGACAAAAGGAGTTGATCGAGGTGGAGGAGGAAGGAATGCAGATTACATGGAAGAAGGGTCCAAGCGGGTAGCTGGGGGGGGAGGCACAGTGACTTTGTCCTGGCGCTGGCTTGGGCGGTTGTGGAGGTTCCGGATACAGGAAGAGGGGAGCTGCCGTGTTCGTATTGGATGCATCAGAGGGCGACGTAATCGTTTTGGCCTGGCATATCAGGCCACCGCCGAATGGGGCCAGCGGCAACCGGCAGCGACAATTAAGGTACAGCGACTGCGGCAAAGCCAGCAGCCAATCCACGGAGAAATCGTCTGCATTCGTCACTGGCTTCAAAGCAATAGTTGTTTTTTAGTTCCAGCAGCCCCTTTCTGCTTGCGACGCAAACGCTGCTGCTTTGGTTATCCCATCTCCCTCGCCCAAGACACAGTGTTGGGCATGCTGACCAGTGCGGTTGGTAACTTGCACCCAGATCAGCAGCCAGGTCCGACCGCCCCGTGAGTGTTCGGCTTCTTCGGTCGGCCACCCTAGACAGCCAGGATCTTTTGCCCTCGGGTTCGTATCTGTGATCACCGGCGTCTCGATACTGTATCAGGACATCATGCCAAACATCAGCATGGATCTCTTCGCTGTCTCCCGTCTAGAAGTGCAGACAGCGCCTCCAGGCAGCTTCCTAATGGAACCCGTTGCGCTGAGATCCCCCGCTCTCTCTGCCTACTGAAACACCCAGGAAACGACAGGCGGGTTTCAAAGCCAATCACTGGATCGCGCTGTGCGATCGCCAGAGATTTGGCTCATACAGAAGAGCAATTGAAGAGTGTCACCTACCTCATCGGTGGGACGCGCATCCCTGTTAGGGATGCCCCTCTGACCCAGGCAAGCCAGGGAACAATCTCACCACTTACTTTCACCGACAGATACGGTAAAAGATTTACTTCCAGCGACCAATGCGTGGCTCTGCCATTGATCCAACTTAGCGCCAGGACCAATTACAGGCGGGACGGTTCAGCCATGCCATCATTGTCTCCAAACTATTTATTCTCCGGAGTTTTGGCGCGCGTGTATTGCACTACCCTGTACTCCGTATCATCGAAGGGGATCTGAGCGTTGCCAACCAAGCCAACATACACTTCTAATCTGGTCAATCAAGCCCTTTGGTCGATAGGGGTTTTCTCCGGTAAATGCGTATGATCTTATCTCGTAGTCACTTAAAAGAAAGGAAAGGAAAAGAGCCCAATGTGAGACGAACGGCATGGACGACAAGGCTGATGATGTCCCTATGAGTAAATACCATAAAGCAACCCTGGTATTATTACCTGCCTGAGCCTCTAGCGACCTCGAAATAGCCTCTCTCGATATTGATTGCTAAACAAAACCGCAGGCTTAGTCGATCACCTCAACCACGCCTCCCACTTGCATCATCAGTTCCTCCTCTCACGCGTATGTAGGAGACTAACAAACAAAGGCGGATACCACTACGCACGGCCACTATGCCGTCAGAGTGGAACAAGGCCGCTTATTGTCCACTCGGCTCAAACGGGGCCAACGACGCCACGTTTGGAATGGAATAAGCCGACGCAGGGTTCCAAAGATGCATCCATATTCATCATCAAAGTGAGTCTGAAGAGTAAAATAAACTGATTTGATTTGGCCTCTAGACCTCGCACTAATTATTCTGTGACTGCTTTCGGCACAGACTTGGACGCCATGCTAGCTCTGCGATTATCTGACAGGTGCGGAAACTGTGCTAAAAGCTGAGGTACCTAACTCGCAACATGTTTAAGACATACGAGGTGGTTCACAACGAACTCGTGTTGTTAAGATATATGGATGCGGCTGGCCATCCCCAGTTCCAACACCTTCCAACCAAACCGAACTCAATTAGAAATCGAACACACACACTTGCTTGCAGCGAGGGAAGCCAAGCGGTCTACTCCCCGCTTCTATCCTGATCATTCGGATGAGTCTCGAGCCAGTGAGGCTTGAGCCTCTTGATCGAGCTCCCCCAGAGCCAATTCTTGATCTTGGACCGAGCTCCAATGGAGTTGGAGGCGTGCTCCTTGGGTTCATCCACGATCTGGTGACGATGGATAGGCGAGCCTCCGCCCCAAGGGTAGTCAGGGTTGCTTGGAAGCTCATCCTTCACTTTCGGGGGGACGGTTACTATGTCAGTTGGTAGGGGTTGGTAGAAGGTGTTTGGGTCCTCGCTCCCTGACTCCTCCCTTACTGTAGTCACGGTCCTCAGTGTGGTTGAACCGGGAGACTGGCTGAGACCTGTGGTGGAAAAAACCTGGTTAGTAAGTACTCCCTGTGTGAAAATGTCATTGTAATTCACATACCACCGCAACTGGATGTTGTCGACGTACATGTCGTATTTGACCAAGCTGCTGTGACATTACTGCTGTCAAGATGAGTGCAAGGAACGTCCCCATTTTCCGTAGAAAAACTCGTCGTCGTGATTGTCCATGTTGTGGTAAAGGTGGAAGATTTCACCATCGAATCAGCCACGGAGCCATTGCATGTCGATTTAGTGGTCCAGCTTGGCCATGGAGATGGCAAGGGTGTAGAGAAGGTCACTTCAGCTGTCACGCTTTCGGAGTTTGTGGAGAGAGAGCCGCTCTCAGTAAATGACGGAGAGGACTGCCTCGTGGAATTGCTTGTCGGGGGAACAGCGATTGTTAGGAACCATGTCTCAGATACTGGGCTGCTAATTCGGGCACTGTCAGTGTCCTGGGCTTGGGTGGGCTGGCCAGTGGGAAGCCCAAAGGTTGAGATGGATGAATCCTCTGATGACATTCGGCTCGAATTGGTCCAAACTCCCGACGGGGAGCTCAAAGGCCCCCCGATTGAAGACCCGGATTGTGATGAAAGCCCTATTAATGTTGTAAGAATGATTCCTGGAGTGGTCGATGAGCTGGAAATATTACGAATTGACGCAAGATCTGTCTCTGTGGCACCTGGCAACGCTCCTGGGGTTGTGCTCTCGCTGGTCGTAGAATTCTTCACGGTGATACTTGAGGTCTCCAAAGCCGTGCGAGTGCTGAAAATTGTTCGGGAAACGGGGCCACTTGATGACGGGGACTCTGTTGCGCTGGATAGAGTAATGAAAATTGGCGAAGTGAAGACTGAAGAAGAACTAGTATCCGCAATCGCCGAGGATTCTATCGGACTGGATAGTGTAATGAAGATTGGCGAAGTGAAGACTGGAGGCGAATTGGTAGTTTCACTCCCTGAGGGCCTGGAGTCAGAAGATCCACTGGTAGCTATGGATGACCTCATGCTGCTGGACCAGCTTCCTGGAAGCGAAACCGTGATAGTTTCACCCGAGGTTGCTGATGGTGTATCTCCACTGCCTGGACTGTTGGAAATACTGGAACCACGACCCCACGTGGTACGCCAGGATACTGTCGACAATGTGATGACGCTGGGTTCCGGGGTACCTGTAACGATCTGGCTCTCGGTTGTCGGAGATGTGAAGATTTGACTCGTTGATGATGGAGAATGCGACGCGCCATCGCTCGACCCAGAGATGGCACTTGGCGTAAGTGTAAACGCAACCGTAGGATCAAGAGATGGATTTTGGGCAGGCGCCGAGCTATTTGTGAAAGCCCATGTGCTAGTGTCCAGCTGTTCGGGCGAGCCACTTGACGGGACTGGTGTTGTAAGTGTCCTAGACCCGTTGAGTGAGCCCGTCGGTACATCGACTGATGGAAGGGTAGAAGAATATGGTGTGAAGGTTGTGTCTGTGGTGCCGTTTACCATACTATTGCTAGAGTTGAATGAAATAGTGGATACAAGGCTTGGAATAATAGATGGAGAGCTAAGAGCTTTCGTAGGACTCTGCAACTGAGAGGTAGTAACTGGTCCTGTGATAGGGGTGCCTCTCGTTGGCCAAAGGCTTGATGATACTTCTATTGGGCTCGTAGTTGTGTTTACCAGAGTTGAGACCGTGTTGGATGTATTAGATAAACTCGGAGTTGTAATATCCGAGGTGATGGATTCTGTGTCCGTCCCCATAGTCGACACCCCAGTGTTGAGAGTGCTAAGTGAGGATGATGAGAATGATCCTGCTGGAGTTGTAGGGGAAGTTAACTGAGCCGATATGGATGTCGGAGACTCAAGGCTGGCTGTCATTCTGGAGAGTGCCCGCGAAGGGCTTTCTGGGCTTCCAGTTGATGGTGTGGCCTGTGTTGGTGATGTATTTAGGTCGGCCACTGACGTTTGAGATGATGATCCTAAAGTTGGGGTTGCAGAACCATTTACTGCCCCAGTGAGCGAAATGATTGTTGTGAGAGTGGTGCCGTCGATGACAACAGTGGTGGTAAACAAAGCCCAGTTTGGCGGTGTGAGGATACCTGATGCTGCAGAACCAGACAAAATCGAAGTTACCGTCGTGCTGTTGATAGAAGTGGTCTCTGATGCGAACACTTCAGTAGTAGGCGAGGAAGGGGAAGCGAAAGATGACGACCGGACTGTCGTAGTGGAGTTACCAGATGGCGGAGGCCAAAGAGTAGAGATTGAAGCTGAACTATCCAGGCTCTGGTTTGTTGTCGTTATGCTTGAATCTCGATCTATACTGGTGCTGGGCTCGGGATTTGGACTCGATACAAGCCCCGAAGTGGTGGGTGTTGCTGCTGAAGAGCGCCACGCGTTGCTGCTGACTGAAATAGCCCATGTAGTCGAATCAGAGCGTTCTGTACTGGTGCTTGATGTACGATCCGCAATTGGTGCAGACCGAGTTGTGCTTGGTGTCGCTGAGAATGTCCAATCTGAGGGGGTTCTTGTGTCGAGGCCCTTTGTCGGAGTGCTTGTTCTTAGAGAAGTGTTTGTGTGGCTTTCATCTGACGATTCGCTTTCGAAGGGAAGTGGATTCGAAGTAAAGCTAACATGAAGAGACGAAGTCTCGAAGGGAAGTTGGTTGGACGTGAATTTGAGCGACGCACTTGAATCGGTTTGGGGGCCTCGCTGTGTCGCTGTGTTGGTGAATACGACCGTACCATTTGTTGTCCTGGTTATTGTCGTCTTGGAGTCTGATGATGTTGGGCCAGTCTTTGATGATAGAAGACTATCTATCGGGGTTGGTTCTGAATCCGACCCAGCTTGAGAAGGTGTCGAAGAGTTGCTAGAAGAAACCAAACTCGTGTTCTCCGCCATAGCTGTTGAAGCTGAGATAGTCCCCAAAGGAACAGAGCTTGTGACACTGTCTGTTGGAAACATAGACGAGAACCCGTTTGAAGGAAGGCTCCCAAATGCCGAAGTGGTCGGCGAAGGTGAGGGGGTTTCGGCTCCATGGCTAAAGGTTTCGGAGGAGATATTACTAGCAGAGTTCGAGCGGTCAGTAGTGGAAAGTGACTCCTTAGTGTCGTAAGCAGGCTCTCCCGAATTGACTGAGCCTGGATTACTGGCAGATTCTGAGTTGATGGGAGTGGTAAGAGCTGATGGGCTTGTAATAGAACCGGTCTCTAGACCGGTGGCCGAAGATTCGAAGCTCTTGACGGTCCCACGCAGCGAGGAAGTCGGTTGTGAGGATAGAGTGGCATCTGTACTCGCATCAGGCTCTGCAGAGGTTTTAATGGAAGCCGCATCTGGTGGTAGGTGAGCATAATTCTATGGCGCAAGAATGGAAGCATGATACTGACATGTATCAGATCCGTAGGTGATTGGGCCGTACGGATCAGGATACCCGTAGCTACTAGGAGCCTTATCTTCACCCTTGTCGGCCCTTTCGACACGAACGCGGTATTCGGGTCCCAATTTCTGAGTGGAAGTATCTAGAACAGCTGTCGTGGTGCTGGGATGGGCCGCATCTGCCCCCCAAAGGCAACACAAGGTGAAGAAAATCGGCCAAAGGCCGAGAATGAATGCAGGGGATTTCATGGCTTCTAGGTCCGAAGAACCCGAGTTTGGATTGACAAGTTTGACAACAGAAATTGAGCCTATTGTTGAATGTTCTGACAGGAGATGAATAAAGGAATGTTGTGTGTCAACGAGTGTGGGTAAGTGAATGAATGAAGGTGAACAGGGCGAAGGAGATGCTGGGAGAAAATGAACCCTTCAAGGTCGAAGGCTCAAAAGAAATAAGGGCACGATGAAAATAGAGAGTGCTATGAAAGCTCTAACCTGCCTGTGGCCTCATTATATATGTGGTAACGTGGAAGACCCAGTGGTGATGACGAGGTGAGCCAAGAGTCAGATGGCTGCCGACGCCTCGCCCCTCCTCTCCCATCTCCCGGCTCCCGAGAGCAATAGGCATCAGGGACCTGGCACATGGGAAACCATTTTGTGAAAATCAACTCTGATACAAACGGTTTCCAGTCCTCCCTTAAGTCGCCGTGGCTGTGTAAGGAGGGAATATTGAAAAGAGGAACTAATAGGCGACTGCCAGGCCGGGCACAGTTTTTTCAGATTTCAAGTCTTCCATTGCAATTTGCGAGTAACTACCACCTTTTGATGGCCAGGGGGAATTGGAAAATACTGTCCACCGCCTGTTGGCATTTGTATGGTCATGGACAGAACCATCCTCCTCGATAACGCTGCAACGGCTGAAGTCGTATATGGGATAATTTTTGCTAAAAATTTGTGGTGTCCGACGGGGTTATGTTCTCAATTCCGATATAGTCGCGTTTCGAAGCGAGCCTTGGCCTGTGTTCAGAGGCACAAGTTTCTCCCAACCCAAGGTTACGATGGTGTCAAGCCAGATCCAAGCAAGAAACGGGAGGAGTTGCGCTATCTACGGTTGACTCTGTAATGAGAATACCACAGAAAGATAATGCATGTCTATCTACATGATACAAGGCTATGAAGTCATGCAGGACTAAAGGAAGCTGGATTAACAGCCAGCGAGGGGCATCTGAATGATATAGCAAACCAGAGTGATTGTTGCTATAATTTGTATGATAGTAGACGAACTGGCCGGCTACGAATATGAGTATAACAGAGGAGATCTAAGATAATGTCTGAGGACACGTATTCATTCAACCTTTGACTGGGTTGCGCTTTTCTTTTCGTACGCCGAGGGGGCTGAGATGTGTTTCGTGTGGAGTTCACATTCTTACAGTCACACTGGCAACAAGGAGGACCTACTTCGTGAAAGAAATATAATGGAAGACTTGGATTTTTAATTTTCTTCTCTGTTTCTCGTATTTAACAATGAACTGGTCCCCTCTGGGAGACATGTGGTTTCTTGTCCGGAGACGAAAGGTCGCCAATCAGCAAATTAGACCGGAACTGTGATTTCAATATTGGTACTTTATGAGGCACAAGCCGCCTGGCGGAGAAAGCCGATGGCTAGATCTCTTCGCGTTAAGCAGCATTCTAGGATTGCCAATCGCCCTTTTGCTCATAACTTTCGACTGATAGCTATCGTATTCATGAAGACTTATTTGCCGATCCTTGGATAGTCGGTGCGGTGTCATCGGTCATAGAAGTGTTCATCGCTTCGATGTCAGCGGCCCATAAGGCAGCACCAACTAGAAATTATCAGCATATATCCGTGACCAAATACACTAGAGAAGGCACAGAGACTTACCGGTGTTGGTGAATGTGAAGAACATGGACGCCACAGGGATCATTTCCAATAGTGTGGCAACCAAGCCGAAACTAGTGTATGGCCCAACATGCTTTCCTAGCCACTGGGACCTCTGCGAAGGAGACCACTTCTTTAGTTGAAAGTACTTCAATCCTGAAAGTTAGCCAATGATTCGGGAAAACAGAAGGTGTGGAACTGTGTACCCGGTTGTGAACTTGATGGCCCCTCCCTTTCGATTGAAGAAAGATGAAGAGAACGGTACCAACAATTGGGATGAAGTTGAGGGGCAGATACATGAAATATCGAATGATTGCCTTGGGACCGAATCTCTCGAATGGTTTCTTCAATGCCTTTCCGAGTTTCTGAATCGGATCACTGCCGGATTTGATCTCTCTCCCTTCCTTCACAATCTCCCCCTTGTTTCGAGAGAGCAATGTGCCGTCGAAGGTGTCGAGAATGGCATCTTCCAGAAGAAAGTTGCGAGAAATTCCGTTGACAATTGCAGTACTTTCGTTGAGGACCAGAAGGACGGTGCTGACCACTGCGATAGGACCGTTCACGAATACAAGGACGGCGAGCTGGGGGAGATAGGAAAAGGTGAACATGCCAGCTAGGACGCTACCATAGAGGGCGAAATACTGGGGTAATCGTGAAACAAATGGTTTCCATAACGAGCGATGGGTAACGAAATAGACGATTCCCTGTGCATCATGTCAACGGGCAGTTCAGCTGCTGGTGCCTTCTCACAGAGAGCGGCTGGTAGGTCGAGGATCTGCACCTTGAGTGGGTAGAGCCAGGCCCTGCTCTTGGCAGCTTCGAAGGCGAGTGTCTTAGCCTTGGTATAGTCCTCCTTTCTGTGCAGTTGGGAGGTCTGGTCAGCACCGAGAAGTTTCACACTGAGCGTGCCTAGGGAGCGGCTCACATGACATCCTGGGCATTGTTTCTCACGGAGTCTACGATCCGATTCCCTTTGGAGGTTTGGCCAGAGGATTGAGCTGGGTCTGACATGACTGGGAAGAGGATTTGTTGAGGTGTGCTTTGAGGTGTGTGAGTGTGAGAAGCTGATGAGTAGATTGTCGTGTGACTGATAATCTTCTGGTCTCTGGCTGGGATGGTGGCACCAAGAGCAGTTCACCAACTGGATCGAGATCGCAAGGGAGGAGGATGAGACGAGACGAGCATCAACAGTATCAATGTCGTCATTGGCTTGGACGAGCTGTAAGACATCATCGGTACGTACCTCTCTCCTGCCGGGAATGTGGTCCGTGCGCTGGAACCGTCTCTGGCGGGTGGAAGGAGCATGTTTTGGTGTCTCTTGCCCTGATTCAGCTTCAGCTCCAGCACCAGCGCCGAGCGCGGATGCAGGCACCATCTTCTGATCGAAGGATCACTGCATCGTCACATCGAAAGGCCTTGCTGATCGCACGCATCGCGTGCATCCAATAGCTCGACGTAGCCTGGTATAAGCACCATCCTGGGCCCCGGTGACAGTGGTGATTCGTTCCCCACCCGGCGCCGATTGACCCATCCATGGTGACGGGCCATGCCAAACATCCCCACACAGGTGCGGTAATCGTCCTGATCATCCACGACTCTGGGGGAGGCTCCCTTCCTTGTTCTGACCTGCATCCTCAAGCTCAGGGGCTCACGGGATCAGAGCCAATCCCAATCTTAGTGACGCCATTGCGAACGTCCACGTCTAGCTTTGGTGTCATTGGGCCATTCCGTGGCTTGAATCATGAAACTGGTCCCTGGATACACCATATCTTAGCCTACTTATCTACTCAGAGGTGTCGATCCCCGTCTCAACTTTGTGATTAGCATGGGAAGGAACCGGACGCTACCCAAGTTGTCACGGGGCATTACTTCCGGCTGATATCTCTTTGCTGTGTCGTGATTTAAATACCTGGCCATTTGCCCCCAATTTAATCAGCCTACCGTCCGTCGTCATAGCTCTACACCTGACAAAAAATCTTACCAAACGTAAAAAAAGGCCACAATATCGGAGAAGGGAGACCGGAGCCGCTCCTCTCTCATCTTTTCACAATGGAAACCGTGGAACAACGATATATTTCCAACAACATGCGGGTCCAATTCCTGGCCTCGTCTCCCTTGGAGAACATGAAAGCCTCACTTGAGCAAGTTCTCAAAACCACACCCCCCAAGAAATCATACTCGAACCGAGAGTTAGGGGGTCTGTTCAGCGGCTATACCGGCCTGGCCTACCTCTTCCTCCGGCTCTCAGCCGGCCACCCCGACCTGACTGTGATGGGGCACAACCTCCGATTTTGGGCCGAACGCTACCTCGATGGGGACCGTGGAAGCCTCGTCCTGGAAAGTGGAAATTGTGGTCTTGCTTCCGAGAAACTCTCGTTCCTGGCTGTCCTCTGCTGCTTGACAAAGGACTTGGGCCACCTGAAGCGGTTCCTGGGCGACGTGCCGCTCCTGCTAGGGCCGTATCCACCTTCACGGGGTGACCCATTCCCGTCTGAAATGATCTATGGGCGAGCCGGCACATTGTACCTCATCCGTATGATCAAGCAATGGGTTCCCGAGTTTGCTCCGTGCCTTGAGTCCCCTACCCTGCGCATAGCTGAAGTCATCATGCGCACCGACGACGATGGCCAGGGCAACTGGGAGTGGCATGGCAAGAGATATTATGGAGCGGCCCATGGCGAGATCGGAATAATAACGCAGTTGGTGCTCTCTGTGCCATCCCTGGCGGTCGAACTGGCGCCGCGATTGGAGGATCTCCTCAGACTTCAGCTGCAAGATGGAAACTGGCCGTCAAGCGAGAAGAAGCGGAGGGAGGGTAAGCCGGCAAAGCTCCTTCAGTGGTGCCACGGTGCCCCTGGGTTCATTTATTCCCTCGAGGCCTTGAGGCCTTACTTCCCACGCCATCAGGATGATATTGACTTCGCCATCGAGAAGGCACGGGAGCTTATCTGGCGGCATGGGATATTGGTCAAGGAACCGAGCTTGTGCCATGGTCTGTTCGGCAATGCGTTGTAAGTAAAAAAAAAACTTTTTCAGAAGGGGGCTACAGACCCGAGGTTATGGGATATGTGAGGCTAACCACGGCATGTGGGGGTCGTTGATATGCAGAGCACTTCCTTGTGACGCCCGGCGAGAACATTTTCTTGCGCTTGCCTCGACAGATTCAGTGGAGAAGGTTCGAGGACACGATCCAGAACTCTTCGCGCCAGCATCGTACGGCAAAGGCTGGGCCGTTCTGCTCACCTACCATGCCAGCGCAGCCTGGGCCTGGGCAGTCTGCGGTTATAACACACCCCCTTTTCTCCTGTACACGGATGTGTAACTGTCACAGGTCTGCCCACTATCTGCTCGATGTATCAAGTGGATAAAAACCGCAAGACATCGATTCTCGGCTAGAAACCGATCACCATGCGTGCTCTGTGAGCTGATGAGAGCTCCACTGCGGTATCTCTCAGGGATTCCTCTGCAGGTTGGGCGAGAGAGCTGAAAGATCTACGGTCTCAACGACGTATATATCCTTATCTTTCAGTTGGGGGCTCCAACAAATTTCCCGGGTGGAAGCCTGCGGGCCGTGAAGCACGTGAAACCGTCTGATCGCGGACAGCAAACAGGTCATGCCAGCCTTAACTCGGAGTTCGGCAATAGAATACGGGTCTCCGTCCCGTTGCATGAAGGCCGACCCTTTTATCGGGCATGCGTTTCTTTCTGCAGATGTCAAGCGAACAGCATCACAGCTGTCGGGCTGGTCTTGCAGGGACAGGCCCGTGGCCAGCGAGGGAACGCAAGGAGCAGCTGCAGGTTCGCGTGCGGCGACGAGACCGCGCCAATGCATCATTGAGGGAAAATAATTAACTAGAGCATGACGCCCGATGACACAGGCATTATCCCCTTGATGTGATGGAAGCTCCGCGGATGGGGTGTGCATTCACATGTGGGCTCGCCAAAACATGGCTTGTTTGCACTTGGCATCAAATCGCCAAGAGATGGTTCCGGCTTTGACTCTAGCTTCGGCAGGGCAAAAAAGGAGCATATTTGGCTCATGCAGAATGGCCCCCATTTCAGATAAGTAGCGAGAAGTAATAGTACTCTGTTCAAAGTTCCACGGACATGCGAAATATGGCGACTCGTGATTCATAGACTGAGCTGAAGCCCACAACGGGAGGCCGACCGGTCCCGTTAGTATCTTGGTATCTTGTGGGTCGTACAGCGACGGGCTTTTAACATCGCCGTAGTTACGAAGGAAGCTATAAGGAAACTACGTAATGTCTCGGCCGAGACCTCGATGCTCTCATAGCTTATAAGGGTTCACCAAAGTGGAACTGGCCTCGGCATTTTAACGGACCCGTAAGGGCAAGAGGGCTTGGGAAGACCACCGCAAAGCCAAACCCCGAGACGGAAATGAAACTGGCCCAGGAGGTTAGAAGGTCATACGCCCGCGGAAAGTCCACGGATACCGCGGTGAGATCCCTAAGATGCTTCTGGCAGATTTGAGATGAAGGGGTAAAGGAGCCAAGAAGGGGGCGTGTGTATGTGTCTCTTCTTCCTCGCAAACAAGGATGATAAATTTATCATGTGGCCTCCTGGTGATCCCAAAGGAAGAACGGGGGTGGAGGAGATGGTACCAGTACAAGCCCTCCCCCAAACGACGTAGTAGGGCAGAATGAGGCAGGGCCCCCTTTGGAGATGAGATGAGGCTGTCATGTGTTCCCCTTCCCCGTGAGGCATTTCCCTGACAAATTCGTCAAGAACGGAGCGGTGGTCGGCGCCGATAATCAATCCAGTCCTGTTTTTGTGGCTCGGCGCGAGGTTGGCTGGCATCGAGGCATGTCACTTAGAGATTTCATGCAACGCGGCATCGGGACGTTTCGAAGTCGCGAAGGGGCGATCCCTGCTTGTGTTGTATGCTCGCAATCCAGCACCCCCCCTTCGGCATTTTACGTGTTGGATTTTCAGTCCCGCCCAATGAGAATAAGACGGGTTTACATAGGAAAGCGAGAAATTCCCGAGAGCGAATATCCAAAACCACCATGCAGTGTGAAGCGATGACAGGTGAGGGAAAAATACAACAGTAGAAGAAGAAGAAAAGCGGGCAGTGACAATAGCTCGAATGAACCTGTGTGAGCTCGCTCTCGGTGCGTGATGAGGAAAAGGGTGGCCAAGCAAGTACCGTAAACCGAGAGCGAGACCGCAGCCACCATTGCTCATACGATGTACGGGGGTGGCTGATGCGTTGGAACGCTGCAGCGCCGGAAGCGATCCGGCTGCAGATAGCAAGCCTTCTAGAAAATCTACCGAAGCTCTGTTTTTGCTCTCTCTCTTTTTTTCGCCTCCCAGCTGAAATCCGCTCGGCGGAGACACGTGGGAAATCAATCAATGAACGGGGTGCGTCATTCGGGTCCCAACAAATGTCCACTTCGGAACCAGCCGTCCTTCCAAGGGGCCCTCCTCGCAACGGACTGTGCTACACAGACCCATGCCCTGCGCAGGTATATGCTGTGTCTGCTGCAGGGCGGTACTGGTCGTCTCAACCTCGAGAGAGAAAACAACGATTCATGCATGTGCCGAGCGGAATCGGCACTGCGATCGCGCACCGAAGCTGCAGAACGCCATCCAGCCCTACTGACCACTGAGGGAGTTTGGTTAAGCCCGGCTGGAGTCGCCGGGGATATATCGTTCTCGCGCCAGAGTTGTGCGCCCGTAGTTACCCTACTGCATATGGTGGCTCCTCTCCCACAAGAACGAGAGCCGCTTATCCATCATCCCTGGTCATGAGGTTGATGCGACTTGCCGGGCCGCAGCGACCTAGTTGCTGTGGATGGATAGACGAAATGTAACCAAACAGCCGGTGGAGCAGACAAACTGCCGTAATTCCGCTGACAAAGGGCTCGTTCGGAGCTATGACAATACGCACGCTAGCTGGGTGATCTGATTTGGTGTGAAAGGGAAAGGGAAAGGTAAGGGAAATGCTGGGGGAGGGGAAGGGAAAGTGTCACTCATACGCCATACGCCCACTTCGAGAGCTTCTCTGCAGGCGCACAGCGGTATGGCTTGCTGATTATAAATGGCAGCGCAGATGCAGAAGTTGTGCAACCAGAAGCGGAATCCCGCCTTTCTTTGTCAGGGCGGATACTACAGAGCAGATGTGGATGTAGGGGCGTGGGCTTCAAGAAGCGGCCAGCAAAAAGGGCTTTGCAGCCTTAGCATTGGGCGCGTTCACACACACTATGTGCACTCCATACACTACATGGTCCCATACAATTAGTGTTATGGGGATTTCAAAGTGGTGGATGCCAATTCCATGATTCCCGCTGACAAAAGCCCAATCACAGCGAATACACTCCGAGACTCCCTCCATCCCATTGTGCATGTGGCTCACGCCCGATGCCTTGTGGGTAAAGTCCCGGCCACATTTTGTTAGGGTCCGGTTGCTATCAGCAGCTAAGTGGCGCCGGTAGGACGAGACAAAATACTGAGGCTTCGATTTGAGTGTTGTGGCCCATGTTGACTCATCCTGGCGAAGAATTGGACCCTGCACCCCCATGTACTGTCAGAATTAGAAGATCGTGATCAACCAGCTTCGTAGCGTGTGGTGACCCTGCCCTGTCTGTCCCCTTTGTTTTTGGCAACCGAGTGGCAGGGATCGCCTCATGTCGATGTTTCCAACGTGTGCGACTCTTCGACTTGCCCGGGGAGCGACCTGGCTGCACCTTGTTGTTTGACTCTGGTCAGTGAACCCAAATAGAATGGCGCTCGGTGACACCGTCAGCATTATGTTTGGCATACACTGGGGAAAGGGGAGGGAATATGCATGACCGTTTCCCGATTCTCGGGACCTTCCAGCATGACGGCACTTTGACGGGGACAGCACCACAACAACACCCAGCACTGGACAGCACCACACAGGACAGAACTCTCTGTTGGACGGGCTCACGAATTGCCCAAACGGAGCGTATCTTGTCCCTTTGGTCCCTTAGGTGCAGGTCCTTTAGTGCCAGGACAATCAATCGATGACTGTCATAAAATCCCGACTCGGACTCGGCTCTTACTCAAGTCCGGGTGTCAGAACGGTGTTAGGATCAGGACTAGGAGCTTGCAGGCCCGCTCCCCGCCAAAAAAGCTAAAACATGTCAGTCTACATCGTCAACGTGAATACCCGATTCGACATGTTCCTTTGCACGGCCATCGATCAGCATAATAAAGCCATTGCCCGACTGCTAGAGTTTGGGCGCCCGCTGAGCTACTCTCCTCGCTCACGGACTCGCGAGATGGTAAGGCTGGCCGATAGACGACTTGTCTCATGGCCACCAGGGCAAAACAGGGTTCAGGCATCAGGGCCTCTCAGGGTCCCGACCAGCTGTATCTGCAAGCCTCCTTCTCTAAAAAGATGGAGGACCCCATGTGGTTTTAGGTGTCGCCGTGCGTGCGGAATGGAGTGGTCGCTTGTGCCAGCTACCCAGTTAGCAGGGACTCAATTTGAGTGAGAGGCGGCCGTGCTGATTTGTAATTCGTCACAGCGGAAATGACTTGAAGGGCGGAGGGATCACAAATGCTTACTGCACGGCAGACACCTCCATTCCAGCGTGTAGTCGGTAGGTGGCTTGTGTTAGTCGATCTTTGGGAAGCCCTTGATCCAGTCCGCTTACTTGAAGCTAGCTGCTTTCAATCTCAGTGGAGCGAGCCCCGAGAGGAAAAAAAGAAAAAAAACTTCTGGGCAGCCGAGTTACAGAGCAACGTGAATCTAAACCTGTGGATGGACGTCTAGACGATGGATGCTTGACACCCCCCTCAGATCAAATCCCGCCGGGACTGACCCACTGTGGTGGTGCACTGGATATATCCCTAACTCCGTCGCTGGTATGGATACATGCTGAGAGATCAGGGCGATTGATTTGTAAACGGAGGCCTGGATTTGTGATCACCAGCCACCTGCCCCTGATGATCGCTCGCTCTACAGCACCTCCGTGGACTTCGGGGGCCCTGAGCCCTACGAGGGCAGCAACTTGGGCCGAGTTCTCGGTCGAGCCCGTTGAGGCGGCGGACGAGAGCGGACGAGATGCATTGGAGTGACCCCTCCAAGCCTTACCAGGAATACTCTACTAGACGAGGGCGACTGTCACACGGTCGCTGCTCAGAGGTGCATGTAAGCACCTACTTGGGTAGCAATGTCTATGTTTGTGAGCAACGAGGAGTCGTATAACCAATGGGGATCTTTAAAGAGTCACCGACAGAGGCAGTGCAGTCCCTGTGTGCAAAGGACCAAGCTTTCCGACCGTGTGCCCTTGTTTCATCTTTCCTCCAGACAGATGTCCATGACGAGACGCGATCCTGGCCCTTGAAGGCCGTACTAGGCAGGATGTGTAGTCGTTCTTGCCACCAATCTGGGGATAATGATTCTCATGCTAGTTTATGCTTTCTTAGCTCTTTCCTGCACATAATAAGGACCGAAGACTCTCGGTCCTCACCGCAGTCCAGGTCCACTCACCGCACGAGCAGGTGACTCTGCGGTTGGGTTGGCCATGAGCACTCGCCAGATCTTTCTTGCTTGAGATGCGTGATAGGGCCTGTCTAGATGCGATGTGCATTGGCAAGCGGGGAAAGGCGTGCTGGCCGGGGGAGCTCCCATCACTCTTATTTGATTCTTCGAGATCATAAGCGGCTTGCAGTCATCTCACCGAGTCGTGAAGCCGCCTACCCGATAAAACAAAAGGTTCACCATCCGGGTGGGGCAGCGCGCGCGCGCCCGCAGCAGCGAGCTGGAAATGATCATCATCATCATCATCACTACTGCGGCGACATCAGAATAAGCACCACCGCGGAAGAAGCCAGAGCATATTCCCAATTACACTCTCGGGCTCATCACCAGGGAGCGAGAACCCGGCAGTCTGGCTATAGCAGCCCCGTCATCCACAGCCGGTGCAGGCATATCCATCTCCTGCTGGCAGACGAGATGCAACAAGCCAAGCGATACTTACTTATGTCATAATATACACTGCTGGCAGTGGCATCGCTCCTTGAGGGTGAGGCAACAGCTCCAACAACAGCATAATCAGCAAGAATAACGGAGTCCGCATTAAGCATTACCAATCCCGCCGACCAGGCCCCCCAAGCTAGACAGCGGCGCCCAGTAAAAGACAACGCGCGGCTCTCGCAAGGCAGCAAACATGCACCCCTCCACTCCTCTTGCAGCGCACCAGACGGTAGCAGGGCAGCGCTGCAAGACGCTGAACGACATGCTCTCTGGGTGCCGGCCGGCTGCCTCCACAGCTCAAAGTCCGCTCGGGTGACTGGCTCGGATCCTAGCGCACTCGCTTCTGCCACGCCCCCCCTTTTCATTGGTTCCCCACCCACTCCAGCGGTGCTTCATCGAATCCCGCCCGGTTGGAGAACACCCTTCAACCTGGTCGCAGCTCTGCGTTTTTCTCGCCGGGCGGGTCGCGTAGCCTGGTACGTATAGACACGTACCTGGACAAAATCAGATCAGAGCGCCAACTCGCTCCTTCGGACATAAACCACATGCCGTCCGCTATGGACACCCCCCACCTGCATCTGTGTTCTCCTCTGCCCTGTTGTCGAGGTACATGAGAGCGTGTCTGTAGGTCGGTATGTACCTCTTTCTTGTTCCGTGCGGCGACATAACTGCTCCGCCTTTCATATCTCTCTTAAACCCTGCTCCATCTCCAAGAAATCAATCGAGCTTTCAGAAGACCTACTCCCCTGGCTGTCTTGTATCAATTCCACGTATATACCTCCGGGTCCCATCCATCCATCCAAGCCTTCCTCACCACTTACATCCCCCCTCCTTCTTCCCTCCTCTTGGACATCTGATGTTAATCATTCCCAAACGCTCGGGTCTCCCCTTTGATTACTTACTGGTGTTTCATTGTCCACTTACACAATAAGCCGTTCAATAATTGCCTGGCTCATCTCCTCATCTCTCTTCTCCCGTACATCTGGTTCACATTCCTGTCGAAGACTCACCAGACTCAGACATTGCAATGGGTGGATCACATAATTTACCTTCGCCTCCGGCTGAAGAGTCAAAAGCATCTCCTTCCTCAAGAAAGAGCTCGTCGTCGAGCAAGTCCGTGAAGCCTGTACATCGGGTATCCAAGAGAGCTAGCTCCAGTGCTGCCGTCACCCATCACCACGAGCAGGTGGCTCACACCACTGGCATGGACGGCCGTCATAAGAGAGTCTGGAAAGCTTGCGAGCGGTGTCGAATGAAGAAAACAAAGGCAGGTCCCATCAGGTTCATACTCGTTTATGCTATGTCCCTTTGACTAACATAAGAGACTTTGTTTAGTGTGATGGTGAATTCCCTTGTAAGCGATGCAAAGACGATGGTCTCGTATGCACTGCTGGTGTGAGGAAGAAGATGGAATACAAGCAGCTGCCTAGAGGGTACGTCGCCAGAGAGAAACACCTCCCTGAATTGTACTGACTCTTGATAGATACGCCGAGGTTCTTGAGAACACTCAATTCGCATTAATAGCTACTGTACATAAGCTCTACAGCATGGTCCGGAATTCGCAGCCTTGGGAGATGGGCGAGCCCGAGCTCAACGACCGTGGGCAACCAGTGATCCACGACATTGCACATAAGCTTGGTTGCATCCGACCCAACAGCGACATCGACCTGCCCGTCCATTCGGTCTTCCCCGAAGATGAAAGAGGTATGCAGGAGCTGGCCGCCCAGCTTGAGGAACAGCAACGACTGGAGACGGATACGCAAAAGGAATCAAAGGACACCGACTCGTCAGTATCAAGTCAGCCCCGCGCAGAGAGGGCCTCATCTTCCGAACTCGACCACTCCGATTTCGAACCTGATTACCGAGCAGCCGCCTTTGGAAGCCACAACACGAACCACATGACGCTATCTCCCCAGAGCTTTACCTCGTGCAATACCGACTTCGAATTGGGCCAGGCAGGCAGCGCCGAGCTGGACTCGCAAGCCATGTTCCCTTCTCAATCACCACAGGTCGCCAGCTTCCCCTCGTGGGCAATGCCAGCTAAGCCTCAGCCTACGACGAACGCCACCAGTATGCCCATGCCATTCATGCACAATATCGATGGTGTTACTGTAGACCTGCAACGCCAGATAATGCTGAACCAGGGTATCCTCGAGTCGGAATTCGGTTTCATCAAGCCTCACGTTTTGTCGTGTCCTAATCCGGAGGTAATGATGGGTATGGGAGATCCGATGATCTACTCGGGCTACGAAAATGAGCTCTCGGGGTTGTAATTGGGTCCGAGGAACCGAGTATGGAAAAACGAGCATCTCGGAAAGGAAAAAGCAATGAAAAAAGAAAAACAAGAAAAAAATTTACAAGAGCGCAGGGCTTACTGGTTTTGGGGATAAATGATTTGATGACACTACGCTATTCTTCTCTTCCGGGGCTTTTTTCTTTTTACTTTTTTCTCTTTTTCTGGTCAAGGTGGGCTTGCATATCAACACAAAGCAACATGATCGCACGGCGTTGGGGGTAGGCGATGATATTATTAATACGGGCCTTTCCTCTACCTTGTACAATTGGAATGAAATTTTGGGTGGGATTCATCATCGCCTGTTAACATTTATTACCAGCGATTTTTTATATAGACAGGATCTTGCACGCGGGAGTGTGAATCCAGGACCAAATACAATGGAAAAATTGGATCATCCTCTGAACCCCACTCAGTAAGAAACCCCAAATATCCCAAATATGTGACGAAACCAAAAGTTCTGGCGGACTTGTCAAGCGTCCACGACACCGCCCTACCCCTCGACGCATAAATTCAGGCCCTATTGGTCTCTCCTAGCACATTCCAAATATCGGTACGTGCGTGGCTTAGAGAGACACGCACAGACGCTGGAAGGGAAAAGCAGGGCTAACACCACGCCGCTGTTCGCCCTGGTTTATACGTCATGGACATTGATTGATAGCAACACTTCTGTGCTATACAGGCCGGTAGCGCTATCGTATTTACTCCCACCAGCATATCAACAGCCGGCATTGCGGCATGAGCCATCGATTGACGGTAGCCAGGCCCATCCCCATCCCCTGGTCATTGCACTTACAATCAATCATACATACATCACATCACGACACCCATGCATTTCGCTCCGCCCGCTCCGCTTTGAACGCACAATTAGACTTGCTGGTCTGATGCAGTAGTGCCGATATCGATGTGGGCGGAAACTGAACGAGGTGGTTGCGGTGGTGGAGCATCACGGCAAGGGGAGGGGGTGTCGATAATAAGCAACAGCAACGGACGTGCTCAAATCAATGACCTCCAAACTTCCACCAGCTTCTTCCACCAGCATTGGAAATCTATGTACAGGGCAGGGGTCACCACGGCCCTCCGTGGGTGCGCGAGGCTGCGAGCTCAACAGTCCGGTGCACGGCAATACGGCTTCGCGGCACAGGTCTGACGCTCGCTCGAATGCCCTTCCCCTTCCAGGCTTTTCAGTTTTTAGCGGAGGCAATCGTAGGTTTTTAGTTTTTGTGCAGCAGATAAACAGCTGATAGCTGCGAATAGGCTAATCGCCTCCCTCGATGTCTTTCCCCCACTGCGCCGTGCCTGACCTCATCGCTGGGACCCCCCTCCCTTTCGGCGCCCGCACACAGACCACAGCTTACTTGCTGGCCTGCTTACCCAAACGGACATGCGGAGAGGGCGTTGGGTTGGTTGGGATGGGGGGAGAAAAAAGTAAATTGTGCAGCCACATGACGGGCACAAGACCAAGGCGGCAAGCTCCGCCATGCACTAACATGCACTCTGTTTTGCTCCAGCGAAACCAAACGTGTTAGGTGGCTACCTCCTTTGCTGTACATCTACCCTTCGGTGGTAGGTCACGGACTTTGGTTTCGGGTTTCGCACATCTCTGACTCCGAATAATTTTATGACAGAAATCACCGGATGTGGAGACTGCCGGGCCTGTGCATGGGAGGTGGATTTGAGATGGATGGACTCAAAACAGAATGAGGAAAAAGCTCGAAAAATTATTAATCCCTAACAGCTTACAAAGTCGAGACCTATTGCCGTTTGAGGCAGTATCCCCCACATCGAGCCGTTATCACTTCTTTCCTAGCTGGGTTCAATGTGCGCCCATCCAGACTCTAACAATGGGACGGCCGCTCTGCTTTGGGAGCAAGCATGTAGTCAATTGATGGAGTTCCAGCTTCCACCGCCCCGGGATCAGAAGCATATCTGGCCTCTCTTGATGTCTATGACACAACCCCGGCTGGAGACTTCCGGGGCGTTCAGTTTCCAATGCGACCGGGCTCGGGAATTCTTTTGATCCCGCCCATGACCCAAGCCCTACCCTGATGATCCACTCTGTCCCGTCTTCACAGGTCCTTGCACCAGGCGTCTATTCTCAGCGGCCTCCTCTTCGACTGTTTCCCCGTACTGGCTTAGCCCATGCCCAGCGCGCTCAAACTTACCCTCCTAGTGTCGATATTAAAGGATCTACCGCTCAATCCTGGGCGACTCGTTAGATGCGGCGTCGAACTCAGGGGTCCAAGGCCGCTAACTCGGGGGCGGTGCGCGCTGCTCAGTCAGCGGACTTTACGCGGCCCTAACAGTGAATCCGAAAGCCATCTACGGGAGCCTTCCCTCTGAGCTTTTCGGGGTCTTGTAGCTTCCGCGCGGTCTTGTCCATGGACCGCCGTGGACCGCGGGCGAGCGAGCCACCTAGCTCTGCCCATCTGGGGGGGTTTTGGCTCAGGCCAGTCAGTCCCCTCCCCCCGCGTAGGCTCGTTTACCTCGCGTCAGTCTCAAACCCGTTGTGTCCTCCCAAGGATCGACATGCGGCCTTGGAGATCCCTCGACGTTGGATGGGTACCCAATGGCCGGCCCAACTACGAGATTGTCAGGGGGGGGTATGAAGATGTTCATATAATTTAAATTTAACCTTTCGTGTCAAGGATAGCTGGAGGTCTCGAAAAGCACGGACGATTTGACATTGCCTGCCAGGAAGCCCAAGGCCCCATGCCAGCCTAATGTTGGTGCCGAAGCAACAGGTGACATTTTGATCAAAAGTGCAATTGTGATGGAAATTTGACACAATCACGGCTATGGATTGAAAATTCAAACTTTGATGCAGTGACAGTAGCGGGTGACTCGAGCTGATAGTGCGGCTTAACGGAAATTGATCCATCAGGATAATGCCAATCACAAAACTCAAAATAACTTTGATACACTGCAGTACAACCATAGTGACAGACCGAAAGGAGTAATAGTGACACCTTTGAATGAGACATCCAGCTGAACGTCGCAGGAGGCGAAGAAAAGAAAAGGCCATCTCGCCATTCTAATTTCTATAGCCCAGTAACTGTGGCCACGTGCTCTGCATTTCATGTGTCTGTCCAGGGTTGAATCGGCCCAGAAGGCTTTAGACTTTGATGCCATTCGTGCCTGGGGGCTGCACCGTTGGGAAAATCCCACCCACACACACAAACACGCACACACACACCTCTAAGCCGTCCCCCCATCCATCACGCTTGGGAGGGCCTGCTTGCAGTTTAGCCCAAAACTTTGCTCAGTCGCCGACTGCATGCAGCTGAGGCCGCCGGGTGGGAATGCAATGCGCCGCCCATCGCCGACCTCCTATCAGAGGTGAACCGGCTGGGATTGGATGCGGGGGAAAGGAAGCAGCGGCATGCGATAATCGTGTGTTTGCCGGTAAGCCTTTTCTCCTCACTCCAACTCTGCACGCCACCGTTCCGTCAAGGTTCAACCGATGAAGGTGTAACCTGGGGCACCGTATGATGTTTCTGTCCAGGGCGCGGGGATGAGACTGTGGGTGCTGTAGCGAGGGGGTTACCTTGGCACGGCGCTCGCATATGCAGGCGTCGTCTATGATTACATTACAGATGACAGCTCAACGATGAGAAGAGACGTGCGCTGCTGAAACATTCAAAAAAAAGAAAGGAACCAATAAACGACAGGTGTGATGGTGAGGGGGCGGGCCCTTGCTAACGGATAGGTTGACCTCCAGATCTTGAGCGAGCTGCGTGATTGGCCATCGCGAGCTGTCGCGAGAGATGCGAACTCTGGGCGAGAACGAATGCGAGGATTACGAGACCCGGTTGACCTCTTGTGGTGATGGCCTCGCGAAAAGTCCGCGCGTGGGCAGTGGCTCAGCCAGGGCTTTTCCACTCTCCAGCGACGAAGACAGGCAGCTGGAGGATCATTCCAGAGACATCACATTGCCCGGCTTTTCCCACAGGTCGCAATGAGGAGACTGGCAGGTATTACAATTCTGTGATAGACGCACCCCACACTTGTGCTTGAAGTTAGCTGCAGGATGCATTATGCTGCCAGGAAGCTGCAGTTCAGTTCACAAGCTCTTTTCCTGCCATGCAACGTGGGTGACATTGCAGCGCGCACACTAAGAGACTATAATTGCCGGGTTGCTATTGTGAAATGCACATCGTAACAGTCCCATTTGTGTACATATGCAAAAGACTAAGCCTGGTATTTGTCATTGTTTATTATTATTGCTTCCTGCCAGTGAAATGGGCTCTTTGGGACCTGTCTCGCGAGATTCTCATGTCGCTCTCTTGCCGTCTTTCGATGGCATCAATCATCGCCAAAAGAAGTAAGAAGACGAAAGTCTATTACAGCCTCCGCCTCCTGCCTAGTCTCACCTTACCCTTGGCGTCAGGTCTATGACTTTTGTGTTGTCCGGGGCAGGCAGGCAAAGACATGTCGGTCGGACGTGTATACCATTGGGCGACGAGTTCTAGACTCTCCAAGTGCCGTCCTTCGCTCTCGCTGGACGCACTTGTGACGCCTAATGAGCACGGTCTCGGTCTCGGGTTGCAGGTCCAGTGACAGTCCCCTCGAAGCTTGGCGGGAGGGACAGCTATGGGCGTTTGCCGTAACGTACTTGGGGTGTGTGTCAATTTCTGGACCAGGGGATCAACCGCCAAACGCAATGTCAATGTACATCCCCTTACTATTTGGTATGTCGGGGCGCCGTACTAGGTAATACGCGTATGGTGGAATGAATTCCGCCGCAACAAGCCTCTTGGCCATGTGGCGGAGCTCGCCTTGGCTCATCTTGGCTTCAAACCGGTCTCATTTCAGGTCGAGAGGCTGTGGCATGAAACCCAGGTTGGGTTCTTTGGCTAACGCTATGGCTGGCGCCAGATGACGTGGCGCATATACAGCCTCTTCTGAGAAGGGCAAATCTTGTGTCCAGATAGAGCTAGCCATTCGAAGCTCGCTCAATGGACATTGATTTGGTTTGTTCTTTGGGGGCCAGTCGGGCCAATTTTCCCGCTCGTGAGAGGAAAAGTTATTATCTGTTGGTAGGCACGGGCAGAATTGGGGCCTTTGAACCGGTGTATCTTGAATAATAATACTCCAAAAGAAATTCAAACAACTAAAGTCCCTCTGTTGTTGGGCATGCTGATACTCTTGCCCCATCCCAATAACCCAAAGTTGCCCCCAAAACCAACACAATGATTCCTAAAACGCCAAACCACACGCATGCCAGGGTCATAATGCATCAAAGGGGATTTTCAATCCCATTCCTTCAGGTCTTGATGTCCAGAACCTGCTTGAGGACAGTTTCGCTGGCCCTCCACCAACGAGCTCTCTGCTCGAGGTCATCGGCCACCCCTCCAAGCGCTGCCTCCTTACGCCTCCTGGCTTCCTTGGCGGCCGCCGTGCTATTCTGCCGCTTTGCCTCCAGCGGCTGGAGCTCAGCCTGCAGCCTCTCGACCTCTTTTCTCTTTCGGGGAGCCTTGGACTGGAGAGCCTCGAGCTCTCGCGCCAGCTCCTGCTGCTCGCGCTTCCTCCGGCTGATGAGCTCTTGCGTCTTGCCCAGAGGCAGATTATGGTTGGGGTCTGATCCATTGAGTTGCCGGTCAGCCTGAAGCTGCGAGATGCGATCCTCCAGTTCCCGTGCCTTCTCTGGCAATTCCTTCAGCTTGATCGTGTCCAGCTGGATCGCCTCGTATCGCTTGCTCAGCTCACGTCCCTTGCGCTCCAGTTCTGTGACCATGTCTGCCATTTCCAGCTTCAGCGCCTTGAGCTCCGACTTTGCCACTGCATTTTCCTTTTCCAGGTCCAGGTTCTCTTGCATCGTGACGATCAGTGGCGGGTCGCCGACAATCGCGCGGATGAATTTCTCCTTGGTGACCTGTTCCACGTACGAGAATCGTAGTTTCGCGAACAGCTCTTTGTAGTGTGCCAAGTCGGCATCGAGACTCGCCGGGGTCGGTGCATCGAGAGAGGCGCTGGAGGCATCGGAATTCCTCATGCGCCCGTCTTGGGGGACCGAACTGGAAATGGGTTCGCTCAATTTAATAATGTTGACGTCTTGTGAGGCCTGGAGGTCCTCCAGCTGGTGAAGGACCTTGGTCGCTTTCGTAGAGTCCATGGTGCCGTGAGAGGTGTTGTCGCGGCCGGTTTATTGAAATGAATCTCTTTGAGAGGTCTCTTGTGGTGGTTTCATACACGTTGTGATCCCTGGGCTTCTTTCGAGAGCGCCCTCTTGAAACAATGTTCACTGAGCCGAAGAGCGCACGCGCAATTTGGCATGTGGATGTTTACTTGGAACTAAATGCGGTTAGTGTGGGGGCCGTTATCGGAATTTCTTTATCGGATCATCAGCAGGGCAGTCAGCGACATCCGCTGCGGTGGCGCAAGAAAAGCCGATCCAGGTTGGATGCCAGATTAAGCATCACACGCTGAAATACAACACATCAGCCATAGATGCGGCTCGCCCCATTCTCCCATATACATCTCTGGGTGAGAGGTCTCCGTGACTACTCTTCAACTTTCCGCCATGGCCAACCATGAGCTGCTGACCGACGATTACGTCGCAGAGCTCCTGGCAAAGGATGCCCAAGACTGCTCGTTGAAGTATTCGGCCATGGGGATGGAAGCCTTTCGCTCAAACAAAAAGTAAGCTGCTACAGATCACACCCAACCGCCCGACTGGTTTTGACGAACTCTCTTTCCTCTAAAAGGCCCGCGAACCTGCCGAAACCCAACACCCGATTCCTCCGACACATCATCAAGGACACCGATACTCACAACAAGGCGCTACTCGCGAAGGAAGCCGCCGAATCAAAGGCTCGGTTGGAGGATTTAGAGCATTCGGAAGAAGTGAAGCGACTGAAGAGCAACCCAAATACACATGATATCAGACGGCGACAGCTAGGCGATATCCATGCGATCCTGGGAGGCAAGAGGCGGAGGCGGACCGAGGATGGCGAGTCGTCCTCGGGGAGTCGAGACTCTCGAAGACACAGGAGTGGGGCCAGCGGCGAAAGTAGTCACAAGACACAGTCGAAGGATTTAATCAAAGACCGTCATGATGATAGGAGACAACATGGGAGGTTAGATGATGACTACGACAACCACGGCGACCGGACACGCCGAGAATCGGGACGACCAAGAAGGAGGGAACGTGATCGCGATTCCGGTTCAGATGATGAGGGACATCGCCATAGTCGAAGGAGAAGACACAGGTCTCGCTCGCCGGACTACCGGCGGAGGTCACGATCTAGAGAGAGACGGAAACACCGACATAGGAGTCGCTCCCCTCTCGTGAGAGACACATCTACGAAGCGACAGGGAAAATCTCCGCAGAGAGATTCGGACTCTGCAGATGAACTTGTCGGCCCAATGCCAGCTCCCCAGCCTCGGGGCCGAGGTGCTTTGGCGGGGTCCTCGGGCATAGATCACCGATTCTCGGAGACCTACGACCCCAAGACCGACGTGCAGATGGATGAGGAGGAGGGCGGAGACTGGGATAATGCTCTCGAAGCTTTCAGGGACCGACAGAAACTGAAACAAAATCAAGAAGCGCGGTTGCGATCTGCTGGCTTCGGAGAAGCACAGATTCAAAAATTGCAAGCTGGAGGTGAGAAGCTTGCGGAGGATGTGAGATGGTCCCAAGCTGGGGAGAAGAGGGTTTGGGATAGGGGAAAGGAAGATGATTTTGACATTAACCCGTGAGGTCCGGCATTTACTCGCATCTATATAGATATAAGCGTTCGCATACATATTTGGCATTTATTACTTGGATAGATATTAGTCCCTGTGCATGGGTCACTGATTGGCATCATATTTGATGAGAATGAAAAATATTAGAAGGGGCGTGTTTTCCCGTCACTGACACGAACTCTATCACCATTATGAAAAAAAAAATACCTTGTGGACTAATTATTATACGTGTTCAGAAGAGGCCGAGTTTATTCACTCTTAGCGAACCATATTATCATCTAGGTGAAGCTTGGGATACAGGGTAGGTGTACCAATACACCTAAGGCTCAGAAGGGATGAAACTAACCCACAAAGCGTATCATTAACCTCTCAATTGACTTCAAGACATAAATATCCACGACACAAATATCTAGGGCAAAAGACTTTGTTGATTATCTTGGTTCTATCGTAGAACTGGGCTTGACTTGGAGGGGATTCCGACCCATCAGAACGAACTGGAAGATTGTATCATACGGAGGTATCAATAAGTTGGGTACGTCATCTGATAACTATTTGCTATCTTTGAATGTGGAATTCCGATCTAGGAACTCGTCTATTTCTAATATATCTGCTGCAACGATATTATGCCCTACTGCGGCATTTAGAATTCCATATGTATGCCATCGGCGAGGGCCGTCAATTCAGGAGCAAAAATAGGGTCACGATGGCATGATGGCGACATGTCAGAGGCAACTTCCCTAGTTGTCATGTGAGAGCCCTTACTTCCGACCACCCAGCCCAAGTCCGCATCTGATGTGGGATGTGAAAAAAAAAGCAACCTAACTAAATAAAACTTACACAAAATTTAGGAAACCAACGCTGAAATGGTAATATTCTGCATATTTTTGAAAATCACTGGCGCGGGACATAAAAGTAAACAGTGATAAGGCTGGACTGCACTGCGACCCCAAGGCGTAGTAGTACCTTAAATGACCTCACATCACCAGGACAGGACTGCAACTGGCCTAGCTCCAGCAATGACTGGACCCTGCGTGTGTATGTGGTCCTCTCATGGGCATCATCTGCCATGCTAATTCTCCCTACTGCCGCGCCTTGTGACGGCACATTCTAGCGATGTAGAGCGATAGTGGACGTCCAGACGCTTTGGGGAGGCCTCACGCGGGCCGTCCGTCTTATCATTCCATCCTTCAGGCGCATTCATCGGTGCCATGCCCTGTTCAGATGCTGCGGTCCAGGAGGATCTAGGCTGGGCAGCTGGGGCATGCCGCCTGGAACTTGCGCTAGACAGTAAGGTTGCGTAACGCCCCTCCCTTCCGGCGGGCAGTATCAGGTCGGGCGGTACCCCACTGCGATCCCAGGCGAAGAGGCACGCTGCACGTCACCTCATTCTCCTCACCTCACTCAGTGTCTCTCCTCCTCCTCCCATCCTCATTCAAGACTCCGACAAAGCCTAGTGATCTATTTCTCGCCCTTGAGCACCGTCTCCTTGTGTTGTGTCCCGTTCCGCCCTCGTTTCCGGCGCCTTTGTCTGTATTTCCTGACGTACTACGTGCATTTACTGCCTGCCTAATTGCGCCCGAGGGGACCCATTTCCCGTGTGGACGACTGCTGATCTGATCGCTTCAACGCCGCAGTCGCAGCGTCGCGCTGGGCATCATTCCAAAACCCAAAGGCCCCGCGATAGACGGAGCTCGATGACAGCTATATACTCCCTTTGGTCAACACGTTGGTGAGGTGACTGGCTTCACGATCTCCCACCCATCGTCAGTCACCTTCACTGTCTTTACTTATCGGGCTTGGGTCTTGGCAAACGGGTCCCCGTTGCCATACCTCCGATCATTGGCACCATGCGCACTCCTCGCATTGTAATCCTCATCCTATTTCTCGCCTCCTCACTGTTCCTCCTCGCGCGCGCCGTATCCTCGTCTGCTCGTGCCGGTGCCTCGCCACTTCCAACCACCCGCACCAGATCTGAGAAATCAATCTGGGGCTTCCTTTACTACAACACCCCATTCTCGCTTTTCCCTCCAAATGCAGCCATCAGCTTAACGGATGACAATAGCACTACCTTTGCGGCCCGCCCGGCGGCTTTCGGCGGTAAGTTGGACGGAGCCGGATTGAGCGGTCAACTGTGGGTGGGAAGCGGCTTTCCTGAAGATACTGTTGATGGGGAGGGCGAGCTTGGGTGCAGCGACCTACCGGGCTGGGATGGCACAAGCCAGAGAACCTCCTTAAAAGACATCGAAGCAGCTATGAACTCTCGTATTCCGAGCTCGAACTCCAAGTCGAAATTTCCTAAACGCAGCGACAGCGATAAGCTTGACCGCAATAGCAGAGAGGGCAGCCTCAAGTCGAAGCTTGAAGGCGGAGCTTCTCCCAACGATGGCACAGACGATTATCTTCACGATGGCTTGAAGACGTCTTCCCATGCCGATATTCAATCGATCCAAGAAGCCGCAGAGATACAGGGCAAGGTTGTTCTCCTGATGCGTGGTGGGTGTGGATTTTTGGAGAAGGTCATGTGGGCACAGCGGAGGGGTGCCATTGCCGTGATTGTGGGCGATAACCAAAAGGGCGGACCTCTCATCCAGATGTTCGCTCATGGTGACGATGTGGATAATGTCACAATACCGTCCGTTTTCACTGCGAGAACCACAGCGCATTTGCTCTCCTCTTTAACGCAGCCTGGCAGCTTCATCGAAGACTCGCTGGATGACAGTGGGAGACCCGTGCTCAAGGTTCAACACAGGACTAAGCCCGGGAAGACCCCAACGAAGAAAACGAAAACTGGTTCCAAACCCGCGGAGGCCAAAGGCTCTCTTTTTGCGAGAGATGAAAAGCCTTTCTCGAAACGGTTGGACAACAGGGGGTGGTTTTCTCGCATGTTCCGTTATAGTCCACCATCTCGCTCCATTGATGACAAGAGCCTGCCACCCAGGAGTGGCCGCATCGATTGGGTGATGGTTGCGGATTGGAACGAGGAAGGGGACAGAGTGATCAAAGAAACGATGGACAGATCCAGAAGAAGCTCTAAGTCTTCGACCGACGGTTTTGTGATTGGCGTCGAAGATTGGCGGGACCCTGATCTTCTCAAACCAAAGGGAAACGCTCAAGATGATCGGGTTCCCGGTACTTCTAAGACACCTTCTGCATCGGATTATGCCCATCTGCCCAAGGGTGGCAGCATTACGCCCAGCAGTGGTGAATACAACCCTGCACGGGTAGTCTCTTCGAAGGTGCGGTCTTCATCATCTGAGGAGGGCAAACAGCGCCGAAGCTTCATCGCTAAACTCTTTGGTACCCGCCATGAGACTGAGGAGAGCAGAGGGAAGAGAGCGCTGTTACAAGACAAATCAAATGATGTCGAGGAGCCCCCTGCGCCCAAAGACCCTGCGCACGAACCTCATGAAGGGCTCTGGGTTACTATTACCCCGACGAGCAGTGCTAGCCCTTTTTTCGACACATTGTTGGTTTTGGTTATCAGCCCCCTGGTTACTCTGACGGTCGTCTATGCTCTGCTCATCCTCCGTGCTAGAATTCGGAGAAGAAGATGGAGGGCACCCAAGTCGGTTGTTGACCGCCTTCCAGTTCGAACCTATCATACCGTGGCTGCCTCCCCTACCCCGTCCACCAGATTACCTTCTCCAAGCAGTACCTCACCATCCACCCCGCTCTTGCAGCAGAGCTCATCACAATCTAGACCTCGATCACGGACTACGACTGGTGTGCTGGAGAGTGAGAATCTTATAGGTTCAGGGTCGACAGTGCCTGCTCACCGCTCACCATCGCGCGGTAGAGGCGAGCACGAGAAGTTCACTGGAATTTCCCCAGAGTGGCGGAAGTATATGAGTCGTCAGGTTGAATGTGTGGTATGTTTGGAAGAGTATGTCGACGGTATCAGCCGAGTAATGAGTCTCCCATGTGGGCACGAATTCCACGCTGACTGCATGTAAGTTGCAATGATGATAAGCTTCGACCTGGCTTGGTCCTGTGAAGAATCTTGACTGATCAATTCTTAGAACTCCCTGGCTGACTACCCGTCGCCGCACATGCCCCATTTGTAAGGGAGATGTTGTCCGCTCCCTTGCCCACAGCTCGTCTTCAGGCAATCGCTATGATCCTTACCAAGATAGTAGCGATGATGAAGCTGCGGCGGAAGGCTCAAGCTCTCGTCCTGTCGCACCAGACCCAGACCCAGAGCAAGGCATCCTCTCTGAACAGAGTGATACTCGACAGGAAGAAAGCTGGTTAAACATACTGTCCAGGAATATCAACGGCCGTTAGGGCCGCAGTAACATACTCTTGATGACAACCTTCGATAATGCCTCTATTGTGTTCTCTTTGTTTTGTTACCCCGGCACTCTGGTTAGTGTCGGCTGACTGCTGCTTCTGGGCTAACGCTGCTGCTCGAAGGAACTTTCTCCCCTTCTTTCTTTTTTGGGTGCAAGGCGTATAATGAATGGTGTATGGAGCTAGGGATTAAGCAGCAGTATATCACGGGAATTGGATGGGGGGCAATAGTCTTATTTTCAGTGGCACCTTTACTCCTTTCGAATGTTGGTTTTTACCTTGGCGTCCGGGACGCTTCTGATATAGCCATCCATGCATCAAAAGCTTTCACTCGACGACATTAGATTCGAGTAGGAAACTTCGTTTTGCCACGACTACAAGCCACGGTTCATATACTGGCCCCCTTAGAGCAGCGTGGATCAATCTGCATAGACTTCATCAACAAGGATAAGGATGGGCATCACTAGAAGGATTGCGGATAGGCCTAGGTTTGATTGTATTTTGAACTCCGATTTTACCCTAATATTTTCCCGTCGTTTGCTTTGTAACTTGAATAATATTTTATATATACCCCTTGAGGATAGCGGCCTCGGCATTCAGGATGGAAGAACCTGCGGCACCAATGACGGCTAGCAATATAAAGTTAGTTGACCACGTTAGTTCCAATTGCTGAAAGGGTTTAACTTACTGTTGTGGCTCAGAGCTACAAACTTGATGTCGAAGATGCCTGCCTCATCCTCACGTACGCGGCCCACGCTTACGGTGTATCCCTTGCCTAGGTCACGATCTAGACGGGGCTGGGGCCGGTCGGCCTCGTCAAATACCTTGATGGCGGGCTCTGGGGCTGAGGGGCAACCGAGCTTCTGGGCCTCGGTTGTGTAGCTACGAAGGGCCTCCTTGACCTGCTCAGCTGAGGGGGCGGGCTGGCGCTCGAACTTGAGCGACACACATGCCGTGTGACCATCCATGACCGGAACGCGGTTGCATGCAGCAGACACGCGGAGGCCCTTCTGCTCCACAAAGGCGGTCTTGGAGTCGTCGACACGGCCGAGGATCTTGCGGGCCTCGGTCTCGAGTTTGTCCTCCTCGCCTGAGATGAAGGGCACGACGTTGTCGATTATGTCCATGGAGCTGACTCCGGGGTAGCCCGCGCCGCTGACGGCTTGCATGGTGACGATGCTGACGGTGGAGATGGGACCAAAGGCGGCCTGGAGGGCGGCGAAGGGGATGACAAGGCCGATGACGGCGCAGTTGGAGTTGCAGACCAGGAAGCCCTTCTCGAGACCGTAGACGGAGCGCTGGTGGGGGATGAGGTCGAGATGGGGGAGGTTCACGGTGGGGACGACGAGGGGAACGAGGGGATCGCGGCGGTAGTTCTTGGCGTTGGAGAAGATGGGGATGTTGGCCTTGACGAACTCCATCTCTGATCAAACCAAACGGTTAGCCTTCTACATCCTTTCCCTCTCGTGCGCCCAATAAACCCATCCTTCTCGGTTGGTGTTGACCAAGGCGCCACATACCAATCTCGCCTGCGACGTCCGAGTCCAGGCCGCTGAAGACGACGTCGCAGTCGCTGAATTCGGACGATTTGCACTCTCGTACGACCAGCTCGCCAATATCTCCCATGGGGGAGGCCTGCTTCCACCGCACGGCATCCTTATACTTCTTGCCAGCTGAGCGGGAGGAGGCACCGATGGCGTGGAGCTTGAGGGTCGGGTGTTGGGCGAGGAGAAGGATAAATCGCTGGCCAACCGAGCCTGTGCATCCGAGGACACCTGCCAGTGAAGGTCTGTTAGCTTATTCTTGCTTTGCGTTTAGGAGGGGTACTGAAGAGGCTGAACGTACCGCATTTCTTGGTGAGGGATCGGTCCGCCATGTTGTCGTTGTGTGATTGGCTTTTGTCTAGAGCAACGAAAGACCCGAGTGAAGTATTTTGCTAGATTTGGAAACAAGTAAATAATCGACTAAATCCAAAATGCGCAAAATACTAGACGATAGATTTTGGCGGACAAATCGTCGACGCCGAACACGCTTGTGACACAGACATTGCCCCGCGACCGGAGGGGTCGTCTGAACTGACAACCCACTCAGCCAATCAGCGGTTCAATAGGCGCCACCAGGGGACCTGTGGCTGAGGGCCAATTGAATTGTGGCGAACCCGTCAGACGTTGATTACTTCTGAACCATAGTGTCCCCACGAGGGGCACGGTGGCTTTTAAAGCATACGTAACGTGGGCTTTTTGGCTAGATGTGAAACGGGATTGTTTTAGAGTTGGATGTTTGTGGTATGCCACCAATTAGTGTGCCGTTCTCCTGTCGCCGAGGAAGCACATGAAGGAATGGACTTCATCAGGGTGTAACAATTTCTACACGACACGCTCGGAGCTTTTAGACGCTACGCGTAGATAGGCAGGCAACCCGCCCTCTTTAAATTAGGTACCTTGGTATTACGGCCAGTGATCAGCACGCGACGAGGGTTGCCTCATTATGAGCCTTAGCAAAGCGAGCGGGTGCAAAAGGACCGACGTTCGTGTTGGCAAATGGTAAGCATCGTGAGGTGACGGCGGCCAAAAGTAGTAAGCTGCAGACCAGGAAAGCCTTTTTGCATTGATGTAAAACCTGTCAAGGAGGATCTTCAATGATGCTTAGCGCTATCTATACATAGATTCTTACTCTAGGTCAATACTACCTCGTTGCACCTTTCCTAATGGCAAAAGTGAGAGTTGCAGAGTATTGATTTGGACAACTGTGACTGTCAGATGTTGTCCTGAATAAGAAAACTACCTGAAGAACGACGGCATGCATGAGATATCCCCAATGCCGCCGGCGAGAGAACATGGCGGGGGCTTGATGCTTTCGGAGAGATTTATGGAGATCTGACATTTGTGGGCGGGGGGCAATTTAAACGGAGCCGCTGGAGATTTCTAGTGAACAATGACCGCATGCATGACCTGCGTAGAGGATGTTTCGCGCCGAAACGTATTTAGAAGGTCCGACATACCCAGATAGATGCGCGAGCCAAAGAACCCGTGGGATAGATGAGGCTGTGGGCGGATACGGTAGATCCTTACCGCACGGGAGCAAACATTGCCGATTGTCGGCTTGGCTGCCTGGGTCCGAGATACGACGTGGCTGGATGCGAATGTACAATGCTCAATCGAAAAGTGAAGGCCGAGACGAGACATGGCTATTGCAGACTATTGCAGAGATCCAATATCCGTCGATGCCGTTGCCCTTTTCATCCTTGTGCATTTTTTCGGGCTGGTCTCCGGGATATCCAATAGGATTATCAATCAATCACCTACCTGCCTTCGCATTTTGGTTGCTTAGTAGGTGTACAGTAATTACGGAGATAGATGGACCCCGAGGCCCCCGAGTTTTCGAAGTCGGACTTTGTTCGTTCGGACTCAAGCCAAAAAAACATATTGGGATAATGCCGAAGAAGAAAAAAGAAGCCGGCAGCCACAACAAACCCCCATCAACGCATTCTGCCGTGTCGTATGGTGGCTGATGCAGGTCAGCTTGCGCCATGCTCTCGATCTTGTAAGATAAGATCTTCTCATGCGACATGTGAAGCATGTAAAACATTCCCAGCTGAGTAGTACCGTGGCCTCTTGCATGCCAAATTTGGCCTGCGTCCTCTCGGTGGGAGGCTGGAGCCGTCCTCGGGCCCCGTTTCTGGTCCGTTATACAGGGGCCCACCGCTAAACCCAAACAGAGGTAAATTGCAGACGGTTGGCGACTGGCATCCACCGAATTCACCTAATTCTGAGGCGTTCTTGTGGTTGTCACTGTACACTGCCGACGATGACGCCTAGCGTGGAATACGCCTGCAATGACTCTGGTCAGCCGCCATGCCCGCGATAAGCAGTGTAAGTTGGCTCGGTCGACATCATCGCACGTCTCTTTCGGGTGGTGTGGAACATGTGTTCCTTTTGGCGTATGCCGTAATGCTGCGCAAGATGATTGCAAAGGATGCCTGGGCTTTCACTCAGGGCTCCTTCTTGGCAGTTCAAATCCCCCTGGCAAGGGTAAGGGTACGTAGCGGTGAGGTGTCTTTCACGTCCATACTGGAGTGTGGTAAAAGGGGCATGGCAAGCGTCTCGTTTCGAGTGTGGGACTTTGGGCCATACCAGCAGAGGGCGAGCCTTGTATCTCGCTGCCTATTTTTGGCGCGGCGGTACCTTGGAGGAAGGGGTGGGCCCCCTGACCAGCCATGGCAATGCATTTGCTGTGGTACGGAGATACCTACCTCCCTGGCGGGCATCTGGATGCTTACGAATCCGGAAGGGGGCATATTTTTGGTGGCTCTGTAGCGAGCGGCTCCCTGTGGCGGCCCTTAGCGGGCTGCTGATGCTTGATCGTTTAGCAGGTCAAGGCCCGCTAGACGGTCGAGCCAAGGTCCCTTGGCCTGTCCCAGCGACCGAGTGCAGGCCCCGGAAAGCCCGGGAGAGCAAGTACTGCAACTTACGGGGCACCCACACTGGTGCGGTCGTTAGGTGAGCAACCAGCGGGTACTACGAGCTGATACCACTTTCCTGCTACCCATTGGGATGGATTACATGATCCCAGTTGTCAGCCTGCCAAGTCCCATCTATCCCGCGTAGTAATTTTCCCCCTTCCTGCGTTATACGTAGAACCCTTCGCGCTGGCCTTCCCACGGCTCCTGGAGTTCAGCTACGTCGACGAGCATCGGCCACGACAACTGTTTGCCGCTCAATTGCATCTGGACCAGATCTCCTCCTGATCTGCCCCGTCGCGTGGTCTGCGATTTCACGAGCGCCTCGACCTTGTCTATCCGAAACCTCCGACAGCACCTAGCCAAACACATCACACTGGCTGGCGACACCTGGGGACTGAACGGGCTCTTGCCCGCGACGTTGGAATCACGACAGCAGCCATCGACGACCGCAAACTAGACAAGTTGCATAACGAAGACCCGAGTTCGCGGCATCGAGGACCAAAATGTCCAATCCTCCACCGGCACCGCCGTCGCCAGACGCGGGCGATGGGGAGTCTCTACAGCAGATCAACTCGACAAGTCGATCGAGATGGGCCACGAGGCGGATGACTACGAAAAGCGGTGGTTCTAAGCGGACAGCGCTGATGGATCGTATGCAGCAAAGTAATAACGAGAAGGAGGACCAAGGGCACGACCCGCCTGAGAGAAAGAATTCCAAGACGGATGCCGCGCAGGCCGAAGATGGAGGTAAGGGCAAAGGGGAGGATGAGGAGGAAGACGAGAACGGTGGTCGCACGCTATATTTCAACCAACCACTTCCTCCTGAGATGCAGGATACCGACGGTCGTCCCTTGTACACATATCCCCGGAACAAGATCCGTACCGCCAAGTATACACCCCTCTCTTTCGTCCCGAAGAACCTGTGGTTCCAGTTCCACAATATTGCCAACATCTACTTTCTCTTTGTCGTCATTCTGGGGGTACGTGCTTCCTTCTTGCTTTCTGTTTGCTTTCTCACGTGGCGAAACCTCACACCTCTATTCTTTAGTGCTTCTCTATCTTCGGTGTCCAGAATCCGGCACTGAATGCAGTTCCTATCATATTCATCGTGACAGTGACGGCAATCAAAGACGCGATTGAGGATTATCGAAGGACGATCCTTGATATCGAATTGAACAACGCTCAGGTGCACCGACTGCGCCATTGGACGAACGTTAACGTTGCGGAGGACCAGGTTTCTCTCTGGAGGAGGATCAAGAAGGGAACTTCGCGTTTCTTCGCCAGCCTTTGGCGGGGGATCAAGAGTCTCTGGTCAAAGAAGGCCCGGGATGAGAGGAAGAAGATCAAGGAAGAAAAGAACGCTGATCAGGAAGAACCACGCCCGTCCGTCGAGACAGCGCGCACAAAGCGAAATGTCCGTGACTCGCTCGCGGCGACGCCATTCTCACATCGCGAATCCTTCATCTCTGCTGCTGAAGACATCCAAATGACACCGGTTCCATCTCCAGGCCCAACTCAGCACGCTCGACTCGCGGTGCCGACTTCTGATGCGGCAAGGCGCGCTGAGGCTGTGAGGGATATGAAAGGAGATGTGATCAATTATAAGCGACCAGCACATGGTGCTCGATTCCAGAAGGATGCATGGAAGAACCTCACTGTCGGTGACTTTGTCCGCATCTACGGTGATGACGAGCTTCCCGCCGATATCATCATCCTCTCAACTTCCGATCCAGATGGTGCCTGCTACGTAGAAACGAAGAACTTGGATGGTGAAACTAACTTGAAGGTTCGCCAAGCTCTTCGCTGCGGGAAGTCTATGAAGCACGCCCGTGATTGCGAAAGAGCTGAGTTTACAATTGAGAGCGAGCCTCCTCAACCCAACCTGTACAAGTACAATGGAGCTGCCAAGTGGGTTCAGGAGGTTCCCGGATTCTTGGATGAGGACCTTGAGGAGATGGTTGAGCCCATCTCAATCGACAATCTTCTATTGCGAGGCTGCAACCTCAGAAATACCGAGTGGGTTTTGGGAATCGTGGTTTTCACTGGTCACGATACCAAGATCATGATGAATGCGGGCGTGACACCCACCAAGCGTGCCAGAATCGCGCGGGAGCTGAACTTTCATGTCATCTGCAATTTCGTCATTCTCTTCCTCATGTGTTTGCTCGCTGCTATCATTAACGGCGTTGCATGGGCCAAAACAGATGCTTCATTGCACTTTTTCGACTTCGGCTCTGAGGCCGGTTCACCCCCCCTGACTGGTTTCGTCAACTTTTGGGCTGCAGTCATCTTGTTCCAGAACTTGGTCCCGATTTCCCTTTACATCACCATGGAGGTTGTGAGAACTCTACAAGCCATTTTCATCTACAACGACATTGAAATGTACTACGAGCCAATTGACCAGCCCTGCGTTCCAAAATCGTGGAACATCTCTGATGATATGGGGCAGATTGAGTACATTTTCTCAGACAAGACTGGCACTCTCACTCAGAATGTCATGGAATTCAAGAAGGCGACTGTCAACGGCCAGCCATATGGCGAGGCTTATACGGAAGCACAGGCTGGTATGCAGAAGCGACAGGGTATTGATATTGAGGCCGAGGGAGTCAAGATTCGCGCGGAAATTGCCGAAGCCAAGGTTGAAGCCCTCTCAAGGCTGCGACGCATGAATGACAACCCCTATCTTCACGACGACGACCTGCATTTCATCGCCCCCGATTTCGTTGCCGATCTAAATGGAGAATCTGGTCATGAACAGCAGCAGTCAAATGTGAACTTCATGCTGGCCCTTGCTCTTTGCCATACCGTCATTCCTGAAAGAACTCTGAGTGACCCGCCTAAGATGATCTTCAAGGCTCAGTCTCCGGATGAGGAAGCACTGGTTTCTACGGCCAGAGACATGGGCTTTACAGTTTTGAGCTATTCCCAGGACGGTATCAATCTGAACGTGCTTGGAGAGGATCGCCATTACCAGATCCTCAACACCATTGAGTTCAACTCGACGCGAAAGCGAATGAGTTCGATCGTTCGAATGCCCGACGGTAAAATCATTCTCTTCTGCAAGGGTGCTGATTCCATCATCTACTCCCGGTTGAAGAAGGGCGAACAACAAACAATGCGCAAGGAAACAGCTGATCATCTGGAATTGTTTGCCAGGGAGGGTCTCAGAACTCTCTGTATTGCTCAAAAAGAGTTGACTGAGGAGCAGTATTATAGCTGGAAGAAGCAACATGATGTCGCTGCCGCCGCGCTCGAAGAACGTGAAGAGAAGCTCGAGGCTGTTGCAGAATTAATTGAGCAGGACCTTTATCTTATTGGTGGCACTGCTATCGAGGATCGTCTGCAAGACGCCGTACCTGAGACGATTGAACTGCTTGGTGATGCTGGTATTAAGCTCTGGGTTTTGACCGGTGACAAGGTCGAGACGGCTATCAACATAGGTTTCTCGTGCAACCTTCTTAATAACAGCATGGATCTTTTGCATATCAAACTCGATGAGAAGGAGGATGGCTCGATTGACGAGGAGGCCCTTGTCGCAGAGGCAGATAGGATTCTGACTGAGAAGCTGCAATTGTTCAACATGACGGGTGATGATGCAGAGTTGGCGGCGGCGAAAGAAAACCATGAGCCTCCTGCGCCTACACACGGTCTTGTTATTGACGGATTCACACTCCGTTGGGTGTTGAACGAGGACCTCAAGCAGAAGTTCTTGCTGCTTTGCAAGCAGTGCAAGTCTGTTCTCTGCTGCCGTGTCAGCCCCGCACAAAAGGCGGCCGTTGTGTCTATGGTCAAGAACGGTTTGGATGTCATGACTCTCTCCATTGGAGACGGAGCCAACGACGTGGCCATGATCCAAGAAGCTGACGTTGGTGTGGGAATTGCTGGTCTGGAAGGTCGTCAAGCTGCCATGTCTTCCGATTACGCTATTGGTCAGTTCCGTTTCCTCCAGAGACTGGTGCTTGTTCACGGCAGATGGTCATATCGCCGAATGGCGGAGAGTACTGCCAATTTCTTCTACAAGAACATGGTCTGGTCCTTTGTGCTGTTCTGGTATATGATCTACTGCGAGTTCGATTCGACCAATCTTTTCGACTACAGTTACATCATCCTTTTCAATCTTGTTTTCACCTCCATCCCCGTCGGTCTGTTGGGTGTTTTCGACCAAGATGTTTCGGATAAGGTGTCGTTGGCTGTACCTCAGCTGTACAGACGTGGTATCGAGCGCCTGGAATGGACCCTCTCCAAGTTTTGGTATGTTAAGATTGATTGACCCTCTGCGTAGATTTTGAGTATTAACATTCTATAGGTTTTACATGCTCGACGGTACCTACCAGTCTGTTATCGGTTTCTTCGTCCCATATCTTATGTTCCGCCTGGCAACCTCAGTGACTACTAACGGTCTGGACGCTTCAGACCGACTCCATTTCGGAACCTACATCGCCCACCCAGCAGTTCTCACCATCAACTTGTATATTCTTATGAACACATATCAGTGGGACTGGATCATGCTTCTGGTCATTTTCATCAGTGACATTTTCATCTTCTTCTGGACTGGGGTGTACACTTCGTTTGACTCGGCTGCCATGTTCTACGGTGTGGCTAAGCATGTGTATGCTCAGCCGACTTTCTGGGCCAGTTTTTGTCTCGTCCCAATTATGTGCATTCTTCCTCGGTTTGCCATTAAGAGCATTCAGAAGCTCTTTTTCCCATTGGACGTGGATATCATCCGAGAGCAAGACCGGATGGGTGCTTTCGATCATTTGAAAAACCCCAAAGAAGTGATATATCCCGGAGCAACTGATAACAAACTGTCCGGGTCTGAATCTTCGAAGGCCTCGAAACCACCGAAGCACCAGGCATATGGGAGTATCGATGAGGATCGCCGCCCAATTTACCCCCCCTCCACGACAACTCGCGCCACTGGCCCTCAGCATAGCCAGAACGGGAGCGACTCGACGGGCTATACTGTCAACCGATACTCGGTAGAGGTGCTACCTGCGACCATGACAGTCAGACCATCTATGGATAGAGCTCGGCCCTCATATGATCGGATACGCGCTTCCATGGACCGTGTCAGGCCCAGTTTCGAAGCAAGTGACGACTTTACTTCGTCGGCTAGGCTCTCGCGTATCGAGTCATCAAGGACATACACCGGCCGGCTTGGACCCAGGCTACGAGGATTATCATTGTCGAAAAGCGCCAACCAATAGTTAATCATTAGTCTTTGTCAGCATCATCTCCTCTTTCGTTTCAGCCTGAATCGTTATACCCATTCTCAACAGAATTACTCATCTTCCCTATGTCGACTTCTTGGCATCATGGCGTGAAGCATCACGCATCGACGATCTGCATGAACGATCCCATGACTCTCACAACTAAAATCCACCTGTACTAGGTTACCATTCATTGGAGTTGACGCGATTTGAGGCTGGCTTCGATGTTTATCCACAGTCGTCAGTTGCTTTCCTAGGCTTCAACACCACGTCGATTTCTGGGATCTGTCCCAACCTAATACTGCATGAGGATATCGCTATCTTCATTTCCTATCTTGCTGCCTGCAATTCTTATTCGTTTTGTTTTATATTTTCAAAGTTTTTAGTTATCCTTTCTCTCCGAATTATTTCTGCTCCTCCGACTATGCTTTTTTTCTTTTTTGAGTACCACAACTACATTGGGGGCGTTGTTCTTTTTTGTCTTGTTGAGGCTGGAGAGAAGGTTGCTCTGGCTGGTAACTTGTTGGAGCCTTGTCTTTGCCTGTATTGTATTGAGGAGCCTTGCGTTCGAGTAGCAGTGATGGAGTGTTTGTCTTCGCTGAAGACCCTGGAACCGATAGATACCTCTGCACAACACAATATGGAGTTCGGAGCGGCGGGGGCGTTTGAAAAGGCTTGGTCATGGATATAGTTGTACATAGAACGAATACCAATGGTATACCTCAGCTTTCTCCTTGAAATACATGAAAATCCCAAAGCAGTGTGTTACGTTGGTATTTTAATGCACACTACTCAACCCGCGTTTCCTGTGTAGGCCCTAGCTTTGCCTAGGTGCATTGAAACAAAGAGTAGAGCTCAATGCCTTCCTTGCTGCGAGGAATACATACACTTTCCGGATGCCCATCGTATAGCCTAACCACTTGGTTTCTCCCCTAGCAATAAAACGTGAAAAGAGTGCACATCTACGCATTCATTAAAACATTCTCAAGATAGGGAATGGCTGGATAGCATGCTAATAGAGAAAGTCTAACCAATCCTACTCTGTCAAGAATCTCATCGCCACCCCCAGTAGCCCAACTTGAAGACCATAGACTGTATTTCCAAATCTAGGAACCTCCTGTATCCCATTTGAATGTTACGGGAAATTATTAAGAGCAGTCTGCTGCTAAATCTTTGCCCCGGTTGATATCAAAGAATGGACGTCAATATGCCTGTTCGCTAAGTAGAGGCCCGGCAATTCCAAGCCCAACTGGAGTTGAAAGCAAGAACTGGTGGTTCTATCAATAGTGTACTTTACGCATACAGCTTGTTGGTCAGAATTGACCCGTTTGCTCAACAGCTGTCACAAGACTGATCTGTAGAGATTAAAATTTTCGGGCCCAAGAACCCTGCTCAGGTGTCATATCCACCATATGATACTTCAGAAAGCGGTTGCATCGCATTCTAGACCGGGCATATTACGGCATTAGAATATAAATATCCTGAACTACGATTGGTCTGAGCTACAAGAGTGATTCCCAGATCATTACTCTGCCTTGCCTGAGGTGCAGCCAAGGAAGGGTAAAAGGCATGTACTGCCACAATCAAGTCATGCAGTTGGTAGTTCGCATGAACTCCTACCTGTGCAGATTGCACACTAAAATAGCTACATCACACGATATATAACACCGGTTGGCTCCTACCGCTCACTCCGCCTCTCGCTAGATACAATACACACTCTCGAGCATATCGCCATGACACTCTCTGTTCTTTATCGAACCCTTCTCAAGACCACTGCGATGTCTGGCTCCAAGACCGATTTTCCTGCCGAAGCTGTGGTTTATAAAATAAAGGAGATTATTCTTGCAGAAGCCCAGAGGGCTAATGAAGATGGTGGTGATAGCAAAATCGACCAACTTATATCGGACCTCACTGTGCATCTTCTCAGTAGTTACACTGCCGACGGCCTGACTCTGAGTGAACTTGAGCACTCCCTTGGACGTCTGTGGTATGCATGCATTCAGGGAGCTACACATGTACCATCTGCCGGCCACCAGCAGAGGTCAATCGTATGCTGTGTCCTAGCTGCAAGGGCATCCGGGCCTTTACAGTATAAGCCACCACCTCTTGAAGAGACGAGCGACAAGACGGCAAAGGAGGGAGATATTGTTACCTTCTCTGATGGGCGGACCTTCTTCCCCGATTTACCACTGTTTTCGGCATGCCTCGTCAAAGAGTTTACAGGCAACTTTTATCAGCTGAGCATGATCCAACAGGTCAACCTAGCAACTTTTGTTGGACGCCTTATCGGGGTGGGCGTATATGATGGACCTGCTCTCTGTGCACTTTCGCTCTTCAGAGCCGTTCTGGAGGACCCAAGGCCACTGCAGACAAGCTCTGCTGATGCAGAGAGTGAGGCTCCGGCACCAGTCGGTGATCTCCTTGTTTCTTTGTGTGGGCTCATTGAATCTTCAGGCGTGAGCTTTGCCGTGCTGTCCAGCAGGAACCTGCGAGCAACGCACGCCGCTGAGAGCTTTTCCGATTTCCCGCATCTCGCCGGGCCAGGCGAGCTGGCGATGAAGCCTGGCAGCACGCCTCCTTTCCCATCCGGATACAGCCCTGAGCGCTGGGCCTTCTGGGCTCAGCGGCTCAGGGAACTAGAAAAGTGTGGGTTTGAGGATGTCAAGGGGATGGCTGGCGCGTGCCTGGAGGTGATGTATCGGGCTGAAAGCAATACCAATCTGCTCGGGCTGCTGGCTGATAGAGCTCCAGTACTTCTTCCTGAATTGGACACTAGTATATGATGAGCTTCTGATCAGCCAGATATCTGTGCTTTGTTACATGGTGCATTGTTATGCAGTGGCCTTGGACCTTCTCTCGGTCATGCATAGTTTCTTTTACTTTACTTTACAGGATCAATGCAGGGACAAAATGTGCCGGCTGGTGGCTATCCTGGCGGCTAATAGTGGTGTGTTATTAGCCCGAGCTCCCCCGAATTGAAGCTGGATGGACAGTGGGCGGGACCTGCAAATTGGCTCCCCACCTCACTAATTCTAAGTGATCTTATCAGATAAGACTCCTTCCCTGCCCACACTTACACCGAGCTTCCTCAACCACCAGCACACACGATTGTGTGGCCGATCCTGTTCTCGTCTTCACTCGCCCGCTCCCCCTAGAAACTGCACCGAAGCTGCCTAATTAGGTCTACAACGTCCTATTCTGCCGATTCAACCATACAATGGCGAGCCCAGAGCCGGCTGTGATGCAGCTCTGGCGGCGTTTGAGCGACCAGATCAACGAAAGCCCCTACAAGGAATCGTATGATATGCACATCCTTTCACCCCGACATCTCCCAACACGGCCCTTCGCTAACGTCCTTCTCTTCCTTCCTATAGAATCCCCGTGCAGGTAGTTGTTGCCTTGCTCGCAATTGTCCTCTTCGGCTCCATTGCCGGCCTTGCCCGCAAAGCTGCGAATGCGACGCCCAGACCGACTGTTATTTACACCATCCCCCCACCTCGACTGCCCGAGAAGGAGACCATCGTCGACGAGGCCAAGATCAAGCTACCAGGTAGCTCGGCTGTGCAATGCTTCTCGCCTGCCACGGGCCGCTTCCTCGGCCTCATCAACCCCTCCACGACCGAAGGCATTGATCGAGCAATTGCCGCCGCCGGCAACGCCCAGGAGAAGTTCAAGACCACCACGTTTGAACAGAGGAAGGCCATCCTGTCCTCTCTGAAGCGCTATGTCCTCGACAACGCAGAGGAAATCTGCCGAATCGCGTGCCTCGACAGCGGGAAGACAATGGTCGACGCCCAGCTGGGCGAGATCCTCGTCACCGTCGAGAAGATCGAATGGACCTTGAAGCACGGCGAGAAGGCTCTTGCTCCCTCGCGCCGTCCCACCAACTTCCTCATGTCCTACAAGCGCAACAAGGTCGTCTACGAGCCCATGGGAGTGATATCTGCCCTCGTGAGCTGGAACTACCCCTTCCACAACCTCATCGGTCCCATCATCAGCTCCATCTTCGCAGGCAACGGAATCATCGTCAAGGTCTCGGAGCAGACGGCCTGGTCAAGCCAATTCTTCGCAAACATTGCTCGCGGCGCTCTGGTGGCCCATGGACACGACCCTGCCCTTGTCCAGACCATCGTGTGCTGGCCTCAAGTCGCTGGACACCTGACATCTCACCCGGATATCAAGCACATCACCTTTATTGGCTCCCAATCCGTCGCCCACCACGTCGCCGCAAGCGCTGCCAAGAGCCTGACTCCCGTCGTCGCCGAGCTTGGTGGCAAGGACCCTTTCATCATCCTCGACTCTGCACGTAAAGACCTCAAACGTATCGTCGAGGTCGTGCTCAGGGGCACCTTCCAGGCTGCCGGCCAGAACTGTATCGGAATTGAGCGTGTCATTGCCGCCCCTGCCGTTTACGACACCCTTATCAAGCAGCTCGAGCCTCGTGTCAAGGCTCTCCGCCTCGGTCCCGAAGCCGACGTGGGCGCCATGATCTCTGATGCTTCGTTCACCCGGCTCGAGGAACTCATCGCCGACGCCGTCTCCAAGGGCGCCCGTCTCCTCGCCGGCGGCAAGCGCTACTCCCACCCCGACCATCCCAAGGGATTCTACTTCCAGCCTACACTCATCGTCGACGTCACCCCCGACATGGCCATTGCTCAGCACGAGTGCTTCGCTCCGGTCCTCACCGTCCTCCCTGCCAAGTCGTCCTCCCCCGAAGATATCCTCTCCATCGCTAACGCCCCCAACTTTGGTCTCGGTGCTTCCGTCCACGGTTCCGAGAGCGACCGCTCCCTCCAGCCCATCGTGCGAGGCTTGAAGGCCGGCATGGTGGCCATCAACGACTTCGCCGTCTACTACGCTGTCCAGCTCCCCTTCGGCGGAGTGGCCGGTTCTGGGTATGGCCGCTTCGCCGGCGAGGAGGGCCTCCGCGGCATCTGCAACATGAAGAGCATTTGCGAAGACCGCTTTGGCTGGCTGGGCATTCGCACCGGGATTCCCCCTCCTGCGCAGTACCCCGTTCCAAATCAGAACAAGAGCTGGCGCTTCACGCAAGGCGTGGTCGAGTTGGGATATGGAGGTCTCCTGAGAAAGGCATCCGGGCTGGGGAAGATTCTTAGCAATATGTGAGGAGGAGGATGAAGAAAGGAAAATAGGCGGTATGTGAAACGGAGGGCGTGTCCTGTAAATTAATTACTCCAAACTTAATATATGGTACAAAATGGAGATTTTCCCGCTAAACAATATAACCCTTTCTGTCGAGAAGAGGACGTTGATCATGGATTTGACGACACTCACAATCATATCTGCAGTTCAAGACTTGTATGGTCTGGGCGACCGGCCCTGAGATGTAAGAGCGGTTCTTGGTTATTCACACGAAATCTAGTGACAAGTTACTGGTATAGGAAGATTTGATTCGAATTGAGATTTTCATTGTCAGCTATCTAGGCTATGGTCGATCGTCCATTGTCCATTTTCACTGATATTCTAGTCTTTGCGATTTTCAGTCATTTTACCAAACGTTATCCTTGCATGGTCGATTCTGCCACTCATTACTTTTGACCATTTCTTGTCAAGCTTTCATCATCTCTGGTTTCACGAACTCAACAATCCTTCGACCTTGTCAGGCATTGGTTACTGCTGATACTGTCGGATTTACCATCCACCTCCTCCGGTATTGCCATCGGAGGTTCCCCAACCGGCATTGTCGGTTGAGGGGTTGATGTTTTGGCCTCCGTGGCCAGAAGGTGATGGGTTGGCGCCCCAAGTGTCACCGCTGTCACCAGCTGGAGCAGTAGGAGCTGCAGGCTCCGCGCCCCAGGCGGCGCCATCTCCGGAAGGCTCAGCTGCTCCAAAGGCATCAGCGCCAGCATTGGCATCGGCGTCTCCTCCCCAGCCACCGCCGCCACCAGAATCGCCACCACCACCAAATTCGTTGGAGCCAAGGTCATTGGGGTCAAAATCAGATTCGGTTTCAAACTTGAGGTTCCCCTGGCCTTTGGCATAGCCGTCGGGGACATACTGCTCGAGGAAATCCGGGATTTCTTGCTCAGTCTCCAGAAGGGTGCGAGTGAGAACGCTGGCAAGGGGTTCGTCGTGCTCGGTGTAGAATGAGGTGGCCAGCCCACGGTGACCAATACGGCCAGTCCGGCCTAGAAATTTGTTAGTTAACATAGGGAACAATGAAGGTTTGACTACTAATGACTTACCAATGCGATGAGTATATTCTTCGATCCCACCATGTTCGATGGATGGAAGGTTGAAGTTGATGACATGCATCACGTTACGGACATCGATACCTCGGGCAGATACTCCGGTGGCAACCAAGATCGGAGCATTTCCAGAACGGAATGCTCGCATGGCATACTCTCTCTCAACCTGGGTACGCTCTCCGTGAATCGAAGTGACAGGAAGCTTGCTGTTGAACAAGAAGTCATCGAGACTATCAGCCTCAAATCGGCTGTTGACAAAGATGATGGTGCGGACACCAGGGAGATCATGGAGCAAGCTGATGAGAACATCACGCTTCTCCGAACGATCGATCTGAATGATTCGCTGTTTGATGTTCTGAGTCGTGCTTCCAGCTCGACCGACGCGAAAGCGAACGTGGGAAGCGGCGAGATGGTCCTTGGCAAGGTCTCGAGCTGCCTTGGGGAATGTTGCTGAGAACAAGCCGAATTTGATGTTGCCCAAATCCTGTTCTATAACACAACGAGTTAGAGAGAACACAAATCTCATGACCAGATAGAGGAAGACTTACCGCCTCCATTGAGAATCTGCTCAAGCTCTTGCTTCCAATCATCGTCAAGCATTTCATCGGCTTCATCGATAACGATGTACTTGAGGCGACGGAGAGTGAGCTTGTCAGGGCGATGAATGAAGTCAATGAGACGTCCTGGGGTTCCAATGAGGATATCACATCCCTTGCTAAGCAAGTTGATTTGCTCGCGGATTGGGAGACCTCCGTAAACCACACAGGGTCGCAGCATGGTACGATAGGCAAACTTGCGAGCTTCATTGAAGATCTGGACTGCAAGCTCTCTTGTAGGAACGACAACAAGAACCAGAGGCTCAGCCTTGACTTCATCACGGCCATACTCAAAAGTGGCAGGGTTGGGGCGATAAGCGGCCAGCTTCTTGGCTTTGCCCATCAGTTTGCTCAAGATAGGAATCAAGTAAGCGGCAGTTTTTCCAGAGCCTACATTACTAAAGTTAGTCCATTTAATCCTTCATGAGTGAGAAATATCAATGCTTATTACCTGTCTGCGCAATGCCGATCACATCGTAGCCTTGAAGAATCGAAGGGATGGTGTACTTCTGGATGGGTGTAGGATACTCGTACCCAGCCAGCTCAACATTCTCAAGCATTACTGGATGAAGCCCAGCAGTCTTGAAAGACCCAATGGCGTCGATTTTCACAGGACCCTCTTGCTGAACTTCAATCTCGGCAATGCTTAACAATGGTCAGTGAGGTTTCTAACAAAAACATACAAGGAAGTGTAACATACTTGGCAAAGTCCAAACCTGTTCCAGATCGTTCATCTGGCCGTCCAAAGAGCTCGACCTCGAGCTCTTCAAACTTGGGACCAACATCACCATATTCCTCCTTGAACTCGTAGATAGCAGCGCTTCCATCAAAGGCTGCACGTGACTCGGTGTTGGTCAGGACTTCGTAATTGGTGGCTTCAGCAGCCGCCCAAGGAGAATCAGAGGCACCCTGAGGCTCTCCAGCCTGATCCTGGGCTGGAAGGGCCTGGGCTACCTCGGCGAGGTCCAGAGAGGTGCTCATCTTGGACAACAAGGGAAAGTCTGCTAATTGGAAAGTGGAAGGTTAGAAGGAATCTGCGTGAAGAGAGACTAAAGGATGTGAGGTGACACTTGGACAGGATTGCCCGGGAAGTGGAGTGAAAAGAACCAAAAGGGAAGGATCAATGCAGATTGGCTTCCAAGTTTGAAGTTCCTTTGGCCGTGGAAATGAAAGTGAAGCGGAAGAGAAGCTCGCCCAAGATGCTTTCACGCGTGACGGAGGGAAGCTTGAGTTGGGAGAGAGGCTAAACGTGATGATGATTGGGGAAAAGGCAGTTGCTTTAGGAAGGAAAGTGAACCACAAGTTCACAGTAGTGTTTTGCTTTGGAAGAACGCGTCGGAGAGGAAGAAAGGGCAAGAGACGATGATGATGATGATGACGACGACGACGACTTACCTGCCGATGAAGCGAGGAGGAAGGAACCTATTAGGTCCACAAGCTTTGAGACCAGGAGTTTGATCTCTTTTCAACGAAGCATGCACTGTCAAAACCAAATAGTTTTGGATGCACGGGTGAAAAAGAAGGAGGAGAGAGAAGAGAGAGGAGAAGGTGAGATAAACAAAGGGGAGGAAGGGCGAGGGGGGAGGGGCGGCCTGGCTGGGGGGACCTCAGGTATCAACTGTCAATGGCACCTGCAGCCACAAATGGAAAGGGAAAGAACGATGCCCACAGTACGTACCTCTATTACAGGCAGATCTTCTCTGGAAAAAAGGCCATTGGATTTCTCAATTTCTCATGCAATGTGGCTTCGGTGCCTTGTGCCTGTCGGGGTGGTTTACAGGTACACTGGGAGACGGTGACTTCTTGACTTCAGGTATCAAATTGACTACGAGATTCAAAGCTAGCAGGCAGATGCCTTCCATCCTGAAGCACAATGGGGTAAATATTTAAATGTGGTGGATGGGAGGGAGGATGGGAGGCTGCTTGAGCGGCAAGGGAGCGTGCAGACTGCTTCCTGTTGCTTGCCGTTCGTCTTCCCGTCAAGCAACAGCCAAATTAGAGTGCCAATGCAGGTGATACACGCTCAATCATACCCGTAGGTGATAAATAAAGATTAAATTTCTTGAAGTTTGCTCTGGGTCACTGTTTCTCTTAAAAAAAAACCAGGCCTGACGCAGAAAACCAAGCTTTTCAGGCGCCGTGTTTCCCGTCTGTTGAAACGTATTTCCGACTTGTTTGTACCCGGTGCAAGATTTTCACCACTAAAATTACCCGGAAGCTCTACCAGGTAAATGAGAATTGGCATGTGCATAGCCTGCCTCTAGTGATATGCTTTTATCCTTCTTGAACAAGGGCATTTCCGTGCTGAGAAGCCTATGATTGCATATGACTACCTAGATAGAATATATATCGACATCTGTAGGAGGCGAGACAGTTTGAATAGGGAAGAATAGATTCGGGGCCGAGGAGAGGAGCTGGGAACACCATCCTATTTTTGTTGACTTAATCACTGTTACGACGAATTTACCCAGACTACAATCACACCGAATAGATTGGATAGCCTAAGCCTTGATTGACAATTACTACCATAATTCTAATAAATCTTCTGTTTCTATGGCGCCAGAAGGTTCGTAATCCCCCATTCCTTCATCTCCCAAGAGCAACTGGCTCAGGGTAGCGGCAGATCGACCTGTCGAGCCACCCTCCTTCTTTGTCTGCTCTAATCCTCGTGAGATAGCCTCATGAAATTTCTTGTGGAAAACACGTTGCCGGGATTCACGATCCAAGTACATTTCTGCATCGCCATCTCGACGAGGACCTGCCAGGTTTAGATATGCAAAAGCACTTGGCCTTCGTGGGACACGATACAAATTGTCATGTGCAGCTCTCGGGTTGGATACCATTTCAGTTTCTGGCTGGAAACCCGCTCGAAGGAATTTGGTTAGTGCTTCTAGGCAGCGTGCCTGATTTTGTGCGACCTTGCCACGAGCAACTTTCTGCCCTGCACCACCAGAGGACCAGCCGTCTTTCTTGGATGATATCGACCACCCAAGCATGGCGCAAAACGTATTTAGAGTTTTCACCCAGCCCCCTGGACAACTTACGAGGTCCTCGTCCGCAATATCAAGCAACCATTCCATGAACCCCAGAGAGTCGTTGCCGATGTCAGCTGAGAGGTGAGTCATTCCAGCGCGAATGTACAGGATTGCTTGTTCGGCGCTATGACGCACTTCGTCCTCCGGAAGAGCTCGAAATAATTTCAAAAGCTGAGCACGGACAGGCGTTGAGCTATCTGATATCAAAGGAAGCAGCTTAGAGAGCAGTAACGGAGCCCCAAGAGGATTTACTGCAGGTTCCGAGGAGAGCTGTGTCGTCAGATAAGACAATGCTTCTTGTCTTTGCTTGTCCGATTTTGCCGATGAGGCTAAAGAGAGATTATGTTTAAACTGCTGGGTAATGTCTGGTGCTACGGTAGAGAGTGACTGGTGTCCCACAACAATCGCTGGCAGGGAGTTAGTCCAACGGCTCTCTGGAAGCGAAATAAATGTCTCTCACCTTTGGATTTGAAACTGGTATCGGTGAAATTTGAGGCTTTGGGTTTGGCTTTTCCGACTTTGTGCTTTGGTTTCTGATAGACAGTAAGAACATGACCAATCGTGGGAGGGCAGAATATTATCAAACCTGGAAGTCCTTCTTCTTCTCCTTCTTTTTCTTAGCACTAGAACCCATATTTGCGATCGAATGAGTGCTTCGATCTTAATTGGTCTGTTTCACTAATTTATTCGCCTAGATCGAGGAGTAATGGGCATATATGGTTGTATTGAGCCAGCGCAATAATGTGATACTGATGTAAATGTAAAGTTATGGCGTTTGGGATGGACGCTGTCTCCGAAATTTTAGCGGTGTCGGCTGGCAGAATCATTTGCGACGGTCGTCGACGAAATGTGTGGAGACGTCGACGACGTCCACAAGCGTCATCGCGCAAGGAGCCCCTCCACGCGCCGACATCCCCAAAGCTAGATAGGGGACTCCCATGGTTATTTCCATAGACCATGGCTGATAAATCAGCGGTACGTTTTCACTTCTTTTTCTCCGATTTGATCAAAGTCTGACCACCTTACTACAGGCAAACGGGCAGGAAGCCCTCGAAGAAAAGCTCGACCGCCTATCGCGCAAACCTGGCGTCAAGGCCAGCATTGTTCTTGACCGAGCTACTGGATCCATCATCAAAACCAGCGGCGACTTATCCGCCCTACAGAATGCGAAATCAAGAACCGAATCCGCCACCGCATCTTTCTCGAGCGAGGCGAACGTAGCCGAAGAAAGCCAGTCGAGGGGCCTAGAGGAATTTGCCGCGTTGATATGGAACTACGTGAATAGTTCTGGGCAATTGGTGCAAGAACTTGATGGAGAGGTATTTTCCCCCGATCCGAACTACAGTTGAAGGAAACAATTGCGAACTGATATTAGGATGAACTCAAACTGCTGCGACTCCGAACGAAGAAGCAAGAGATTGTGATTGTTCCCGACTCAAAATACCTGCTTACCGTTGTACACGACACGCCGCCAGCTTGAACATAGATCGACTGAGAAGGAGAAGGAAGAGCGACCATATAGAGCAATCACATCCGCTCATGGGCATCTGATAATCGCATACTAGAACACTAGTAGGGGCATCGCGGGATGCTACCAACCCTGGCGAAGGGACATTGTGAAATTTTACAATTCAAGGCCATACAAAGAGATCAAATTGAGAGCAAGACTCTAGCTATTCGTTCGCGGAGCAAATAAAATATAGTCGAGCGTGATGAGAGAGATGCAATCGACCCGATTATTACCGCCTTAGGTCAAGCTATGACGGCCCTACCTTATAACGCACTCAGGCTAAGACTCAGTAGGCTTTTTGCCTAGGCTTTGTGCGAATCGGATGATGCAAATGACGTAGGATAACCACCATATCTGAGATCTCCTGTGACAAAACTTCCAAGATTCAAGTGAAACCCATCCAATTTAGCTCGCGATTGAACCAATGGCTGGTCCGCTCGTTGAGAGAAGCCAATGCATCGACTTTGGTACACATGCGAATGGCTTACCTTGCAGCTCGTGAAGCGTTTGCTCTCACTTGCAGGCACGTGGTCAAAGAATGCTGAAGAAGGAATTGTAATTACCAATCACTAGAACCAGTATCTATCAATAATAGGGCGATTATGGAGCGTATTCGAAATTGACGCTCTCTTGCTCTCACACCGTTCTTTGTTATCTGTGCCTCGAACCTCAAACCCTCCACATAAGCGCATAGGGGCGTAAAAGAATCGCCTTATCCTTCCGTGGTCAGTTCATTACCCCACACCAGCTCACGCTACTGATCGGCAGTCAATGGCTGGCTGACTGGCTGTACCCGAAGGCGGGGACCGTCGTGCTAGTCATTAACCACCAGCCTCGGACTGAAGGACGGCATGACCTCACTACCAAGGGTAGGCAGTGATGCGAAGGCCAACCATGAGCTGGAGACCCTGGACGAGATCTGCCAGATAAAAGGGGAGGCGGCCCAGGAGACTCAAGATGAGAGCAAACCAAGCCTCGGACACTTTTCGACACAGTTGCAGTAGCATTGACGGGGGAAGCAAGGAAGGACGTGCGTCCAGGCAGGAGGCAGCCATCAGCTGGACGGAGGCGGCGAGGAAGGTGGGGGCAAGCGCGGTCCACAGGGGACCCTTCACGCTACCTATTTCCGCCATGACTCTGAGGCCCCCGACTCCAGCCTACCAGACTCTAGGTACCCGCCTAACCATGTAGACAGGCGCTGGCCGGCAGGTGTCCCCGCGCTGTGGCATCCCTTGGAATTGGCCTCCAGTCGTCAACGGCAGGCACCGCGGCGCCGCCGTTGGAACTGGACCTGCAATTGAAGGAGCCTGGAACCTCGGAAGGCAGGTAGTGGCGGCAACCCTTCTCCTCTTGCAATTGTAAGACACCATCCATCCATCTCCATCTGATCTGATCTAGCTGGATCTTTTTGGTCTTCCCTCCCCCTCCTTTGTGGCCGCTCGCTTCTCCTTCTCCTCCTCTGTCTCCCTCTCCTCCCCGCACAACCGTGAGACTGCATTGCATTGTGCGTGTGTTTGTAATCTTTGCACCCGGTTCCAGGCTAGCGCAACCTTCACTCCCTCACGGTCTGGGCCTCCTTGCTCGGGATGCGTCAGACAACGTGTGTCTGTGCAAGTAGGTACATTACACATTGCTAGTGGCGGGTCACGCGGACCAAGTCAATTTATTTATTATTACAATACCCAGGGACAAGGATCACCGGAGTTGCAAAACCAGGCACGATCCGTCAGATCCGCGTGGGACCACCTTCCCTAGCTTCTCTCGTCTGTCTCAAGCCTCGCGTCAGTCATTCTGTGCTCACAGCTTCCTCTCCCACCCTTTCAATCGCTGGAAGTAACTTGTCTGAGACTTCAAGACTGTCCCAGTGCCAACCCCGCGTCTAGGCCGAGCTCCGCCCCAGCTGCCGACTCCAGCTGCGACTTGCGGACCGAGGGAACCACCAAAAGTACCTGTCAGGGAGCTTACATGTACCATCAGCTGGTTTGGTGGGCGGAAGAACAGATTTGCCATGTCGTCAACACTGTCTGAAGATGATATCGAGAAACTCTTCTCGGGGGCGCCTCAGTACTTTGCTCGGAGCGAGGCCCACTTCCCGGGTGCCCCCCATCCGAGCGTGGCCTTTCCTTTCAATGAAGAGCTGGAAATCCGTGACCTCACAGACCATGTCCAGATCGAGGATATGGCTTGGAGCGGCGTGACTGCATGGCCTCATCTAACCCGCGATCTGAATCTTGATCCTGCTGCCCGCAAGAATTTCGAGAGACACGCCAAAGCACATTTCCATGTCCGCACGCGTGAGAGACCAAACATGCTCAGCATGCAAGGTCTTGAGAAGGGAACCATGGGCTACCAGGCCGCCCTCGAACTTCCAGTCGGCGACTCGCTCGAAGAGGAGCAGTTCGGGTTTGAGAGCGTCGGTACCAAGGCCAGGGCTGTTGTTGATGCACGCAAGCGCATGATGTCCGCAGAAGGCCATTTGCATCGTCTACCCGAGGTTGAAGTCATGGATAGATTAAGGCGTAACGGTGACGTGTATCGGAAGAATGATATGCGAAAAAGGCCAACTATAGAAACCTACACGGATCTCTTCCACTCACTCATGCGACCGCGCGATCCTGTCATTGACAAAAACGATCACTACAGTCTTATTAATCAGATCAATTCCTTGGTGAAGTGCCTTGCGACTTCGAATGTGTGGATTGATTTGTCGAGGGTTGAATGGCGCATTCGGCTGGGCCAAATCTTATGGGGTCAAACGGATGGTGATGAATTAGATGACGATACAGAAATTCACGATGCTACCAACGCCGCGGAGAGGGGGGAGGAGCGATACTGGTTACTGGTACAGGTCCTACTGTCTACAGAATTGTTGATTCGACTCGATGCTATTACTGCAGACGAGAATTCTTACAGCGCTTTCCGGCCGGCTGACGGTGCTTATTTTGAAAGACAAGCAAACACCTCAGTGAAGTGGTCTATTCTCCTGGCTCGAAGTTGGCTGGAGAATATCGAGGTTGTCAAGGAAGAGGTAGTACAGAAAGGGATAGGAAAGAACCTACGACCTGGGAGCGGGTGGCTGGCTTCTTTGGTAAGCAAAATGGTGCTCAAACACAGCCATGATCATGAGACTCAGAAGTCGACACACCACTATACGATCCAAGGACGCCATGGAGTACGGCAAGTCGACGGCCTGACACACTTCGCGCGCAAGATTCAATGGCCTGGAATTTACTCTTACGAGTCTCGCATCTCGGAGAATGCACAGGATTCTGTCAGAAGTAGCTCATCAACACTGGCAACCCCCAACACCACTGGCACGAAATCTTCGTCTCGCTCTTCATATTTTGGCGCATGGGATGTAACTAGTCATCATCACCATGGCCAAGGTCACCGAGTCCAGGCACAGAGGCGCAAGATGGCTGCTGCTCTCCACGCATCAGGATGGCTCTCAAAATCCTACGTTTTCGCCCTCCTTCTTCCAGGAGAAGCTTTGTCTCATTTCTTGATGGCAACACTGCTAGAAAATGACAGCGAGGCGCTGGAAACCCTGGGGTCCTTCGCAAATCTTTGTGGAGGATTTGTCTACCGCGGCAAGAGTTTTTGGAGCACTCTCTGCATCGTCGGACGTGTTTTGGCTGCCGGACAAGGTGCGACAGAATGCATGGGCTGGATTTCGACGGACGTAGTGCCGGACGATACAAAGGATGGCTGGTTAAATATCGAGTCTGAAGATGTCCCTGGTGAGTTACCTAAAAGCGAAAAACACATCTCGAACCACGACTAATCCATCCGTCATAGAGGATCTCACTCGACTGGGTAGAAAGGCCCGAATATGGGGGAAGAAACGTGTGGAAAAGGAATCGTCCATCTTGGGTGATGGAAATGAAAACACGGTTCTTCCTGCTGATTTCGTTGTTCCCCGTGAGAATTCATATTCAACCCCACCTCCTAGCATTGCAATCACCCTTCAAACCTTCAAACTCCTTCGGTCCGTGGAGAATGTGCATCCTTCGCCACTGAGCGAGTTGACTGGAACGCCCATGACGGAGTCACCCAAAGCCCCGGATCTTCCCACTCACCCTGCCAAGTTCATTTTTCGGGTCTCCCTTGATGGCCAAAGCCCGGAGGAAATAGCTTTCACTCTGGCGTATGACATCAGTTTTGTCACAGCACACCCATGTGCGCCTTCGAAGCGTGTGAGAATCATGAAATCACCCGAGAGCCCTACAATCCAGCAAATAGATGTTTCAGGTGCGAAGGAGTTCGGAAGGGCATCGCGTTCAGCACATAGAGCTGGTAAGGTTTTCCCTACCTCGAAAAACCAACCTATCCGCTCACAGAGATCAGGTCACCCCTTACACAAGTTTTATGACTATACTGTTGTACACTTATCGGATCTCATTCGAAGACGTAACCAATCGCTTGCAGATTTAATAAATCCAGACCCAACAAAGAAAGCCGTATCTCGCTCTGGTGATAAGCGGGTCCTAGTAATTGACTGTATCACAAATTATACGGACCAACCCGAGTCTCCTATATCCCCAGTGCTCGAACGGATGAATTCCGGTGGCTCGACATCTTCACTCGCCCTGGTCGAGAGTTGGGGGAATCTACCTGGCAGGATGCATCTAGAATATCGAAAACGCCAATACGGATCAGATATGGAAATTCTAGTGAGAGCCTTGTGTGCTCAAAAAGGATGGAATGCCCTCATAAGTAGAAAGAAGAGGGGATGCCTAGCATGTGCTATTCGAGAAGCCGGAGCTCTAGGATGGAGAGTCATCATCAGGGTTTAGTGGTGATGAAATGCGATGAATTTAATGAGCTACATAGCATTTGGGGTCGGCGTTGAGCAGGTTTGGAAAAAGTATGTATCGGTCCAAGAGGTTTGAAGATAATGGGATCTTCTCAACGATTATGGCGAGATAGCATGGGAACTATGTATTATACACTACGCACAAAATCAGCAC